ATCCTGTGCCTGTTGTCCAGAGCAGTGTTAGTCACCCACGCTCATTCGCTCCCGTCCGTGACCACCACCCCGGGTGGGCGGATCTCCGTGACTGGTCTACGTTTGGGGAAGACGCACGGGGCTCAAGTTCTCATGGCAGTCGAGCACTGTAGACATTCTTTTTCCCTTGTACCTCCTCTATTTATCTGTCTTTGGCGCGTGGCACGCTTCGTTTACTCAAAATGGGACAGGAACACGCTAGACCTGCTAAGGGCTTGCTGGCTTGTGACATTGTGAAAGAAAGGGCAGGGGAAGATGCAATGTTGAAACTTAAAAAGATTGCTAAGGTGTGTGGCTTCCAGATGTTGCCCAGTGGGAGACTGCAGCCTGAGTTTTGGAGGAAGTTACTCATAGACAAGGAAGGGTTGTTGTTGGATAATGGACTCACAAAGGTTGCAGAGGCTTGGTATCGGGTAGCTAGAGGTCTGAAACGGGAAGGATGGGTCGAGGAAGAGTTGGAGTTTGAGGGGCAAATCGTGTATGTTTACCATAGGAGTGTTAACAATGATGATGTTGTTTCCATTGTCCCGCGACCACCGCCCTATGATGGCGCCCAGAGCGCAACAGTAAATTCCCGCCCTGCTTCCCCCGTCACAGCACAAACCCCACCCCCCGGGGGTGTGCCTTCAGCTCCCACCCCCCTGTGCCCCGTACTCGGTGCGGATGGTGCTTACTATTACCCAGTGCCACTTCACTCGTTTCCACCCACTCCCATGCGCCAACCCCCCTATGACCCAGCCCCCTCCATCAACCATTCTCCCGTCACGTCTGTTGAAGTCCCCCCACCTCCATGTCCTCCGCTACCTCTCCCAGTGCCTGTTCCCACTCCGAATCCTCGTCAAGATCCCGTCCTGACTACTCCCGCCTCACCCACCGAAGTTCCCTCCTCTTCCTCCTCTCATCCCCTCTCCACCTCGAGTACCCCATCCCTAGCAACACCCGCTCCCTCACCCTCCTCGTCTATCACACACCCAACTCCCCCGACCCTTGCCCATTCTATCGACCCCGTTCCTCCGGACCCCTGTCCCCCCACGGACCCTCCTTCACCCATACCCCCGGACCCAGACCTTTCCTCTTTTCTCGCTAGCCTTTCGAAATTGACCTGTCCCGTGACCCCTACCCCTTCACCCTCTCTGCCCTTCCCTCCTTCTCATTCCCCTTCGCCCTTCTCCTCCAAGGATCCCTCATCCCTACTCTCCACTCTCATGAATCTTGTCCAGCCCGTTAATCCCGGTCCCCTTGCCTCTGCTCCCTTATGCACAGACACCCCTCCCATCCTCCAGGACCCTCCCGCTATCCACACAGTGTTACCTCCTCCTCCCAAAGTCCCGGCCCCCTCTACCTCGTTGCCTCCTCCTCCCTCGGCCGATTTGCTGTCCCTAATCTCTGCCCTCACCGCCCTGACCCAACCCCCCGTTACCACTCCTCCAACCCCTTCTCCAGTGTTACCTCCTCCTCCCGAAGTCCCGGCCCCCTCTACCTCGTTGCCTCCTCCTCCCTCGGCCGATTTGCCGTCCCTAATCTCTGCCCTCACCGCCCTGACCCAACCCCCTGTTGCCACCCCTTCTCCAGTGTTACCTCCTCCCGAAGTCCCGGCCCCCTCTACCTCGTTGCCTCCTCCTCCCTCGGCCGATTTGCCGTCCCTAATCTCTGCCCTCACCGCCCTGACCCAACCCCCCGTTACCACCCCTCCAACCCCTTCTCCAGTGTTACCTCCTCCTCCCGAAGTCCCGGCCCCCTCTACCTCGTTGCCTCCTCCTCCCTCGGCCGATTTGCCGTCCCTAATCTCTGCCCTCACCGCCCTGACCCAACCCCCCGTTACCACCCCTCCAACCCCTTCTCCAGTGTTACCTCCTCCCGAAGCCCCGGCCCTCCTACCTCGTTGTCTCCTCCTCCCCCGACTGGTTTGCCATCCCAACCCTCCACCCACGTTGTTACGACACAGCCCCCTGTTCCCATCCCTCCGACCCCTCTCCCGGTGACCCCTGACCCATCCACGGCCAATGACCTGTCTAGCTCGATATCCGCCCTCTTCTCTGCTGTTACCTCCCTGGTTAATTCCGCGATCCCTGTGCCGCCTCCCACTGATTTACCACCCCCTCCTCCTCCCCCGAACCTCCGACCCCTTCCTTGTCTCCCGCTAGCATCCCCGAGCCTTCCGATCCAATCTCTGCTCTTGCTCATGTCCTAAATACTCACCTCTCACGCCCATCTCAACCGGCCCCCATAACAGCCCCTTCCACGGCATTGATTCCTCATGTCCCTTCCGCCAGTCCTAGTTATCCAATCATGGTGGTTGGGTCCGAGGTGTCTGTGACATCGGACCAACCCTATGCGATGGGTGCTTCCCCCCAGGCCTCAGGTTTCCACCCAACTACCTCTCCTATCACCGGCCTCCCTGCCGCCCCCGCCACAGCTACCCCTGAGACTACTCTTCACCGCGGCCCGGTGGTACCCGAGGAGGTCGTTGTGGTGGACCAGGGCTCACCTCGCCTAGGGGGGAACAGGCACCCCCAACGGCACTCTATCCCCCAGGGTTATACCCAGATTAACCATGGAGCGGATGGTGCACCACCCATGTATGTTACCTTCAACCCTTCCCAAGCTGCTACCCTTGTGACCTCACTCCCTGATCCTGAGAAACACCCCATGCCCTTTTTCCGCAGGATGGCCCAGATCCGTAAAACATACTCCGCTGCTTGGCGGGATCTTATTAGTTTGTGTGAAATAAAGGCTGGAGATGCATACTGGCCAATTATGGAACGGAGCTTTAACGACGCTCCACTTACTTCTGATACTGATTTTCGTTCTGGTGAAATTTTCTGTGAACAGCTTCGAGCCTGGGCACAGGATAAACTAGCTGATCAGGCTACTTGCATAAATGACATAATTCAGGATAAACTTGAGACAGTTGAAAAGTATCACTCTAGGTTGACTCAGACTTTTTCAGACTTAGGATTCAGCACCTATAACAAGGCACACACCCAGATGCTATCTGCAGCTTTTGTGGCAGGTCTTAGGGAACACATTCGTAAGGGGTTAATTTTAGCTCGCCCTGAGTATAGAATTATTCCACTGGACACTCTTTTGTTGGTAGCCAAAGGCTTAGAATCTGTTTTGCAACCCACACAGCGAAGAACCAGTCCTCTGATGTACACTACCTCCACCCCAATTGCAGGTTCTAACCAAGCTCCTCAGTTACTCCCCCAACAGTACACTCAGTCACCCCAGACTCTGCCTGCACCAATTCCCTTCTCCCGGGACCGGACTATCACGACAATCCGGACCTGTTTTAATTGTAATCAGCCAGGTCACTTTAGAAGAGATTGCCCACACCCTAGAGTGTTCCGCCAACAGGCTCCCCGGTACCCAAGTCCCCATGTCACCGGCTATAACTTCCCCTCCACTGGTTACCTCCCTGCCCTGCCCCATCCACAGTTGCCACAGCTTCCTCCACCTCCTCCTCCTCCTCCTCCTGAATACACCCAAGCCCGGCTCCCTGCATCAGAAGCTCGTGCATACGCTTCGCCCTCTGCTGAAGGGTATGACAACGATGATTTCCAAGACAGCCAGCCACAGCCCCGCCACGCCACGCCATCCGTCCATCCCGTCCTCCCATGCATTCTACTAACCCTCCCTCCACTTCCCGCCGGTTCCAGGGACCAGACCAGGCCCATCTAGATTTATTACAATAGGTAACTGGCAAGCCTGTGTCAGCAACCCCTGCCATGGCAGTGTCTGCGGGGGATGGGGGAGGGCCTTTAGCTACTGTAGTTCTCCCCGTGGAGGGTCACCCAACCACCTTTCTAGTTGACACAGGTGCAGCCCGTAGTGTCCTTAGGGAACAAGACCTGCCAGACCCTTCCTTCTTATCTGACACCGATGTCTCCTGTGTTGGGGTGGATGGTACACCACGCAGTAACCCCCTTACTAAGCTCCTACACGTAGGATCACACATCCTCTCCCGGTTTGTTGTTTCCTCTACTTGCCCCATTAACCTCCTAGGTGCCGATGTTCTCTCTCGGCTCCAGGCTTCTATTACCTTTACTGCTGATGGTCAAGTTGAGTTGACAACCCCCTTATCACAAAAGGATACCTCTGTCCTCTGCTCACTCCCCTCCCCATCTTGTTGAACCTAACTGACAATACAGGGAATGCACGGGTCTCACACACCCCCAGTGCTCTGGATCGTATCCCCCAAGAACTTTGGTCCACCGGCCCGGATGATATTGGGCGCTTACATGTACCCCCAGTCTTGGTCCAGCTCCTGCCTGGAGCACTACCTCCTCGTAGACCACAGTATCCTCTGAAGCCAGCACAAGCTGAAGCTATTACCAAACAAGTTGAAAGCCTTCTTGCCAAAGGTGCCCTCATCAAGTGCACATCTCCATGTAACACACCACTTTTCCCTGTTAAAAAGCGAACTGTCAAGGGTCAACCCGACCAGTACCGCATGGTGCAGGACCTCCGTGCTGTTAATGAAGTAACCATAAAAGACACTGCTATTGTTCTAAACCCTCACACCCTCTTGTCCCAAGTCCCACCAACTTCCACAATATTCACTGTAGTGGATCTAGCTAATGCCTTTTTCAGTGTCCCCCTGGACCCTTCCTGCCGCTTTCTCTTCGCCTTCACTCATGAAGGACAACAATATACCTGGACTGTTATGCCTCAGGGGGCTCAGAATTCCCCCACACAGTTTGCTCATGCCATGTCCCTGGTTCTGGATCCCTGGCAGAAATCTCATTTGGATGTTGTCCTGCTTCAATATGTTGATGATCTCCTTCTCTGTGCTCCTGATTTGCCCACTGCAGAGCGTGACTCAGAAGATCTCCTATGCTTCCTCGCTGCAGCTGGTTGCAAAGCTTCAAAATCGAAGCTACAATGGTGCCGGCCCTCTGTGGTCTTCTTGGGACATTGCCTTTCCCATGGCACCAAACATCTAACTTCTCAACGTGTGCAAGCTATTCTGCAACTCCCTTTACCTGCGACACATCAGACTCTTCATGCCTTTTTGGGTCTTATCACATATTGCAGGTCCTGGATACCCGAAGCATCAAAGCTCATGCAGCCACTCTACGATGCCCTCAGGAGTGAGCCCTTTCGCCTCACTGAAGAAACAATCACCTGTTTCCACAATCTGAAAAGAGCTATTGCTTCTGCACCTGCTTTGGGCCTACCCAGCTACCAACTTCCTTTCAATTTGTTTGTCTCTGAAAAGTCAGGACATGCCTCCGGAGTCCTTACCCAGAAACATGGGTCACGGCAACGCCCTATTGGCTATTTTTCCTGCATGCTTGACCCTGTTGCGAGGGGTAGCCCCTCTTGCCTCAGAGCGGTGTTTGCCGCCAGTGCCCTCCTAGACAAGACAAATGATTTTGTTCTTGGCCATCACCTCACAGTGTTGGCCCCTCATGACATTACTGCAATCCTGCAACAAGTTCAACCTAAACACCTTTCCTCCCAACGTCACCTCCGTCTGCAAACCTCCTTACTTCTACCTGACAATGTGAAACTCCAGAGATGTCTTTCCCTGAACCCAGCCACTCTTCTGCCACTTCCCAAGGGGGGAGTTGTGCATTACTGGTATAGCCTGGATATCAACCCAGAGGTCCGAACAGATTTGCAGCTGCCTGCACTTGCACCTCCACATGACGAACAATCAGAGGCCCTACTTCACTGCACCTTGTGGTTTAAGGACGTACCAGGCCCTGATATGAACTATGAGGAAGAACTATTCCAGCTCAAAGAAATTCAAATTACCCTGACTGACTTATTCTGGGACCTCACAGGTACCATGCTCCTCTTAGTCCATCTTCCAGAGAATGTAACACATCTCTATCATCATTGGGAAACAGCTATCCCACACATATCTCTCACCAGATCCCCCAACACCTCATGGAAAGACCTAGGCCCGATGGCCAAAACCTGGAGCCAAATGACCCAAGAACAACTGACTTCTACGGGGATCAACAAAAAGACTATTAATTACTGTACAGCAGGGTACCCAAGGTACCACACAGAAGCCTGTGAAGACCCACTCACCACAGACTGTGACCTAGATATTCCTCATGATTGTTTTGAACAAATGAAAATGGAAAACTACACACCTACCAACTGTCTATGAAGCTGCATTACTCAACCCGGACCAAACACTATTTGTGGATGGGTCAAGATTTGCTGATGAACAGGGACAATATCACACTGGGTATGCAGTCACCACAGGATGTCAAGTATTACAAGCAGCTGCCCTACAACCAACTAAGTCTGCTCAAGAAGCCGAGCTAACAGCTCTGACTGTGGCCTGCAAATTGTCTGAAGGTCTACGTGTCAATATTTACACGGATTCAAGATATGCCCTGGGAGTAGCACACGATTTTGGCTTAATTTGGAAGACCAGAGGATTTCTTACGGCTACCGGTACCCCAGTAAAACATGGGGCAGCCATTGCAGAACTGATGGATGCATTGGAACTTCCAGCAGAGGTGGCAGTACTGAAAGTAAAAGCCCACGGAAGACTAGACACAGAAGAAGCACGTGGCAACCACTTAGCTGATCAGGCAGCTAAGGAAGCAGCACGGCAAGGATGGGAAGTGGACAGAAGAGTGGCCACAGATACATTACCCATCTACACTATGCAAACACTGCCTACAGATCTTAGGCTTCTGAAGGAACAACAAGCTGCTGCTACTCCCCAGGAGAAACAAAGTTGGAAGAATAAAGGAGCTGTACTCCGTGATGATGTTTACACCATCAATCTCAAGTTCTGCTTACCCAGAAGTATGTACTCAGCGGTGGTCCAATGGGCCCATGGGCCAGCCCACCTGTCGAAACTCCTGATGAACTCACTGATTGACAAGTATTTTGAAGCACCAGGCATTACTACCTTAACACAGAATTACTGTAAATCTTGTACTATATGTGCTAAATGCAATCCTGGAAAGATTATAAAGACTGCACCTAATCATCTAGCTAAACCACAATACCCCTTCCAGAGGATCCAGATTGATCACATTCAGATGCCAAAGAGTGGACGTTATGAATATGCATTGGTCATAGTGGACATGTTTTCAGGATGGCCAGAGGCCTTCCCAGTGACTAATCTCACCGCGAGGACTACAGCCAAGTATCTTTTGACAGAAATTGTTTGCCGCTATGGAGTTCCAGAAGTAATTGAAAGTGACCAAGGGACCTCCTTCACTGCCTCGCTAACACGGGAAGTCTGGTCAGCACTGGGGGTGACCCTTGCATTCCACACACCATACCACCCACAGAGTAGCGGTAAGGTAGAACGCATGAATGGCACTTTGAAAGCCAGAATGCTTAAAATGTCACAAGAAACAAACATGTCCTGGCCCGAGAGTCTCCCATTAGCGTTGTTTAGTGTAAGGTACACTCCCAGAGGAAAATATAGCTTGTCACCTTATGAGATTTTGTTTGGTACAGCACCCAGGTTAGGTTGCTACTTTCCCCAACAGCTTCAGATTCAGTCAGATGCTATGGTAGACTATGTGACTGCCCTCTCACATGCCTTGACCAAGATACATGCCCAAGTGTTTTCTTCTATTCCAGATCCTGAGTCGAATACAGGTACACACAAGCTGCTTCCGGGTGACTGGGTTATGGTCAAGAAGTTTCTCAGAAAACACACCCTAGAACCAAGATTTGATGGTCCTTACCAAGTGCTCCTGATTACAGCAACGTCAGTTAAACTAGCTGGAAAGAGTTCTTGGATACACGCTTCACATTGCAAGAAAGTGCCTGCTCCAGAAGAAGCTGATCCTGTTGAAATATGAATTTATTATGTGTCTTGTGTTTTCTTATGCTGCTACACTTTGCCTGGGCCCAACAAGTGGCCATAACCAAAGATAATCACGTTTACACTTTCTGGTACAATTCTTCTAATACTGATGTAGCCACATACACCTTTGATTACTGTGACATAGTTACTTGTACATTTCCACAAACACAATATGCAGCCATATACAAAGACATACCTAACAAAAAGGATCCATACATTTGTGTGACTGGAGGAGTTTGGGGACACCATTGTAGTTCATGGAAAGCTGCCGGGTGGAATACAGGTAGACCATGGGGCTACAGACCTCAAGTTGCACTGGACAGACTTGACAAAGACGGGAAACCCTTACTTTCTAGAATGACTCTGAGTAAACCCATAGGGTCAACTCCCATTAAACTTACCCTGAATATAGAACACCCCAGCCCAAGGGACGCAGGGGAATATGTGATGGGAATGTAAGGAAGGGAGGTGGTTCACATAATGCATTGGGGACATTTTACCTACAAGACATGCTCACCTCCCCAGACTGGGTAGGGACCACTCACATGATCATTAACCCATTAAAACCACATATTAAGACCCTACATGACATGGTAGCTATAGCCAACCCCACCTTTGAAGATACCATGGCAGTAGAGACTGGGTTTTCAGACACTAATTTGTGGCTAGAATGGATGAGGTATAACGCCAACTCACATAATAAGACTAACTGTTATGTATGTGGAGGAGCCAGGCCCCATCTGGGCACAGTACCTCTGAGCCTACCTCCTGAAGTAGAATTATGTGTTCTGAGTCTTTATGCACAATCCACCACCAACTCCTCAACATGTGAATCATGGAAGAGAATTTACCCAATCACTCATGGACATGTAAAACCACCTGATGGAGTCACCGTCTACCCAGGTAATTACACATGTTATACAATACCTAAGAACGCTGGTTTGTATCTGGGCAAATTCCCATCAGGATACTGCTCAACTTACCATAATCCACCTGTATCACTGCTAATGAACCACACAAAGACAATCGGTGATATCTATTGGTTATGTGGTGACAAACAATTGAGGTCCCAATTAGCTGGGCAATGGTGGGGGGAGTGTGCCCTAACCAAAGTCATAATGCCTATCCACATTATTCCAGATGGCAGTCATAACACATTAAACCTTACACATGTACACTCTAGAACCAAACGAGAGGCTCCTATCCGAGGGAGCTTCGACCCCCATGTGTATATTGATGCCATAGGTGTGCCAAGGGGGGTGCCTAACGAATTCAAAGCAAGAGATGAAGTGGCTGCAGGATTTGAATCCCTAATTCCAATGATAACTGCTAACAAAAATGTCAATTGGATCAACTACATCTATTATAATCAGCAGCGCTTCGTTAACTACACAAGGGATGCCCTACAGGGCCTAGCAGAACAATTACAAGCCACTACTCAAATGACATTTCAGAACAGAATGGCCCTAGATATGATTTTAGCTGAGAAAGGGGGAGTATGTAAGATCCTCCCTGAGACTATGACATGCTGCACATACATTCCAGACAACACTGGGCCCAATGGTAAGGTGACTACGGCCATAGAAAAGCTAGATAGTCTTTCTGATGAACTAAAGAAAAATTCAGGAGTCACTGACACTTGGGACAGATGGTTTGGGTGGATGAATGGTTGGCAAAGGACCCTCTTCCAGGTAGGGACAGCTGTTCTTATAATGATTATCATCTTCTTATTTTTAACCTGTTGCGTGCTCCCTTGCATACAGAAGTACTTACAGAAAGCGGTAGATAAGACTATAGATGACGTGACCCCTACTTTCCTACATCAAGACATCACAGACCTCGAAGATGACACTCCACATACACCCCTTCAATCACATCAGTTCAAACAGACAACTGCTTTCCTGTAGGGACAGTGTAGGGAAAGCGTCTGTCTTAGCAGGCGAGTATCACGTGTGGAGATGTGGTGGACTAGCCACTGCGGGTTACCCACGGAGTGAAGTGTTCGATGCTTGTTAAGACAGATGAGCTGCAGGCAGCTAGGGACTTATTAGGGACAGTAGCACTTGTTATGGTAAATAGCCATTTTAGGGGGGACTATTGTGGAAATAAGGTCTGCACATATTTCCTAGTTAGTGAAAATGTCTATTTACTCATTCCACGATATATCATATATAAAGCTGAGCACACATGTTTTAATCAAAATGGCTGCTAGAAGCTTCTAAACCCTCCTCCGCCCGCCCCCCCCTTCCCTTCTTAACACCAACTAACTACCTCGTGCAGCAAGATGGCGCCGGGAAACCGTGGGAGACCCTCATGGCCCCGGTGACATCACTTCAGTAGGCAGAGCATTAGAGCAACCACTTAACACCTAACCAATAATTGATGTATTATTCTATGTTATCTCTGACAATGCTTATGATGTAATTTTGCTTTAAAAGGGACCTGCCGTCCCCTCTGAATAAACTTTCCTCAAGTTATTCAACAACCTGGAACCTGTGTCTGGTGTGAATTACTTCAGGGAGCGTGCACGCATCGTTTCATTGATTTGGCCAGGAGCAGATACACAAAGAAATAATCAATACTTTGATTGATTTTTCCATTTCAAGGGATTCACCCCCACATAAAAACAATGTGAATTCACATTACTACTGTCCTACCTGTCCTGTTGGGTAACTGATTGCACAGATCACATCAGGCTCTTATATTTTGTACTTTTTTTTATATTTTAACATTAGAGTATTAGTGTCCCACCCCCAAACCCCATAAAACTAACCTTTATACCAGCACCAGGGCAATCTCCACAGAACAAACATGTATGCCTCCTGTGAATTTAACTGTAATGATGACTTCATTCCAAACTAATGTTCTACATAAAGAAACATTGTACATAGCGTGAGTATGCGCGTCAGTTGTTGTGCTTCACCAACTGGATGCTTCCCACAGAGAAGTTTTCACAAGGAAGGTCTGGCTGGGAGTCTGAGAGCCACTAGAGCCACAGGACAATTGTAACCATTGCATTGTCTCTAAAGAGAAAGTGCTTTATATTTTCCAAAAAAAAGGTCCAAGGTCTAATATTTACTTTTTTTTTCCCTTCTAATATTTAGTTTGGTTTCTTATAGAGCATCCCTTTAACGTTTTTTTAAAACCAGTATTGAGGTAGTAGCTTGGTATCCAATTGTGTCACGTAATGGGTAATACCTAAGGTTCTATACTGTAAGGGTAAGTAATGCTTGGCTCTTAGGGTAACATATTACCAATGGCCACTTTTGGAATCCTGCTGTACTATTGGTAATTGCATGTTTGTGTTTATATATTCCAATGTTCTTTAAAGGGACATGCATAACTTTTTTTTTTTACCAGCAAATGCTTTTGAACAAATATACAAACCAAATCAAAGCAAGAAAAATATTGAAAAGTATGTAATAAACATTTAGAAACTTACTACAAACTTGTTTAAATTGTTTTATAAAGCATGCCACTTAACAAAAGTAGATTCTTCAGCCACCTTAGTTTCAGTCTAGTCCACTAATAACAGAAACAGGGCAACGTGCAGCAGTAGGAGAGAGCGGCTGGAACCAGAACCTGCTCTCAACATGAATCACACTGATTACAATCCCTCTATTCTCCCCAGTCAGGATGTTGCAAGATGAAGAGATCTTCCAGCTGCACATGTGTAAATCTGTCAGGCATGCACAATGCAGATTTCCAGCAGTCCTAGGGATAGGACACTGACTGGCTAAATTAGTACTCCCCACCCTTTTTAAAATTTATTTATTTTTACTAGTTTTCCTATATTTCCTACATTACCAACTTCATAGTAGGTCAATTAAAATTATTTCAAATGGTCAAAGAAATTATGGCCAACAGCAAGGGCCTTTACAGAGCCAAATGTACACATTGTGAACAAAACAAAATGTAAACAAAACCTGGGATTTGCCCTACATGTCTGTCCAACCGTAATTCACCTCTTTCATATTAAATGCACCCACCCTTATTATATATCATTTTATTCAGGGGAAACAGGGCTTTCATTTAATATCAAATATTTAGCTACGTAACCAATCTGACGAATTTTAATGTGAAAAAAATGAAACACAAGCCTTATATTTGACGCTGTAACTTGTGAAAACACCATAAAACCTGTACATGAGGGGTACTGTTGTACTCGGGAGACTTCATTGAACACAAATATTTGTGTTTCAAAACAGTAAAAAGTATCGCAGCAATAATATCGTCCGTGTAAGTGCTGTTTGTGCGTAAAAAATGCAAACAACGTCACTTTTACTGGCGATATCATCGTTGTAATACATTTTACTGTTTTGAAACACTAATATTTGTGTTCAGCGAAGTCTCCCGAGTAGAGAAGTACCCCCTATGTACAGGTTTTATGGTGTCTTGGAAAGTTATAGGGTTAAATATAGTGCTAGCAAATTAAATTCACTTTACTTTCGGCCTGGGTTGTCAGGCAGGTCCCGCTAATTGTAATTAATTAAGATACCTAATTATGTAAAAATATTACATAAATATATATGTAGAATTAATATATGTATATATATATATATATATATATACACGTATGTGTATATATATGTATATATAATTTTTTAAAAATATTTGTATTTATATATATATAGGTATATATATAGTGTTATGTATATAGATATATATATTATTTTGTTCTACGTGTATTTTGATATAAATATATATATATTAATATCACAATACCGTTAGAACGAAATAACACACATTTTTATATTTTTAAATTATTTATTTTTAATTAGTTTTTTATTTTTTAACGTATTTACATATTTATTTTTTATTATATATATATATATAACAATTATATATATATATATTTAATCAGTATCAGTCTACGTGTAATTTGATATTAATATATATAATTATATATATATTAATAGTAAAATACACCTAGACACTGTATGTGTGTGTATGTATATGTGTGTATATATACTTAGATTATATATATATATATATATATATATATATATATATATATATATTGTAACAGAGTGTTGGGGATGGTGGTCAGGGGTGTATATCTGGCACCCAGACTTTTGCACAGCTACTATCCTGACATGGGGGTAAGCACATGCAGCCCCAGGGAAAGTTAAGTTTAAATGTAGGTTTTTTTCCTCTGTTGTTATTTGGGTCCCTGGGGTGGAGTATTCGGAAGAGCAGGGTGGGCCGATTCTCCACCCACTGTCAGAGTGGTTGTGCAGGAGTCCAGCCCAGGTTTTCCATAGAGTTCTGGCTCACTGCCTAACGAGGTCATTAGCCTCAGCTGTAGGGGCTGTGAGCAGCTATATAACTGCAGTTAAAGCAGGGTGAAGTGAGGGAAGTGTTTTTGTGGAGAAAGAAGATTTGCTGTTCATTGTATCCTGTTACTTCACAACAACAGAAAATGAACAGGCCAGAGGCCTTTTTGACACTGGACTTTGTCTTGACCTGGTTTTCTTACCCTAGAGGGCTGTGTGGTTGCCAAAAGATTCTGGACAAGCACACACAGGAAATTAAGTTTGTCACAATATATATATATGATCCAAGTATATAATTTTTTTTTACACTTCATTCATTTTATTTAATTTGATTTCCAGCCAGCAGGGGGACTACCTGTCATTACAGGCAGTCCCCCTGCTGGCAATGCAGCAACCAGCTATCCCGGCCATGTGATTGTGAGGTTCTCACAAGGACCTCACTCTCACATGGCCGGGGGGGCTGCAGGAGGAAAGATCTGCCGCAGGGGGGCTCCTTGGGAGTCCCCCCAACCGCAGGCGTCCGGGTAAGTAAAGAAAGACCGGAGGGCGTACTATTAAGCCCGGCGGCGTTTAGAGCCGCCTAAAATAGGGCGTAATAAGACCGGAGGGCGTACTAAGGGGTTAACATACACCCTCAGGATTTGCGTCTTAAGAAGGGGGTGAACCTAAAGGGGCAGATCCATCAATACTACAGTCAGGAAAGCCTGGCATGAATAAACAGGCTGCCTGCCAATCAAGCAGGCCCGCCCACTGAGGGCAAGACATGGAGGGAGCACTGTTTCAGTGTCCTCTGCAGAGTCCTGGTGTAGCACATGCAAGTTCTGTGGTGTCCCCAATTATACAGTCTAGTAACATCTCTAGTGGCAGTCACTCAGCACTGCACCTACTTTCAGTTCCGAGCATTCCCTATAAAGAGGCATGGATTCAATGCATCTCTATGAGGAGATGCTTATTGGCGCAGTATGCCGTTTTGCCGCACATGCGCAATAGTCTCCAAACAACCAAACACACCAGCACTATATTTTGTTAGGAATACATTCCTTTAATGATCTAGTGCACGGGTCAGCAACCTTCTGCACTCCAGATGTTTTGACCTGCATCTCCCATAATGCCCTTACATCCTTAATGCTGGGAAAAAAATAAGTTAGTGCACAATATTAAGAACCACTGTCAGTGTGTATATAATATATTCTATATAAAATGTAAAAATCCATTAAAGTGACTAAAGTGTTCAACATTTAGCAGACATGTGCCCAAAATATTAGAGCAAAATAGGTGTGTCTTTAAACAGTAATCAGTGGTTTTGTGATACCCCAAAATTTTTATAACACACAATTATCTTTGTACAATTTTAAAATCCACAAACAGAGAATCTAGGAAGGAGACAAAAAAAAATGGAGAAATCCTAGTGCAATATTGTAATAAAATAATCTGTAAGTATAAAACACACAAAATTAGAGTGGTTAAAGTGCCACTCTCAACTATAATGGAACACAATACAATGGATACACTTGTGACCGGAATAGTAGGTAATCAAACTTTATTCAAAGGGTAAATAAAAACTAATTAAGCAGCATCAAAAGTCCACAATTAGTTCACCAGCCTTCTAACCCGCTCAGAGTTCATCTGGGGTATACAGACTGTATGAGTGTCCCTCTTTTCTCCGAGGCTTGGTAGCTTACGCCGATGTGCATTATCTGATTGCTTCCTGGTTCTGGTTCGTGCCGCGTTTCGCCCCTCCTCCTGGGGCTTTCTCAAACGTGAGAATAAGAGAAGATGTAGTCCACAACCTCTGGATTGTCAAAGGTTATCTAGGCCTGATTTATTGTTACGCGTCCTTGTGTTTAAATTTTTTTTGGATTTTACCTTTAAAATATATTTTGCTTTACACTGCCCAACCACATATTATGTTACTTAAGGCACATGTGGGGATGGAAAGAAGGAGATTATTGGGTAGGATCTTCCATTAGGATATTTCTAATTATTTGTAATCCCCTTTCACACAGAGGATCCGGGACAGATCTGGAAACTAAACTCGGGAGTGGCACTGCTAGGTTTTGTGACATTCTAAATACCTGCACACATTAAGGCATGCAGTTTCTGCTGTTGAAGTGACACCCTAATTCCCATCTGACAAATCAATTAAATGCCTCCTTTACACTGTATGTGTAGTGGTGGTCCTTTTTAGTAGCTTGGATGCAGGTATTTAGTGACAAAGTGGGGACGATCCTTAATTTTGTCCCTGCTACCAGTCAAAAAAATACATAAATACACTGGCTTCCTCACTGCAGTGGATTTGTACAGAAGCAAGGGTGCATCATCAGTTTCCCTCGAATTTGATTGTTAACCCCTCATCAAAAAGCACTTAAGGTGATGCAAAATGGTAGACCATTGAGTAGTTTCTCCTATTAGGAAGAGGCCCACTGGACGCCCATATAAATTTAATTGTAATCCCCAATCTCACCCTTGGACCTCTGTTATTTTATCCCTCCAGCTTCTGTACAGGGGAGGAGATGGAACAGGAATCACATAGCCAGTTTTTGAAGGGCCCACTGGACCTCCATAACAATTACTGGTAATACCATCCTACCACACAAGAGATTGATTGCATCAACTCTTGTGTATTGCAACAACACATATTATATAGGTGTTGTTGTTTTTTTTTTTTAAATGTCTTTCATTTGATCTCATACAAAATCTAATGAATTATAAAATAAATAAATGACAGGATCACTGCACCTAAACCACTTAATTGAGAGGAAGTGGTTTGGGTGACTTTCGTGGTAATTTTACCTTCATATTGCTGCCATAGGGTGTGAGAAAGTAAGAAGGACCATATGGTTGCATTATTGCCAGCTTACATTATGTATGTTTAAATACTTACCTGATGGATGTTTGTGCAACTAGAGTGCAAATACTAAAGATTTGAGGTTTTGCTGGTCAAAGAAGTTGATGAAATCTCCAACTGTGTCTTTAACAGTTCAGAGTTCTGTGAATTATTTGTATTTCATTAATAAAATATTTGAATGTTATACTTTATATGGAATCCTGATCAGTTCACATTTGTGTTTTTTTTAGCAGGCACTAATTAATCTGAATTGCTTGGTGTATTTAGTACATTGTCTTTACAATTCTCATTTTTGGGGTTCTCCAGATCTCCGGTAATAACTGACTGTTTTATTTGCATAAAATAATCAAAACCCTCCTTTCATTACACTTAAACATGCTAAATTACGAGGTCAATTGCTACATAGCCCGCTGATTGCAAAGGTTATTGCTGTAAATAAATAAACACTCATAGCACATAACGGTGAGCTTTAGTGCATGGAGATTTGTATTTGTGAGGTTTATTATTGCACAGCTCTGTTATAAGTCTTGGAGGACAGTAATATGAAGCATGCATTGTGTATTTCATTTCTGTGATTCTTGTAGACATCTGCACCCGTTATTTGGTTTGAAGCAACACCAGAAACTAATATTGGGGCAAGTGCCTTAAAAAGGGATATATGGGGTCTCTAAAATACTGCTTAACACGCACTGCATATGATCACAATATAATAAACCATAGCCTGGGAAATAGGTTTGTCTCATGAAGCATTACAAATTATAATATGTCCATGACTCCATTATTTTACACAAATGTGTGAGAATTGAGAGAGTGGTGGAAAAGGTATGAAGAAAAAGATAGTTTAACTACACTGCAGTGAATCAAAATAGTCCTTAAAACCAAGACAGATTAGATATAATTTCAATGGGAAGTATTTAGTGCCTCCCATTACAAAGAAGGTTTTAGGTCAGAAGGTGATCTGACCCAATTCCCTCCTCCCTCGCCACATAACATTACAAACAAATAGTAGGAGTATCACAAAGTATTAGTTCTATAACATTAGTCATTTATAGATTGAGAGAATGTATGAAATACTTTCAGGACCTCCTGGCTCCATGTTAAGCTGCAACAGGTACACGGCTTACCCCCTACAACAATGGTTGAGTACTTACCTTGGGAGGGTGTCAGGACACTGCTGGCACCATAACAAACAGCAGGCCAGAGCGGTTATGGTGCTTGGAATATTCCTAAGTCTGGTGTGTATTTCATAAGCATATTTCTTTTATGAAATATGTTCATGTTGACTGGAATTTAACTAAAATTAGTAAGAGCCCCACACACACGAGATACATAGATGCCACCATCTCAAAACATGCAAAACCCCCAAAAACCAACAGTGCTGCTTTTAATAAAACTCCCATGTCATAGACATGTGCAAGCAGTGTCTGGGCAAATTTTAATACAGGGCTTCATTTATTTTCTCTTTAATCCCATCCATTTAGTTTCCTACCTGCAATTTTCATTATCTACCTAAAGATCAATACATTGGGATATAGTCTTGCACACACCCATTTATCACTAGAGTGGTAATTATAATAAATATGAAATATATATATTTTTTTCAGATTAAAATCGATTAAATATTGAGCTATTGAGTCAGTTTGAAGAGAATCAAATGCAAGCCACTACCGCTACTCCATGAATGACTGATTCTACTGCAGTAAAGCTGTGGGTACAAGGACAGCACACAACTATTTTTTGACATACATTGTAGGAGCAGAGATTTCATCCTGGCACCACTAGCTTCTAAAAAGCACACATAAAACAACCGCCCCTAACTACATCAGGGTTACTATTGGAGTGAAATTCTCCATGCCAGGTGTGTTTTTGCCATTTTAGCTTAAAATGTTAAATCTGCTTTGAATTCCTGATAACTTACATTTTAGCAAGTTATCCTGTGCGTCTACAAAGCTGGCAAGTGGTCATCTTTTACTGGCAGACTAGTAAACAATTTGAAAGGCCCCTAATAATATTCTGGAAACAAGACCCTGCCCTTTTTATTCCCACTGCCTAAGAATAGCTATCTACACTACTGGCTGCCTCTCATGCCAGTCTAACAGGGAGTAGATACAACTCCCCTTGAGGTTAGAACTATAGTGAGTGGGAATTTGTTATCTATATGCAAGAAGGCCCCTTTTCTTGTTTGTTTGTTAATATATATATATATACATACATATACACATACACACACACACATATATATACACACACACTGCATTTTAGAATGCTGTAGGTAAGGTACAATATACAGGGCACTCAACAGTCTGGCTTTTGGCAGAACAGTATGGATTTATTTCCGTGGTGTCCGGTATCTTGGGCTACCAGGGAACGCTCCACAGACGTCACAGTGAGTCATCAGAGGTGCTTGCCCAGTGCTGCAAGCCCTAACACCACCCAGAAAGAGCTTCCCTGTGAGGAGGCCGGACAGGACTCAGTCTGTCAGCCTAATGTGCTTCATGCTGTAGTTGCAGTTCTACAGAATGCCTTTTCTTCATTTATATCTACAAATGTGCAATAGTTTGGAGGGATCTCTCCACTAAAAAAAGTTTTCTATTTTATACGTAGAACTGTACATATTTGAATTGCTCTGCACTGGTTATGTAGGACATAAGTAACTAAATACATGTAATTTTGCATATGTAGGCTTCTGCCCTATTTAGATTTGATTTACTTAGCACACATGGCTCTTGCAGAACACCAAATTAAATAAGTTCGGATACTTACTCTATATGATGTCCTATGAGATTCAATTCTTGCACCTTCAATAACACCAGTGGCAATTAAAGCTGCTGTGCTATCCAAAAAAATGAAATGCAAATTGGTATCTTGCTGAACTCAGAATGTTTCCTTGTTACAAATGTTTGATCTTCAAGACATAACTAAAATTCAGCTTAAAGTAGGTAATGGTAACCAAAGAACTGATCTTACAATACATTTTACTAAACCATTCAGTTGTAGCACGCTCAGACTGTACACAACACGAAGAAGAGATAACACACAGGGCACCATAACAACTCCAAAGTGGCTATAGGTCAGGGAGGTCCTACACACCAGCTTAACCCAAGGACTTAAACCATTAATGAACAGTTTAACCCTGCAGTCTTCCACCCAGCTTCTGATTGCTCTGCCCCTGACTTACCATTACAGTCTGAAGCCTCAGGCTGAGAGGGTCTGACAAAGTTCTATGACACAGAACATATTGAGAATGCAGAAATATATAGGTAACTGAACTGGTTTTAGATCTGGCGAAGAGATTAAAGAAATCTCCTTCTACATTCAAACTTCACGTCAGAATTGGCATTAGTGACCAGGAAGTTCACCTTTCCCCTTTTTACTTTATTGATGGATTCCTTTTAAAAAGAGGAATGTCGACTTACTGTTTGTTGTTGGGAAATTACCAATCTTCTTTAATGTTGGTATATGTAAAACACAGATGTATGTAATTTTTTAAAAAAATTGTAATGAAAATTTCGATTTTTCTCATGCTGTACTAGGTGAATTTGTAAAACTACTGCCTCAGACAAACCACACACTTCTCGTTCATCATTTAGCCTTAACCTACCCCTTTGGGCCTATAATCAAGGAATCTTTTATAGAGGTGTGCAGTTCTCTGGGGAAGATTTTGAACCCTCGTCCAACTGCACTGCAATCATAAATTAAACAGATTTCTTTGAAGGCTGACTCAACCAAATGTGTTTGCCATGTATGTTACACACCTGGGTCTGACTACATGAAAAACAGATGAACGATTTGGATTGAGTAACCTTGATTCTACCCCCAAGCCAGCTGGTTCAACAGTGCACATTCTGTAAAGAAACAAAACAAAACAAAAAAAAAAGCAGAAGCTACACAGCACTCCAATGATTGGTACAAAAAAAAAAATACCCAAACAAGAACACAATCATGTAAAAAAAAAAAAAAAAACCCACAACCTTTAGACATAAAAAAATATATAAAACAAAATGCACTTATTCTTGCTTGTTTTGACATTTACAAAAAATATAACTTAGGTCACAGGTTCCCAACCCAGTCCTCAAGTACACCTTACCAGTCCATGATTTAGGGATTACCCTGTTGTGTCTAAAGTGTTTTTTCCTTTTTCTAAAAACACAGACTCAACTGGGTAATCCCTATATCCTGGACTGTTAAGGGGTACTTCAGGACTGGGTTGGGAACCACTGACTTAGGTCAACATACTTTGGTGCTTAACAAAACCACTAACATCCCTTTCTCAACAGGACAATATAAAAAATTTCCCATTATAAAAATAGCATTGCCAAAGCAGAAACCTAGCTAAGAGATAAATGTAAGCAAATCTTAAAAGGACACTAAAATCACCAAAACCACTTCATCTCAATTAAGTTAAACTGGGTGCAGTGGCCCTGTGCCTTTTACCCTGCAACAGCAATGTAAAACAGTGCAGTGTTAAAAGACCACTCCACCACACTCATGAAGCACTTCAGCTTGCTGAAGGGCTGTAAGAGGGAGTATCCCACTTTAACCTCAGGTTATAAATGCGCAATTTCTATGAGAAATCTGTACTCAAATATATTATGGAGTATCCTTGGGCTGTCAGAGGAGGTTTGCTTCCACATTCCCTTAGCTCCCCTAAACTAATGGAAGTGGCAGGCACCCTCTATTTGGTCTGAATCATACTATAGAAACCTCAGTCCAGTGTCTTCAGCCCATTCAGCTCCTCCTTAGAGGAGACGGGTGCACACACACGAGTACGATGAGGAAGGCATTAGTATCCCAAACATTAAAGTGTACTGGTCTGGCTCAAGAATAAAGTTTTCCCTGTTTTCCACGCAATGATTAATCAGGCAAGCAAGGGACCAGGAAATGGGCAACACACTGCATTAAGCAGCAAAACATTTTCACTCAGTTTTAAAAAGCCATGTTCATAATTATGTTTATCTTAAAATTATTTAACTCAAGAGTGCCACCGTGTGGGGATACCAAAAGCATTATTTACAAGGCCTACAGAGGAGGGAAAAGTTAAAAAGGGACACTTAGCATTAAAATAACCAAGTGGTTTTGGAGTAAATTATGCTTCAGCAGTCTCAATTCTCTACCATTTAAGAGTTAAAAACACACTTTGTTTATAGAGCCCTAGATACACCTACCTTGGCTGGGACACCAACAGCCTCTCAACACTTCCTAAAAGGGTTTAAAATTATTTAACTTTCCTTATTGCACAGTGTGTAAAAGAAATTCTGCTCTATTATTAGACTGCAATAGACTCCTGTGTGCAAATAAAGTGTAATTAGAAGAGCAAAGGATAAGAACGTCTAAAGTAAACACATGCTCCAAGATCTATGTGAAAGTGAAATCACTGCTTTAATTGAGGCTGTGAGTTACAGTGAGGGGACGTGTGGCTAGGACTGCATGGATAGAAACAAAAGTGATTTACTACAGTGGCTATGATGCCAGGAGTAAGCGGGCCATGTCCTGGTAAGAGCTGTCAGATGTCGTTCGTGCCACACACTTATTGACAAGAGCAAGCATGTCAAACTCAAAGACTAGCACATGCCACATGAACAAGGTGGGCAGCAAAAAACAAACCCTTAAATTTTCATAGAAACATAGGTTTGTTTTGAAAAGTACAGTATAAAAAAAACAAAAAAGGGCTATAGTATAGAGGGGGGGGGTGCTGTTTAAAAAAAAAAAAAAAAAAACATTAGCCAACAAGCAGACTCCACTCACATTGCTGCTGCCAGTATGCGATGCCGGAGTCCAATCTCTGGTATACCCCCAATGGCGCTCTCCGCATCCTGTGCCAAATAGATCCTCCTGCTTTTCCTTGAAAACCTGTGAAGATGGAGCACGTTGACATCACGCCAGAATGTGACGTGGCTTTGTGCGTCTATGTGCACCTCCAGGTCCTCCACTGTCCAGCCGCGGCCATTGCAACACTGACCGACCAACACACACATTCAAAACATTTTATTTATTGCTCCTTACCTTTGGGAGCTGGTGTGGGCCTCTCCCTGACTTCTCTGGAGCTCAGTCTTCCTGCTCACTCACGTGCACAGTTTAGTGATGCCTGGTGCTGGAATTACATATTCCGGCACCAGGCATCATTACAGAGGGCGCGCAAGGGAACAGGAAGACTGAGCACCCTCGCTTCCACCAGAGACCTCTACTCTGCAGCTGGGTAGTTCTGGCAGAGTAGGCACCTGCTCGCCCCACATTGCAGGTGCATACCTGCTTTAGTAAGCATGGCAAATTCGTGGCTCACCGGGCCACAAAAATATCCATTGTGGGCCGCAAGTTTGACATGCTTGGACTAGAGTGTCAGGAGATCACTCCCAGCCAACTCTCTAAGTGTGCATAGAAATATGCACAGAATGGACATGAGCCAGCTTAGAATTCTTATTCCAGGCTGGCTAAGGAAGCCCCAGAGATTACACCTTCAGCAGAAAAAGGGTTAATTTCTGAGGGGGAAAAAAAATCTGCACAGACTCCAGTCACCCTGACCACTTCAAATCATTAAAGTGGTCAAAATGACTCTCCGTGATTAACTCCTGAATGGAGAGAACAAAGTACCAAAGACTGCCAGGGCATGATTTATACGCCAAAACAGCTCATTTAGCTAAAATTGTTCTGGGGCTTAGAGAGTGTCTCTAAAACTACAACGTAAGGAATGTATCTGATCATAAGTTTGGCACTCACGTCTATGGAACTCTGGATAAGACAAAACAATAGAAACCAACAGAAAGCTTTTAAAAAGGAACACTTCAAGTATCATTACTAAAAAGGCTGTATAGGCAAGAATGGTGTATGATGGGGTACCTGGGCACTATAACCATTTCAGCCTGCTGTTGTAGTTATGGTGCTTAGAGTACACCTTTAAAGGGAGCATTAACATTATCACTACATCACAGAAACCAGAGGGACTGCACTCATAGCCTTTATGTTTTAAAGCAGTCAGAAACCACCACTGCAGAATATCACTTTGTTACCTAGGCTAGTAGTGCTGAGATGTAAAAGGATTTGGCAATATCGAACGTTTGTTGATCCAAGAGTTAATGAAAATTCACCACCAAATCCCACTATACCACACCAGTCTAGAATTGCAATACATGCTTACTACGTCTAAAGCTTCATGCATGAAATTCCTTATTATGGACAACTGAGGCAGAGGCTCTAGGTGCCAGGAAACCCCCTGGCTTTTGTCAAATTGCTTGAAAACAAAGTTTGATAAAAATAGTAAAAACTGCACCCTTACTATCCTTGCACAATAACGAATACACCTGTGGTGACAACATTGCTTGGATTAACTCTTAAATGTGAGCTTCTGCAGGGACTTTGAATGAAATAAAAAACCAAAATCTAAGCTAAAATAGCCTATTTGGAAAAACTGTAAAGTCTACTTTTTTCATAGCTTGGACAGTTTAACCTACATTTTGCAACTTTGTTTTCAATTCACTGCAATTATTTGTTTAGTAAATAAATCGGTGTTTACTATACCATGAATGGTTATTAGTTCCAATGAAACCTTTTAGGCCAAAATAACTAAAATGAGAAATTTAAACTAAGCTAGGTTTCCATAGCAATTGTGACTAAAATTGTAAAGTACATGATAAATTACAAACAATACACACTTTGGTTTAATGAAGTATGAATAGTCCTGTATTTTAACCCTTCAATGTAAAACATTTTAAAGTTTATATTGAAGGGTTAAGTGGAAACAGTCACGCTCTGGCTTTCTGCTCCCACACCACAATCTCATTACAGAGGTGGGTGTCAACCTTCGGTAACTCCCAACCTTCATGTCCTCCTGTGCGCTTCCTTGATTTGCCCTGCTTGTGGACACTTTCCCAAGCAGAGCAAGACTTCTCCATGACGCAGGCAGTCTGGCTTTGTTGTCAGCATCTGAATGAAGCAACATCACTCCATTCCTATACTCCCTAGCCATCACTAGTATTGTTGGCTATGAAGTTGCAATAACAACCACAGCGCATGCACTGTGGTTGCTATGGGTGGAGAGCACAGTGATTTCCTTTTCTGCTATCCATCACTCCCTTCCTGATTTTAAATAGATGTTTCTCCAAATGTATACTTTTGCTAGCCTTATGTACAGATGGAATTTCAAACCATTTTAAGAGCTGAAGCAGTTTCACTTTAAATAAACCTCTAGAGCAGTGGTTCCCAACCCAGTCCTCAAGTGCCCTATACCAGTCCAGGATTTAGGGATTACCCTGTTGTGTCTAAAGTGTTTTTTTTCTTTCCTAAAAACACCTTTAACCCCTTAAGGACACATGACGTGTGACATGTCATGATTCCCTTTTATTCCAGAAGTTTGGTCCTTAAGGGGTTAAACACAACTGGGTAATCTCAGACTCCTGGACTTTTAGGGAGTACTTGTGGACTGGGTTGGGAACCACTGCTCTAAAGGCGGTTTTCCATCCTTTGTAGAAACTGCAATGTTTACATTGCAGGAATACCCCTAGTGGCTGTCTTCCTAAGTGAAAACTCTGTCCTAGAACCAAAGGGTGCCGACAGTAGCATTTAAATGGAGGTGTGTGCAGTATAAGGCTGTGAATTCCTAGTTCTAAAACACTGATTTTCTATTAGAAGTATTACAGCAGAGTGCATGTGGACGTCTTTGAAGGTGGAGTGGATGGCTGCAGCAGAAGAGACAGCGCTGGAAAACGAGGTAAGCAATCTTAAGAGTTTTTAAATATTAAAGGGAAGTAGACAAAATGGATTCAAACTCCCCGCAAAAAAAAATTTTTGGGACTACGGTTTCCCTTTGACACGTAGTGGTTCCCATAAAAGCAGTACTTAAAATGTTAGATTTTTCACTTACCTGAAGGCTCAATAATTACAGTAGCATAGTAACTATAACCACGAACTCAATCCTACCATTGACATCTAAGTTACCCTATTTAGAATTATTTTTGTAAAATTTCAAAAGGAAGATCTTACCATAAGGAGGGTTATTAGATTTTGAAATAAACTTTAACTCACAAGTTGGAGTAAACTTGGAATTAATAACTTTAACAACCCCACTTCCACAGGTACAATTAGGCAGAATTGAAATGTTTAAAAATGGAGTTTCCCAAGGAAAGCAAAAACAGGTTGTTAGCTCTATCATGAAGTGTGTGTCATTGAGCTGTGAAGTTTAATTGCAAACATGATAAACCATAGCACTTATAAGATTCAATGAATGAGGTGAACCAACCAATATTAGTGTTATGTAGCATTAAATGTATGGAGATCCATTTACGGAATTCTATCTTGAACCAAATCAAAGAGTCATAGAATACAAGGACGTATGATGTTAGCTCTCCCCAACAACCATTTAGTCAAAGACTGAGCACAAGATTCATCTAATCAACAAGTTAGGGGGAAGAACAATTACAAGGCTATGCACAAATTGTATTTTTTTTTTATTATGGTTTCCACATTTATATCACAAGTCGTCCACTGATAGGACCAAGTTAGCAAAGTTGCTTTCTTCTGCATATCATAAACACAGAAGTCTTACTGTACATTCAACTAAGGCTTTGTTTTTTGTTTGTTTTTTTTTTGCAAAAAAAGAAAAAAATTTAATCGCGTTTGATGGATATCCCATAAGGCAGATTACATCTAAAAAGGAATGGTAGCAAGTAGTTTTATTTTTAAAGTTTTTTTGTTTGTTTTTTGCTTTCCCCCCAGCATCCAACCAGGCCCTTTCTGTATGCAGTGGATAATTTAGAAGCTGGTAGCACCATCTGTCTACTACTTTAACCTATGGAATTAAATGAATGTCAGGTGTATTTCATTATGGGATAAAACAAAGCACGTTTTATAAAAGGAGAGGGGAGGGGTCGAACACAGACTGTTGGATATAAATTGTGGGAATTTTCTCATTTTTACTGCTACAAAAAGGGGTTATACATAAATTAAAAAATAAAATTGACACCTTAGCCTCGTGTGCTTTCATTTGCAACTGCTTGGAGAGAAGTTGGATATTTTAACCTAAAATGTGGATTGCTTTGGAATGTTCAGGCCTGCCGATAACTATTGGAGACTGAACAAAATCTAATTAAATAAAGAAAAAATATACATATATAAAAACAAAAAAAGGAGAGGGGAGATCAAATTGAAAACTCACTTTCCCATTTCACAATTAAGGAACCAGTTACGATGCTAGGAATACTTAAGTTTTTTGCAAGTCTGCTCTTCAGACGCTTTACTCAATTTTAATGGAAATAATAAAATCTGAAAAGGAAGAAAAGTTAACTCAAATAAATAAATGTATACTTCGCTATGGTAACTTCTCTTCTTTGACTTATTTAAATCCTCTTTCACATAAGCTTTTAGGTACCTGTCATACATATATATATATATAATAGATTTTTTTTTATTCCAGTCTATTTGCAGATACTGGAAAAACTCACTTTCTTGCAATTTCAGGGTTGGTTCAGACTTAACACTTTATTTTATTTTTTTTTCTTGTTTTTATTATAGCTCATTTGCTATAAGAGTTTTGGAAACTCCTAGTTTACCCCCTTGCACACCTTTCCAATGCATTTCTTTACTCCTTTCTGTAATCCTTTTATTGTGTTAAACTGGTAGCAGCATATTGCGCAAAAGAATGGGTGCAGCAAACATGGAGGGGAGGGGGGCACTGACGGGACATTCATTCCCAAGATTTAGTGGCCGCAAAACCCATCTCTGCTTTTCCAGGCTCTATTTACCACCCACCAACTCCCTTCCCCAGCAACAGAGGGGGGAGGGGAGGGGGAAGATTACTCATCTAAATCTTCTGTGTTGAGCTGTGGTCGTAGGGCGACCCATGATTTTGCAGTGAAAACCGCAGATATGACAAAGCAGATTTGGGACAGGAGCTCAGTCTAGGCAGACATAAGGCAAGATGTTTAATCTACCACCATCACCATGAGGGTCCAAGGAGATGCCTTTCGTCCAATTATACCAGTTGCCATTTGTATCATGACAGCCATTGACACCAGGCCAATGTTGGTTGTGTATTCTGTCTAAGTCAACGCTAGTGACATCCCTGGTTCGTCCAGGCAGGTCACTAGGAAGTACAAGTGGGACTAAAACATGAGTCTTTCTTGCTTCCCTCTTAGTGCATTCCTCCTGTTTTAAATATTCAGACATGTAATAGTGAGCACTCTGCGTTTGCACACCAGAGGAAGACAACAAGCTGCTCTGCCGGTTGAGATAGGATTGGATAATCTCATTTCGAGACAATTCCTTCCAGTTAGTCTGTTCAAAGGGATTTGGCAGGCCTAGTTTTGGATCCTGCTTGTCTGTCTCAGTTCTGTGCTGTTCTGAAGGGGCTGAACTCTCTGCTTGAGATGGGTCTTTGTTTGTAAGAGGTTTAATTTGCCCAGTCATAAAGTCGAATTTTAGCATACGCTCCCTTTTTACCCGTGCTGGTTTACTAGTCCCATCTGTCAAAAGTCCCTCCTGCTCACCCCGACCCCGAGATTTTTTCCTCTTCTGGCTGTCAGAACCAGATGCAGCATCATCACTGTCCATTTTGGAGGCCTCTGGCGAAAAACCAGTGCGTGGTGTTTGGGTGTCTATATTGGGCAGACAAGTACGAGCCCCATGGGGTGTGTGCTGTTGTGATGTCCGGGGTGTGTGCTGGCAATCAGCTGAGGATAATTGCTCTATCAACCTGTGTGGGGAGGAAACTGCCATGGTGTCCCTTCTAGGGGACTCTAGTCTTTTTGCTATGGCAGGGGGTGTAGGTGGGTGAGCAGGAGATTGGTAAGAGGGAGCAAGTGCAGCGTCTACACCCGGCAGCCTCTGTGAGGGGCTGGGCACAGAACCCTTTGGTGCATATGTGGTGTGCTGCCGTGCAACAAGTTCTGGCCTATTGCCACGAGGGCTGAAGGAGGCACAGCGAGGACTTCGTGGTTGATGAGAAGAGGCATCCTCCAAACCCCCACTGTGCTGCTGAAGCACTGCTGCTTTTAGCAAGGAAGAAGTGCTTGGGTGTTTAACAAGTCCGGGGGAGTTGGTGTGAGGCCGGACGGCATTCACTGGGATTTTGACCTGTTTGTCATTCTCAGCAGGGTCAATCCGATTTGTCTGTAAGCCTCCATCTAATGGGCTAGGGAGACTCTCGGCAGGGCTGCCCCCAATTCCATTTGTTGGAGGGGACAGGGAGTTTTGCAAAAGCTCATGGCTGGCCTTAGCAACCTTACAAGCAGTCCCTTGGGTACCATCTCTAGTTTCCCCTTTCTTCTTTCGGTTGGCAAGCTTTTCAGCTTTTGGCGAATGTGCTCTCTGGATGTCATTCCTAGCTTTCAGCTCTTGGATGGGCTTCCCACTCAGTAGTGCTGTTGGTGCAGTCTCTGCTTTGCAATTGTGGGAACCACCTCCATTAGCAGAACCAGGAGGATTAGCATTGCCCCTAGCAGATGGCTCACTCTGGGCTACAGGCTCTATTAGCTTTTGCCAGCTCCGAAGTAACTTCTTTGCACGCTTAGCAAGCTCCTCGTTGCTGGTCTTCTTCCGAACATCATTGATCAGTTTTCCTAGTCGTGTTTCCTGTGGGAAGAAGAGAAGAAACAAAGAAAAAGACATTCTGTAAGGAAAGGCCTTGCTGAAATGAATCCTTTATATCCATTGTACTTCATAAAAAGTAGAAGACATCTAAACAACTAATACCATCATCCGTGGTTCGTTATGTGTAATAAAAATGTCAAAACAGTTTATTTAAGGAACACTATAGACACCAAAACAACTTTAGCTTATTGAAGCAGTGTTGGTGTATAAATTATGTCCCTGCAGTCTCACTGCTCAATATCTGCCATTTAGGTATTAATTAATTCACTTAGTTTATGCAGCCCTAGTCACACCTCCTTGCATGTGACTTGCACAGTCTTCCTAAACACTTGCTGTAAAGAGTCTAGTGTTAACACTTCCTTTATTGCAAATACAGTTTCATTTAAAATGAAACCATTTTTTTTTCAAGCTGGCTGCATCTGTCACAGTCAGGGGAGATGTGACTAGGGGTTCATGGACAGAAACTAAGTGATTTAATTCCTAAATGGCATAAAACAGAGCAGTGAGACTTCAAAGACATGCTATATACACAAGAACTGCTTAATTAAGCTAAAGTTGTTTTGGGGACTACAGTGTCCCTTTAATAATAATTTTTACAAATTAAAATACATAAATCGGGACAGAGTAATTGCTGTACTATTTACACAAAGAATGAAGTGTATTTTATGGCACAAGACCTACCACATTTTTCATACTAGTTAGAAGAGTGGTAATGTCAATACCTTAGAACTTCGGTCAGACCACCTCACCAGTAAGTGTCCTTAGGCATTTAGACAGCTAAAAGATGTGTCTGCCTTCTTCAATTTACATCCTAGATTGTAAGCTCATTTGAGCATGGACTTCCTATCAATTGTAAAGTGCTGGGAAATACGTGTAAAACTTTAATAGTCGTATTTATGTTTTAACAAAATATAACAAAATGTTGCATAATATTTATCTTTATGCTGCTGTGCAAACCACTCAAGCACATTAGCTACCTCTACTTTTGTCATAAGGTTACAGGCCAATGCTTTGGGGTAAAACGATATAAGTGCATGTTATGTAAAATTTATACTATAGATAAAAATCAATATGTTGACTGTGCAAGTCAAACTGTTAAACACACAAGTGAAATAGAAGTTTACTCAGCTAGAGCTATGTACAGCTGGAATAAAGTTATGACAAACTGCACTGGGTAGAGCCCTCTAATTTCTTTGGTAGTACAAAACCCAAGCTCAGTTAAAGGAACAGCATAGCATTAGGAATACAAACATGTATTCTACTCCTAATTTAGATTAAGACCCCATTAACACCTTAGTGACCGCGGACATACAGGGTACATCAGACAAAAAACGTTCGTTAACTACCGCTGACCTCTGCAAATACGATCGCTTCCACTCTAAAGGTACTGCAGCAATGCCTCATGTCAAGGCATCCTGCAATAACCCCCCTGACTGTCGGGTCGCCCAGACAGCCCCCCGAGCCATGTGATCGCTCTGAAAGAGTGGTCACATAGCCACAATAGGAGTCCAGGCATCTGCCTGCAGGAGGACTGCCTGAACTGACAGGCAGTCCCCCTGCTGGTGAAAAAAAGTAAAAACAAAAAATCTCAGAGAGATAGATATAGAGAGATAGATATATATCTATCATGTATAACATACTATATATTTTTTATTAAATATTTACATATAATAAGAATACACAGATTATAAATACATTTTTAATTTAAAAAACCCAAAAAATTATGTAATTTTATTCTAACTGTATTTTGATATTTATATCAAAATACACGTAGAATGAAATTATAATATATATAAAAAAAAATACAAAATATACAGATTTCCATTTACATAACTTCATAAATATACACGTAGACTTCAAATAAATAAATATATATTTAAATTCTACATGCATATTTATATAATATTTTTACATAAAGTAATTTTATTGAGGGGGACCTGCCTGACAACCCTGGCTGAAAGTCCAGAGAATTTAATTTGCTAGCACTATTTTTAACCTTGTAACTTTCCAAGACACCCTAAAACCTGTACATGGGGGGTACTGCTTTACTTGGTAGACTTTGCTGAACACAAATATTAGTATTTCAAAACCGTAAAACATATCACAGCAATGATATTGTCAGTGAAAGTGTTGTTTTACTACATTTTTCAAACGGCACTTTCACTGATATTGTTGTGATATGTTTTACCGTTTTGAAACACTAATATTCGTGTTCAGGGAAGTCTCCAGAGTATAATAGTAGTTAATAGTTAATCAAATATAAGTCGTGATTTTCCGTTTCTTCACATTGAAATTTGCCAGATTTGTTATGTTGCCTTTGAAAACATATGGAAGCCCAGGAATGAGAATTACTCCCCTGATGGCATACCATTTGCAAAAGAAGACAACACAAGGTATTGCAAATGGGGTATGTTCAGTCTTTTTTAGTAGCCACTTAATCACAAACACTGGCCAAAGTTCATAGTTTTTTGTATTTTAAAACAAATATAAATGCTAAGTTTGGCAAATGTTTATGTAAGTGGCTACTAAAAAAGACTTGACATATTCCATACTGAATACTCAGGGTTGTCCACTTTAAAAAAAAAATTGTGTGGGTACAATAAGTAAGAGGAAAATTACAGCTAACCACAAACACTGCAGAAATGTAAAAAAAAGCCCTGGTCCCAAACGGTAAAAAAATTGAAAAGTGGTCTGGTCACTAAGGGGTTAAAGGAACACTACAGGGTCAGGAACACAGACATGTATTCCTGACCCTATAGTGTTAAAAACACCATCTAGGCCTCCCTACCCCCATAAATATAGTAATAACTTGCCTTTATTCAAGTCTGCTGCTGCTGGCTCTGCCCCTGAACTGCCTGCTTGGCTGACATCACCAGAAGTGATGATCTAAGCTAATAGGAGAGCATTGGATTTGTTGAGCTTGTTAAAAAGAATCTATAGTGCCAGGAATTTATTGCTGTCTATTGGCAAAAAAAAAAAAGTAAACAACATGCTAACGTTTTGATTACTTTTAAACTCTGACCAGCTTATTAATCTCATAATAAAATAAATCATAACTGGATACAGTAATTTAAACATTTTTAATTTAATATGAAACAGTACTATCTATCCTAAACACAGATTATAAGCATACGAGTCCACAGGCCTAACTTAGGCCCAAAATTTGCACATTATTTTGGTGGTCTACTTAGCCGGCAAATCTAGAATAACTTTTATAGAAAGAAGAAAAAAAAAAAAAAAACACTTAAAAATTTGGGGGGTTGACTTACATGACAGCATATATGGTACATTTAGCCAGTCACTTTTTTTTCCTTTTTCAAACCAACCTGACTCCAGTTACACAAAATTGTTTCTGACTCCACAACTCTGCCCCACACACTGACAAAGATTAGGAAAACGGGAGGGTCTCCATAAAACACAAAACATTATAAAGAATGGAAGGCATGGTTATAGTGACAGATGAGAAGGGGCAAGTTACATTTGAATAAAAGGGAAAGAGCAATGCCGCCCATATATATGCACTCCACTGATTATCCTGTTTAATAATAGCAACCTGGAATTCTTTCATCAGTTCTGGAACAACCAGAGGCACCCAGAGTGCTCTCCACAAGATTAGTTATCAAAGCCATGCACAGAGCACAGCAACATTAAAGATGGAGAATGGGAGACCAGGATGCAGTTTATGTGACTGAATCACAAACTAGTAGGTTACAACTTTTGTGACCTACCGTATTTGAGGTAGTATCCATACTGCTACACACAAATTAAGATTGAGTTGGCAAGTTTTGCCTGGCTCCTACATTTTGTGAAAGTTTGTGAATACCTTATAAAGGACAATGTAGATTAGATTCACCATCTTTAATAAATGCTGTTTTAAAAAAAAAAAAAAGTTGCACCATCTTTTACAGCAGCATCCTTGCAAACCAAACTTTTTCGGTGATTAAAGATAAAAAAAACCAAAAAAACAAATATACTCTCCAAGATGCCTGAACTATCTTAAAGGACCACTATAGGCAGCTAGACCACTTCAGCTCAATTAAGTGGTCTGGGTGCCATGTTCATCTAGGGTTAACTCTGCAGCTGTAAACATAGCAGTTTCAGAGAAACTGCTATGTTTACATTAGAGTTAATCCAGCCTCTAGTAGGAGGGAGAGAGGGAGAGAGAGGGAGAGAGGGAGAGAGAGAGAGAGACATATATACACACAGATATATTCTAAGTATATTTTATTTTTAACCTAAGGGGTTAAGAGGGGAGGAGAGGCAGAGTGTGTCAGCCAGTGATTTGAAATCATTGGCTGACACACAGGATAAGTGGTCACTGTAATCACCTCCTGCAGATCGCAGTAATTGGCCACAGGGGGAGTGCCTGGTTGGCCAGGCATGCCCCCCACTGCAGTGAGAGGCAGTCTCTGCGATCAGATCGCAGTGAGAGGCAGTCTCTGCGATCAACCTGAGCAGATCGCGGTGGTAAATACCGATCGCAGTGCCAGCCTGTCACTGCGATCGGAGGCTGCAGACTGCGGTCACTGGGCGGCTGCCAGGCATGCCCCCGACCACGATCTGCAGTGCGGTAATGCTGCCGGCCACATGAGCGGCAAGGACGCCCAGGACGTTTTATGCAGTCCTGCGGCGTTTAGAGCCACCCTCTTAAGGACGGCATAGAACGTCCTGCGTCCTTAAGGGGTTAATTGACTTATAACTGCAAATATTTAAAAAATATTTGCAGTTATATCACATCATCAGAATGACCTGTTACACTGAATCCATATGGATAGATATCTATATAAATATAAACAGATGGTAAACTGTGTAGACCATTTACACAATACTTACTGCTACACACCCAGAACTATTGTATTGCTAGAAGGCACTTTAAGAGGCTACTACTATACAGGTGATATTACCGGACTAGTCCAGCTTTGTAATTTCAACAATATCTTCACCACTTGAAATAAGACCCTACCCACTAATGTGAGAAACAAAGGGATGAAAACTACTTAAAGGACCATTATAGTGCCAGGACAACAAACTCGTTTTCCTGGTACTATAGGGTCATTAGGTCCCCCCAACCCTCAGGGCCCCCCTTCAGCCACTTACCTTTCTCCAGCGCCGAGGGGAACTCTCCACCCCCTGCCGACGTCAGATTCGATTGCGTGTGCGCAGCAATAGCCACGCACACATTTAAACCACCCATAGGAAAGCATTACTCAATGCTTTCCTATGGACGTTCAGAGTCTTCTCACTGATTTTCACAGTGAGAGTCGCGGAAGCGCCTGTCAGTGAGACAGCCACTAGAGGCTGGATTTACCCTCAGTGAAACATAGCAGTTTCTCTGAAATTGCTATGTTTACAGCTGCAGGGTTAAAACTAGAGGGACTTGGCACCCAGACCACTTCATTGAGCTGAAGTGGTTGGGTGCTTATGGTGGTCCTTTAAACATCCTTACAATATAAAACAGTAAAACTACTTTTATGGGTAGCTTGTCATCAAAATTTGAGAGCAATTTTTTTATTTTTTTTATTTTAGTTGAAAAAAGTCAAAACCAACCTCCAGTGCCTCTTTGGTAATTGGATATCTCTCCAGACTGGAGATCACTTCAAGCACGGCCACCATGTTACGAATCTGTAGAAAGAGTAACCGGTTACAACATTAAACTGGAGAATATTAAATTAATACAGATTATTACAGATTAGCATGAATGTGAAACTCAGAAATGCTCATCTTGCTGCAAGTGGATTTTTGAAGAAATTTAGAAATCATTCATGAAACACTTTCAAAAGACTTCTGTTAGCATAACAATTAAGCAGTCCCTCTCCCCCCACATAAACTAACCCCTTTCAAAGTGATTTTTTGATACTGAATATTAACTGCACACCCCAAGCACCATAATCATGTATGCACATGACCGGTTATGGTACAAGGATCTCACCATTTCCCCCTGCCCACACACACACACACAAAAAAAAACAAAAAAAAACACACACACACAACCTGACACCATATGTATTATTTTACACAACTCTAATGCAACAGCAATATGCTGTAATTCACCAGGTAAAATATGAGCAGTAAAAATCTCTACCCTGGTCTACAGCATAAGTTAGCATTTATCGTTTTGTGTTTCATTGTAAGACATTGATGATCTTCTACGGGGTTTTGAAAAGCACTACTTCTGGACAAATTATGATGTTGATAGACACATCTATCATCATCAGACCAATCAACACATCATTCTAATTTAACCACACAATACTACTTACACATTGTACTCAAAATAATGAGAACAGTGAAGAAACAGGTCTTTCTTGCACAAAGCAAGACGTTCTCCTACTACAGACCAGCTGTATGAATCAACAGACTGCAATAAGCACCACCACTGCTACTTCTGTGCACTTCTGAACAGAGTTATATACTCAGTGGGTAGCTAGGACAAGGTTAAAAATCAGTACTCCATCCCTTACACTGTTTACAGTTCAGGGTTGCTCTCCCATCATGCCCTGGGTCAAAGCTCTATAAATAGTGAGCTGAATGCTATTCATAGGCTGGCTTGTCAGGAAAGCGATCAGATTATTACTGATTAGCACAAACAAGGGACACAGTATCACAACTTCTTAAATTGCCTTTCTTGCAGAACAACAGAAGTCAAACTAACTAATGAAGCATGGGACCATTATTATACCAGTGAAAAGTATGGATGATATATAAAAATAAAAATAAAAAAATAGACATCAGGTGTGTTTAACAGGCTGGACGCAACTAAATCCCTATTTTTGCCTGGGTGAGTTATTTTTAAATAAAACACATTCTGTGAGCCTTGAAATTGAGGTATAATGAATGAATGCAGTGCGCTGAATCTTGTATTTTATATACGCAAAAAGTACAGAGAATGATTATTTATAAAGCGCCAACAAGTTCCGTAGTGCTGTACAACGGGTGGACAAACACACCTTTTTTAACAAGATAAGTTGGACGCACAGGAACAGAGGGACCTGCTCAATGAGCTTACATGCGAGAGGGAGTGGGGTATAGTGACACAAAGGGTAAGGATATGGTAGAAAAGTAGGTTGCTAGGATAGTATTCATCGAGGGCTTACTGTTTTGATGACAGTTGCAGGAGAGGAATTAGGGTGCGGGGAGGGAAAGCTGTTCACCGTTTAATTGATATGCTTTCCTAAAGAATTTTTCAAAGATTTTTTTGAAGGAGTGGAAGGGCGTTCCATAGGAATGGTGCAGCCCTAGAGAAGTCTTTAAGGCGAGCATTAGGGATAGGAGTATGAACAGAGGTCAGATGTAGGGAGGTGCATAGATGGGACATATTTGTGTATTAGTGAGGATAAGTAGGTCGGAGCAGCATTGTGCAGAGATTTGTAAGCAAGTATCAGGACTTTATATTGAGTTCTAAATCTCACAGGAAGCCAATGTAGGGACTGACAAAGGGAACACCTAGGCAGCGAGCTTGAGAGGTAGAGCTGATGGTAGCACCATTGACAGACAAGGAAGTAGCAACACTTGATGGAGGAAAGACCAGAGGTTCAGATTTGGACAGATTCAGTTTAAGGAAACGAGCAGCCACCCAGTTGGAAATAGCAGAGAGGCAGCCAGAGACACAAGTCAAGAAGGGTGGTGAGATATCCAGGGAGGACAGGTAAATTTGCGCCACCTGCATAGAAATGATACTGGAAGCTGAAGGAGCTCATGTGTTTACCAAGGGAGGCAGGGTAGATTGAGAACAATAGGGTCCAAGGGCAGACCCTTGGGAAACACCAACAGAGAGGGATTGGGCTAAAGGAGCACCAGGAGAGAGCTGTATCTCATAGACCGAGATTACGAAGGATGAGAAGAAGCTGATGATCAACTGTGTCAAAAGCAGCAGAAAGGCGGAGGAGAATTGGGATAGAGTAGTGGTCACATAATTTTGCAGTGATAAGATCATTGTATACTTTGGTTACAGCTGTTTCAACAGAGTGACGAGCGTGGAATCCAGATTGAAGCGGGTCAAGCACAGAGTTGGATTCGAGCAAGTCTGTCAATCTCTCATACACAATTCTCTCAAGGATCTTGGCGACAAACTGTAGCGAGATAGGGCGGTTGTTGGAGAGGGAATTGTGGTCACAGTTGGCTTTTTCAGAATCGGGGTTACGATTGCATGTTTGAAGGGTAAATGGAGGGTGCTATTTAAGTGAACTACAGAGCAAGAGAAGGAGACAAAGTGCGGATGAGAGACAAGGGAATATGATTGAGGGAACAGGTGGTGGGGCGAGAGGAACAGAGCAGAAACCTCTTCTGCTGTAGCGGGTGAAAATGAGCAAAGGAGAGCTGAGTGAGTGTAGTTAGGTGAAAAGTTGGTAGTGGATGGGGAGAGATGAGCGATCTCCTGATTGTAGAAATCTTCTCAGTGAAGTGAGTTGCAAAGTTTGTGGTGGTTAAGTTGGTAGGAGGAGGAGGCACAACAGGGCGAAGAAGAGTTAAAAGCATGAAACTGTTGTTTGGGCTAATGGGAGAGTGGTTATGAGTGTATTGATGTAGTTTCCTTTTGAAGAGGAAAGTGCCAGACTGTAGGAGCGCAGCATACATTTATAGCGGATGAAGTCAGATGCACTATAAAGCAAGCAGTGTTCAGCAGTTCTGGAACATTTTTGGAGGAATCGGATCAGCTTGCTGTGTTTAAGTGTAGTAGGTGCAATGATATCTAGTTGAGAGGAAAGAGTGGAGTTGTAGAGGGAGGTTGCAGTGTTAGGGCAGGTGAGATTTGTGATGGGTGAAAGTAGACTGGAGGTTGGTGGAGAATCACTGTAGGTCAAGAGAATGGAGGTTTCAGCAAGACTGATGTGGTGAACTGTGGGTACAGGGTATGTGGATGTCAATGGACAGCAGATGGTGGACAGATAGAGGAAATGGAACATTTGAGAGATTAGAGGTGATACAGAGATTGGTGAAGATAAGGTCAAGAGTGTTCCCGAGCTGCTGAATTATACCACTGTGAGAGTCCAACAGAGGAGGTTACAAAGAGCAGACGAGAGGCATCAGTACAGTTGGGGTTGTTGATTGGGATATTAAAATCCCCAAGAATTAGGGAAGGAGTGCTAGAGGACAGGAAATAGGGTAGCCAGGAAGAAACAAGTGTTCAATGAATAGCCTAGGATGACCAGTGGGTGGATAAAATGATAGCAATTCTTAGAGGAGTGGGTTTAAATAGACGGACAGTGTGAACTTCAAAGGAAGTAAAGGATAGGACAGGGAGGATAGTTTGAAAGGCACATTGAGGGGAGAGAAGGAGGACTACACCATCACCTTTACAGTTTATTTGGCCATTCAGCTGAATAGAGTTCTCAAGCAACACTTCCACAACAGCAATATAAATTCCATCACTATTTCTGTTCAGGCAATAAATGGACCCAAAACTGGCCAAAATTGACATTACAAATGTGAAAGCATAACTGCTTACAGGAGCAGTCTGGACAATATTGCACTTTGGGCACAGCACCAGGGACATGTCGCCACCATAACCAATACCATATACTATAAATTAAAGGGACAAAACAAGCTTTAGCTTAATGAAGCAGTTTTGATGTATAGATTATGCCTTTAAAGTTGCACTACTCAATTCTGTGTCATTTAGGAATTAACCCCTTAACGGCGTTCTATGCCGTCGCGGCTTTAAAGCCGTTGCGGCGGCATAGAACACAGTAACGGCTTTCAGCCCCAGAGGATCGCAGCTACTTACCTCCGCTGGGATCCTCTTCTGGAGGGCTGCCTGACCGCCCAGGCAGCCCTCCCCCGGCGAAAGAGCGATCACATGGCCCCCTATAGCTGGCTATGGATCTGCCAGCAGGGGGACTGTCTGAAATATCAGACAGTCCCCCTGCTGGTGGGAAATGAAAAATAAAAATGTGTAAAAAAATATATATATATATATATATATTTAATATATATATATATATATATATATATATATATATATATATATATATATATATATATATATATATATATATATATATATATATAAAAAACGTCATACGTTGTGTATTTTAATACTAATATTAAGGACGGCGCCAAATGCACACGATGTGAACAAAAAAAATGTAAACAAAACCTGGCATTTGCGCTACATGTCTGTCCAACCATAATTCACCTCTTTCATATTAAATGCACCCACCCTTATTATATATCATTTTATTCAGGGGAAACAGTGCTTTCATTTAATATCAAATATTTAGCTATGAAACATAATTTAATATGAAAAAATGGGAGAAAATAAGATTTTAAAAAATTTTTTTAGTTCTACATGACATTTTAACTGTCAATGTCTTAATGTTTGCTTTTACTGCAATAAAATACACATATTTGTATTCAGCAAAGTCTCACGTGTAAAACAGTACCTCCTATGTACAGGTTTTATGGTGTTTTGGGAAGTTACAGGGTCAAATATAGCACGTTACATTTGAAATTTGCCAGATTGGTTACATTGCCTTTGAGACTGTATAGTAGCCCAGGAATGAAATTTACATCCATAATGGCATACCATTTGCAATAGTAGACAACCCAAGGTATTGCAAATGGGGTATGTCCAGTCTTTTTTAGTAGCCATTTGGTCACAAACACTGGCCAAAGTTAGCGTTAGTATTTGTTTGTGTGTGAAAAATGCAAAAAAACGCCAATTTTGGCCAGTGTTTGTGACTAAGTGGCTACTAAAAAAGACTGGACATACCCTGTTTGCAATACCTTGGGTTGTCTACAATTGCAAATGGTATGCCATCATAGGGGTAATTTTCATTCTTGGGCTACCATAGGGTCTCAAAGGCAACGTAACCAATCTGGCGAATTTTAATGTGAAAAAAATGAAACACAAGCCTTATATTTGACGCTGTAACTTTTGAAAACACCATAAAACCTGTACATGAGGGGTACTGTTGTACTCGGGAGACTTCGCTGAACACAAATATTTGTGTTTCAAAACAGTAAAAAGTATCACAGCAATAATATCGTCTGTGTAAGTGCTGTTTGTGCGTGAAAAATGCAAAAAAACTTCACTTTTACTGGCGATATTGTTGTAATACATTTTACTGTTTTGAAACACTAATATTTTTCTTCAGCTAACTCTCCCGAGTAGAACAGTACCCCCCATGTACAGGTTTTATGGTGTCTTGGAAAGTTATAGGGTTAAATATAGTGCTAGCAAATTACATTCCCTTTACTTTCGGCATGGGTTGTCAGGCAGGTCCGCTAATTGTAATTAATAAAGATACCTAATTATGTAAAAATATTACATAAATATATATACACACACATGTATATATATATATATCTTTATAATTTTTTTCAATATTTTATTTATATATATAGTGATATGTACGTATATATTTATGTATATAGATATATATTATTTCGTTCTACGTGTATTTTGATATGTATATATTAATTTCACAATACAGTTAGAACGAAATAACATCTATATATTTATTTTTGAGAGAGAGAGAGAGAGAGGGAGAGAGAGGGGGAGAGAGAGAGAGAGAGAGAGAGAGAGAGAGAGAGAGGGGGGAGAGGGGGGAGAGGGGGGAGAGGGGGGAGGAGGGGGGAGAGGGGGAGAGGGGGGAGAGGGGGGAGAGGAGGGAGGGGGAGAGGGAGAGGGAGAGGGAGACATATACACACAGATATATTCTAAGTATATTTTATTTTTAACCTAAGGGGTTAAGAGGGGAGGAGAGAGGCAGTGTGTGTCAGCCAGTGATTTGAGAGAGAGATTTATTTTAGAGCCGCTTAGAATAGCCGTTTTTTGCATTTTTTACAAACAAACTGCACTTTTATGGACTATATTATTGTTGTAATATGTTTTACTGTTTTAAAACACTAATATTTGTGTTTAGTGAAGTCTCCAGAGAATAACAATACCCCCAATGTACAGGTTTTATTGTGTTTTGGAAAGTTAGAGTCACACATATAAGGCTTGCATTTCATTTTTTTGACATTGAAATTTGCCAGATTGGTTATGTTGCCTTTGAGAGCGTATGGTAGCCCAGGAATAAGAATTACCCCGTTGATGGCATACCATTTGCAAAAGTAGACAACCCAAGGTATTGCAAATGCGGTATGTCCAGTCATTTTTAGTAGCCACTTAGTCACAAACTTCTGTTTATGCAGCACTAATGCATCTCTATGAGGAAAATTCAGCGTCTCCATGCAGAGGGAGGAGGCACTGAATGTTTGGATGCATTTTAGGCAGCCATGACCCAGGAAGGATCTCTAACAGCCATTTGAGGAGTGGCCAGTGAAGTTATCACTAGGCTGTAATGTAAACACTGCATTTTCTCTGAAAAGACCGTGTTTACAGCAAAACGCCTGAAGGTAATGATTCTACTCACCAGAACAAATTCAATAAGCTGTAGTTCTGTTGACTATAGTGTCCCTTTAAGTATACAAAGGTAGTGAAAGGAGTCGAACGATGCTTGAATTCGTGCGGTTGAAAGAACTTAAAGCCCAATCAAATGCTTTCGCTAAAAATCGGCATGGGTTGGGACCACACAGTGTTTTGGCCAATCAGGACCTTCTCAGAGATGCATTGAATCAATGCAGCTCTATGAGGAAGATTCAGCGTCTCCATGCAGAGCGTAGGGGCCTCGAACGGCAGGGCTGCTTACTGTGCAGCCCTGAGCCAGGAAGCCCCTCTGATGGCCATCTAAGGAGTGGCCACTTGAAACAGTGGCCCTTGGGGCTATGTAAACACTGCCTTTTCTCTGAAAAGGCAGTGTTTACATGAAAATGCCTGAAGGGACCTATTATACTCACCAGAACAACTACATTAAGCTGTAGTTCTGGTGACTATAGTGTCCCTTTAAGGAACATTATTAATCAAAGAAAAAACAAACACCATGCTCCAGCAGAATACACAATCATTGCAACTTCATTAGTATGAACAACCTCGGCATGATGAACTGCACCAGAGGGCGGAGCCAAAGCCAAAATCGTTTCAGACCCAAAAGGGTCAGAGGAAATCATAACTCATAGGAATAAAACAAATTAGCCACTAACCCTTTCAGTTGAGCAGTGGTTTTGCTTTTGTTTCGTATTGGATGGCAAGCCAATTCTCACCATTAATATTTATTTTTGGCAGAGTGGAAAAGGAACAAGGAATTTTTCTTGCATGGCCAGTTGCTAGTTCTGATCTGTCTTGAGTGCAGGTGGACATAACTAGTTAGTTACATGGCTACCTATACGATGACAGTGACAGCTAGAGCAGCCTGTCATTGCCCCTCACTATGATGCTTTATTGGACTTAGCAACTTCTCTCCAGCCAGTGAAAAAACTCACACTACCTTGGTTCCCATGGTAACCAATAATGCTCCCATTGAAACTTGAGATGCTGCTGGTAAGAGATTTGAGTGAATGGTACAGACCAGCTGTAACAGGTATCCCTCTTTCGTGGTACCTATAATCAATATATACATTGTGCTAGAATGTTTGCTAGAAAATGTATGTATTGGGAGAAAAAAAAAAAAAAACATTTAAAAATAGGTCTTTCCCACAGCTGTCAGTCAATTGATTGGCATACACTATATGCACCAAAGAGCTGACTGACAATTGAGATTAGAAAAGGCTTCCCCCACAGGCAGTCTTTCTATTCTCCACACATTGCAGGCGATTTAGTGGTTATGATAACCCCTTAACCAATGCAGACATCACTCTACTCTGATGTCTGCATGCTGGCAACAAAGCCAGTGTGTTGGCAAGGCAGAAGAGGTTCGCCTTTCTTGGATAAGCGTCCCTAAGCTGGGCAAAAAAATAAATAAAGAAAAGCACTCTCTTAAATAATAAAATACATTACAGGTGCACTTTTAAATTGGTAAGAAATCCCTTCAGCTCTGGGCTCAGTTTTAAAGGAATTCTCCAAACACCATAACTACTACAGCCTGTTGTAGTAGCTACACCTCCCAGAGTAATTGGTCAAACCATTTTAGGGTGCACGCATCCATAGCCCTGCTTTCCACGGAGATAAGCTATATTAGAACTGCTTCAACTCAATGAAGACAACCTTCTGAGGCCAGATGTGGCTCTGGTACCATGGAGATCCAGGTAAGATTTTTTGGGGAGGTGGGGCAGAGCAGGGGCACAGTTCCTGGCAAATGAAGGTCCGGGAGCTTTAGAATGAATATGATGGTTCCTGTAATAGAGAGATTCAGGTAAGGATAACTCCACTAAAGTTGCACCACTGGGCCACCACAAAGCAAGTGTGGATGTCATCTTAGAGGGTCTTTGTAAAATAGTCAAAAAATGCCAAAGGTGACAAAGCTGCCTTAAACAAATCTCCTGTAGTGTTTGGAGACTGATTCTTTAAGAATCTGCCAGGTTGTTGTAGCTAGCAGGTCTCCTGTAAATAGCTCTAACTCATGTTACAGCGCTATGACAGTTCTTCTGGTTAGAGAAGACTATCAATGTACATATACTTTTTCTCCATTCTAAAACAGCAGGGAGGATGAGGAGAGACCTGCAAATCACAACGTGTAGCATTCTTGTAGCTCGCCTGTGAAGGCAACTTTGGTCTTTATGTAAGGATTAAGAGGCTGTCACTCACGGTGTTAAAGAATGTCACATAATGCAACGTCTACAGCTCCGATAATGTCCCACAATTTGGAAGCTGTCTGACAACCTATGCCAAGCAAACTGCCGCTACGTATGCTGCATTTACAATGCAGAAATTTATACTTCCACATTATCAATGTCACATTTGTCCAACTGTGCATGGCTAACCTGACCAAAATACCAACAACCTATCAATGCAGTCCAGGTTGGTCTAAACCACATTATTATGGTCCTTTCTCCCTCCCTCCTTAGTTGTCCTTTCTCCCTCCCCCTCCTTAGTTGTCCTTTCCCCTTCTCCTCACCCCCACCTCCTTAGTGGTCCTTTCCTCACCCCCCACCTCCTTAGTGGTCCTTTCCTCACCCCCACCTCCTTAGTGGTCCTTTCACCCCCACCTCCTTAGTGGTCCTTCTCCCCCCACCTCCTTAGTGGTCCTTCCCTCCCCCCACCTCCTTAGTAGGGATTGACCGATATTGATTTTTTTTTTTTTAAGAGACAATAATCTGAATTTTCAGGCCGATAACTTGCCGATATTCTGTACATTTACCATTTTGAAAAAAAAAACTATTTAAGGTAAATGCACAAAATATACATGCCACATGTAGTGGATGCAGTGTGTTTAGACAGGGAATCTGTGTGCGCGTGCGCACACATAACGCAGAGTGCGCACGCGCGCGCACATAACGCAGAGTGTGTGCGCGTGTGTTTCTGAAGGGATGTAATTTGTGTAAAATGGGGGCATTTTTAATATTGATAGGTTTTATTTTTAGTTCCCCCCTCCCTGCTTGCTACCTGGCCAGGGAGGGGAGCTATGGCATTCCCTGGTGGTCCAGTGGCATGTACCGAGCAGTGGGGGCCCGCAGCAAGCTGTTACTGACCTTCCCAGCAGCTCCCCTGTGTAAGTCTCGCGGTCTGCGTGCTGCGCAGAGCGTTGCCATGGTAACCCGGTCGCCTAAATCTAGCGCGCCCCCCCGCTAAAAAAAAAATTCGGCTTATACTATAGTATATATGGTACTTAGATTTCTGGGTTCCTGAAAAATAAAGCCCTTACCAGTAATCCAGTGGTAAGACTTGAAGCTCCTGTAATTACTGATCACCCAACAAATGCAATGTTTCTTATAATTAGAAGGAAGGGCACATGCACGGCAAACTGCCAGCAATGCTTTTCTATGAGAAGCTTTTTATCTGCGCCTACCTAGAAATCTTTTTTAAAAAAGTGATTTATTTTAAAGAGCTACTGGCTGTAGGACAGTCATATCAGACAACACTGGTCTTATTAACATGCAAGATAGGGACTGGAGACATCAATATTAAGTCCTGGTAGGGGCTCACATAAACAGTTAATACAATCTTCAAAAATCTCAGAACAATCCAATTCTTGGAATAAATTTATGTATTGGTCACTTGACACAGGTCTCATTGTGAGATGAAACAATTTGTTCTAAGATCTTTTAAAAAGCTGCTCCAAGCAGTGGCGTACTAAGGGGGGTCAGACTCACCAGGAGGGGATATGGTGGCTTGCTCGATATACCGCCGGGTGAGATGTCCCTCCTGCGCCCATCGCAGACACCGGTCTGCAGCTCCACAATGTGCAGAGCTGCAGACCATGTGTCTCGCGAGCCCTGATCAATCAGAGTTGCCGCGGGTTACCACGGCAACACTGATTGTGTCTCACGTGATTCATGCAGCTCTGCACCAGGGAGCCAAGGTATTTAGTCCGTCCACCCCCGTCTCCCACTATACAAGCACATGCATTGCATTCACTATACAAGCACACTGCATTAATACAAACACACTCACTTATACATGTGTCTGTATATGTTTGTGTGTTAGTATATGTGTATCTGTATGTGTCAGTGTCTGTATCTGTGTATGTATCAGTGTGTGCCAGTGTCTGTATGTGTGCATGTCAGTGTCTGTATCTGTGTATGACTGTGTTTCTATGTAAAAACACACCACCATATTCAAAAACCACACTACAGAAAATGCACACTTGCATTCAAATGCCAATACGTGCAAACACACCCGTACATTCACTCTCACATACTCCATACCAAAAACACACAAACACTGCTTGGTGCTAAATACATTTTTAAAAAAATTGCAGGTATTTACATTCTTTTAGCTGGGGGGGGGGGCCTAATTTTGGATCTGCCCCCGGTGCCAAATGCTTCGTGTACACCCCTGGCTCCAAGTAAGCTCGGTTAAAGGACCACTCTAGGCACCCAGACCACTTCAGCTTAATGAAGTGGTCTGGGTGCCAGGTCCTTCTAGGGTTAACCCATTTTTTTATAATTATAGCAGTTTCAGAGAAACTGCTATAATTATGAATGGGTTAAGCCTTCCCCCTAATCCTCTAGTGGCTGTCTCATTGACAGCCACTAGAGGCGCTTGCGTGCTTCTCACTGTGATTTTCACAGTGAGAGCACGCCAGCGTCCATAGGAAAGCATTGTAAATGCTTTCCTATGCGACGGGCTGAATGCGCGCGCAGCTCTTGCCGCGCGTGCGCATTCAGCCGGCGGGGAGGATCGGAGGCGGAGAGGAGGAGGAGAGCTCTCCGCCCAGCGCTGGAAAAAGGTAAGTTTTTACCCCTTTCCCCTTCCAGAGCCGGGCGGGAGGGGGTCCCTGAGGGTGGGGGCACCCTCAGGGCACTATAGTGCCAGGAAAACGAGTATGTTTTCCTGGCACTATAGTGGTCCTTTAAGGGGGTTACCTGGCATTCAGGCAATATAATGTGCAACAGGAGCTTGCACACTATACAAGGAATGATGTGATAAGCCAGAATCCACTAGCCGTTCACATAAAAGGCAACAGTTTCATGATTAACAGCACACAGGAATTAATACTTCTAAATAGCTGTAGCTCCACTCAGTGTCTGGTGTAGGAAATAAACAGGGACAAAGTATTCCCTACTTTGTCTCAGTATCTCTCAACACTGTTGTAATTTCAGTGAATTTCCATCAGTCAATATTAGTAAAGGATTCTACCCGAAATATACATTTTTCAGAAGGGGGTGGTGGCAGTTCTGCTCTAAGTGTTACTCACCAATGTAAGTCTGGAAGATCCAGGGTACAATTGAGCCCTGGGTAGAATTATGCATTTTAGGTTTAGCAATTGATATTGCAGTCTAGGGCTAAGGTTTTCTTGTCAATCAAAACACAAGTATAGCTTGTCACAAACTGTATCAGCCAATAATTACACTATTTACAATATGCTCATGCAACCGATGCTTTGAAAGGTTTCCATAAGTAGAAAATAGATTAAAACAAAACATACTTTAAAATCAGTACTTCAGAAACCATAATGAAATGATACATCAATGATGACATGAAGGTACTTTTAGCTACCTATGTACTAATAGACACTGCACATGGCCATGGATACCAATTATCAATCTTCAAAAATTCAGGTCATTCCTTGGAAATGCTGGTAACTGGGTGTAAACATCACTAAGCTCGTTTTGCATCTGGGTACAGACAGCATGCTTAACGCTCTGACTGGTAGTATATCCAGCAATCAGTGACTCCCCATTCATAAGACGGTCTTTATTTAAAAAAAAAAAAAAAAGCCATTTCCAGGCCAGTGTGAATGGGAGTCACTGATTGGCTGAGTGTGTTAGCTGACCACTCTCAGTCAATCTGCGGAGTCTTTGACGGTCATTGAGAAGCTAGTTCGAGAACGGTTTAACCCTCTTAAGCAAGAGTGCGCCTGGCGGCCTCCTGGCACCATAACTTTATATGACATTGTTATGGTGACTGATCTGTCCCTTTAAATTCACATTAGATATGACTAGAGTTGGCACTATGGCAGATATTGTATATGTTTCACTCTCGTTCAGACAGGGATAGGGTAAAAAAAAAAAAAAAAAAATTATAATAATTACAAAAATAATGAAGGCCTATGAATTGTGGGACGCCTATCTCCAATCTTGAGATGTGAGGATCTTGAATAAAGCCAAAGTGTGATATGCAAGTTTATGAAATAGTTGAAAAGTAAACGCATGATCAAAGAAAAAAAAAAAACATAATTAATAAATATATATACACACACACACTTAAGGTTAGACCTTTAGTTGTGGGAGGAGCTTGGATCCTCTTTAAAATGGCTGCCAATCCTCTCCCAGTTTAGCGTTGTTGGTATGGAGAGTTGAAGAGGTTACTTCCAGTCAAGTAGCGATTTTGCGGTCTCTTACCAGTTTTCCCTCGTGGTCCTAGTCCCTGGCTCCTGTCTCTGTTCTGCTTAGCTGATCGCTCAAACGCTACAAACCTGCTGCCTCCTCCAGCTTGCTCAGAGACTGGTCTCTGTGCGGCTCGTCAACCATAAGTCAGACCCTTACCGTCAAGCCGCAGTCGCACTCTTCAGCGTCATCACGGTTTGGGTCTATTCCTATTAATTTCGGATAGTCTATAGGCGTTCGGCACTGTTCAAATTACAGCACGTATAAAATTAGTTTGCTCCCATGGGTACGGGCTTTTAGTTCTTCCAACCGCACGAACGGAAGCATCGTTCAGCTCCTTTTACTACCTTTGCATATTTAACCCCTTAAGGACCAAACTTCTGGAATAAAAGGGAATCATGACATGTCACACGTCATGTGTCCTTAAGGGGTTAAAGGGACACTATAGTCACCAGAACAACTACAGCTTATTGAATTTGTTCTGTTGAGTAGAATCATTACCTTCAGGCATCTTGCTGTAAACACTGTCTTTTCAGAGAAAATGCAGTGTTTACATTACAGCCTAGTGATAACTTCACTGGCCTCTCCTCAGATGGCTGTTAGAGATCCTTCCTGGGTCATGGCTGCCTAAAATACATCCAAACATTCAGTGCCTCCTCCCTCTGCATACAGACACTGAACTTTCCTCATAGAGATACAATTCATCACTATGAGGAGATGCTCATTGGCCAGGGCTGTGTTTGAATCATGCTGGCTCTGCCCCTGATCTGCCTCCTTGTCAGTCTCAGCCAATCCTATGGGGAAGCACTGTGATTGGATCAGGCTACAGATTCTGATGATGTCAGCATACAGCTTGTTATTCTGAGACAACATGCAGGGGTACAGCTTCAGGCTTGAATACAGTAAGAATTAAAGAATAATAGGAAGAAATCACCTCGTACAAGGACAGGGGGGAGGGGGGGGAGGGAATCCTCCTACCGGCACCACCCCTAGAAAAACATATGTAAGAGCTTATAGAAAAAAAAGATATATATATATATATATATATATATATAACTAAAATAAACTTTAAGGAAAATTCAAAACACACATAATTCCCAAATATTGGGGATAAAAACCCAAAACAAAAGAAAAATTAGGTACTATATTGGCTACCAGTCGCTGCTAGGTTAATCTGTGATAGCATGAATAGGTTACCACAAGTGTAGCAAACCTATTCATAACATAATAAAAATCAGTAGAAACACTGTTGCAATGCTAACTCACAGAGTCTGCAGATATGTGAATAGATGACAAAGAAGCAGTGTGCTGTGCTCCAGTAGATAAACCAGAGGGCAAAGACACATAAGAAATCCCCCATACAAGTCAAAGCATTATCAAGATAGTCTAAAATATCCATATATAACTGTCCTATCTGTTGAGAGGTAGGAAATCGAAAGGACAGAGATATATATAGGGAAAAATAAAGAGGGCGAGAGGTAATCACCGGGGGGGGGGTCCAAAGCACACAAAAAAAAAAAGAAAAAAAAAAGGAAGGACACCTCCACTGTAGATACCTCTTATAAAGAAACCCAGATGCCCCAACTGATAAGGAGACCGGCCGGCCGGCCAAGGTCTCATGTAGGCACAGCACAAAACTGCAATGAGTGCTAAAAACAAAAGTAACAGCATCGGAATAGCCCGACGCGCGTTTCGGCGGTCTAACTGCCTTCCTCAAGGGCAAAAAAATGGAATTGAGGGATCCCCCCCTCGCACATTAAATAGCTCATAACTCCTCCCACCTGTACATCATGGGCCGTCACTACAGCAGATCTGCCAATAGGATCTGCCTGTCAATCCCCGAGTCTAGCGGGGAGTATGCTACGGTCAGTATGTAGGTCCATACCGGCATATCGGCGCATGTGCGAGGACTTAGTGCAAAAATGTACAAGTACACACAGAGCATTGTACCTATCCGGGTCAGAGTAATAACGCCTGCGCACAAAAGGTACATAGCTAGATTTGTTCATCAGATTGTGTAGACTTAAAGGGACACTATAGTCACCTGAACAAATTTAGCTTAATGAAGCAGTTTTGGTGTATAGAACATGGCCCTGCAGCCTCACTGCTCAATCCTCTGCCATTTAGGAGTTAAATCCCTTTGTTTATGAATCCTAGTCACACCTCCCTGCAGGTGACATGCACAGCCTTCCATAAACACTTCCTGTAAAGAGAGCCCTATTTAGGCTTTCTTTATAGCAAGTTCTGTTTAATTAAGATTTTCTTATCCCCTCCTATGTTAATAGCTTGCTAGACCCTGCAAGAGCCTCCTGTATGTGATTAAAGTTCAATTTAGAGATTGAGATACAATTATTTAAAGGTAAATTACATCTGTTTGAAAGTGAAACCAGTTTTTTTTTTTCATGCGGGCTCTGTCAATCAAAGCCAGGGGAGGTGTGGCTAGGGCTACATAAACAGAAACAAAGTGATTTAACTCCTAAATGACAGTGAATTGAGCAGTGAAATTGCAGGGGAATGATCTATACACTAAAACTGCTTTATTTAGCTAAAGTAATTTAGGTGACTATAGTGTTCCTTTAACACTACACCCCCTCACTGAAAAGGGACATCCCAGAGGAGAGGCTGAGGGGTGCAGTAGGGTAGAAATAAAAACTAATTCCCTTTACTGAAGTCTCTGTATCCAATAAGAGCCAAACTTGGATTATCCACTGACTACACCATTTTGGAATGTTTATTTATACAGACTGAAGGGAAAGGAAAAAGTAAGGACAGAGTATAACACTTGTTACAGATTATAACAAGGTTGCTAGATGCATATTAAAGATGTATAAAAGCTTTTTTTTTTTTTTTTTTAAACTAACGATTGGGGCTCATTAGGAAAAAAAGGTAATGTAGCATACAGCACAAATGGGGTTAAATTAATTTGTATAACACATGCAGAACTGCCAGGCATATAATGCCAATTAAAAAATAAAAACAGTTAAAGGGACACCGTAGGCACTGTATCTGCTTCATCTCATTAAACTGGTTATAGTGTATGGAGTCCTCTGGTACCATCATTTCTTTCAGCATTAAACAGTTTTTAAAACTTTTAATGTTTGAATGCTAAACAAGAATCCCCGGCAATCCATCCCCTCTGTGCTGCTTTGGCTAATAAGGAAGTATTAGCCTGAGCAGCAATAGGCAGCTGTGATTGGCGGAGAGTGTCAGCTGACTGCTTTTAGCCTGTCAGAGTTCCAACTGATGGTATGAGTGGGTATGACAACAAGGAAGTGTGTAATCTCTGCCTTAGCTACACATACTGAAGGGGCCGGGCTGTGGGTGGCCAGGGACTCTTATTTTGTGGCATATTGCACAAACATGGTGCAACACTGAATGGAGGGACAGTGCCAGGGCACTATAACCAATTTAAAGAGACAAAGTGGTTATAGTGACTACAGTGTCCCATTAATCTTTGGCAGCATATGTAAATGTACATGAATTGAGTAGAAAAACACACCAAAGTCCAGGCACATGTGTGAGGATTTAAAGTCTCACTAATTTAACTCGACAACATATTAAATGAATTAACCTACTAGAGAGGTCCATCTACGCAGAAGCCCTAAAAATGACATATTGAATACGGGCTAGCCAGAGTGTTATCGAATAAGTGTCAGTTCATATATAGGGCAAGTGTCGAAAAAAAAATTTATATATATATATATATATATATATATATATATATATATATATATATATATATATATATATATATATATATATATATATATATATAAAAAGAATATCAACATCCCCTGCACTCACGCTTGAAGTATTCCAAATGCCGGGCGCACCACCAAAGCTCCAATAGGTATAACTTCCACAAGAAAAGGCTGCTCTCCGGACTTAAAATCAAAGGTTTTATTGAAAATATTTAAAAATGATGACCAACGTTTCGGTCCCCGATCGGGACCTTCCTCAGGGTCAGAGACAACAGAACAACAGTAAACAGTGTACAAAATGACAATATATACCATTACATTAAGTGAAATAACTCACCCAGGTGTTCTATTCTCTTTTCCCGCCGGCACCCAGTGAATTTCCGGGTATGCGTGCTCCGCCCCTTCATCATGTTACATGTTAAAGACTCAGAAAGACCTCCTGGCCGCCCCATTGTTTCAGCTATTGGGGGGATTTTGGAACCCATAGCACAATGGTTAGATTTTGTTTTTAAAGGACCAGTTGAGGCATTGAGTACATGTATCAAGGACACACAAACGCTCTTGAGTAGAATTAAGTCCTTGGAGTTCCATGGAAGGGTTCCAATATTTATCACTATGGATGTCAAGAGCCTGTATACGGTCATCCCTCATATTGGAGGTATTGAGGCGATGCGACAGGTATTATGTGAGTCTTCGATGTACCATGGCCCACCGATAGAATTTATTCTGGAGCTTCTGTCGTTGATCCTTCATAATAATCATTTTAGATTTGAGGATCGGTGGTACTTGCAGGTGGCGGGAACATCTATGGGGTCAGCCATGGCCCCTATGTATGCCAATGCGTACATGTATGCGTATGAAACACAGCATATATTGACCACATATAAGGATAACATTATTGGATACTACCTTTATATAGACGACCTGTTGATTACCTGGCGAGGCTCACAAACGGAGGCATATACGATGGTGGAGGAGTTAAATTTGCTGCCAACTCCTATCAAATTTACAGCCAATATCAGTGAGGAAAGTGTCCAATATCTGGACTTAGAACTTTCTTATGGAGATAATAGAGTCCAATACACTTTATTTTCGAAACAGACTGATCGGAATACTCTTTTACACGCTAGGAGTGCACATCCTATTTCGCTGAAAAAATCTATTCCTAAAGCACAATTCCAGCGAGTCATTCGCAATAATTCTGATACAAATAAGGCTGAGCTACAATTGAAAATCATGACCCAGAAGTTTTTGAACAGAGGTTATAATATTCAGGTACTAGAAGAAGCACTGTTGAAGGCAAAATCGGCCCCGGTGCAAACAAAGATGGATCCTGCACAAAAAATAGTATTTCCGATGACGTTTCATAATTCTTCTAATTTGATTTCAACAATTGTTAAAGACAATTGGAAAATGATTGCTACGGATGACACCCTGCCAAAGATTTTTAAAAAGAGACTCCATTAATTTGCTACAGGAGAAATAAGAGTCTTAAGGATATGCTAGTGCGTACAGACCCTGTGGAAAGTTATTCTAAAACAGTCAAGCACAACATACGGGGAAGCATACGATGTCTGGGGTGTATTACTTGTGGACATATGATTCCAACAAAGAAATTTAATCACCCACATACTAATAAAATATATGATATAAGACACACTATTACTTGTAAAACCCCCTTTGTTGTATATAAATTGGTGTGTCCGTGTGGCCTCTATTACGTAGGAAAGACAGAAACACCTCTGTGTGAGAGGATTAGGGGCCACCGCTCGAGCATAAGATTAGCGTACAGGGATGGCCAGTCTGATAAGCCAGTTGCTCGGCATTTTCTTGATAAAAAACATCCCTTAAATTTGTGGGTATTGATCATATACCCCTACCCCGCAGGGGGGGAAACAGGGGAAAAATGTTACTTCAGAAAGAGGCTTTTTGGATACACCAACTAAATACAATATCTCCCATGGGTCTTAATGAGAGTATCACGTACCATTCTTTTATATAGGTCTAACCAGCTTGTTACTATTGTTTTTAAATATTTTTATGTCTAATGAATTTCTCAGGGGTAGTATGTCTATAATTATGCCAAATTGTTTTTATATGTATGATATGTTTGATTACACATATGTAGCTTATGAGCACCTATTATGCACTTTATTACATGCATGTTATCACTTTAAAAAGTTTTATATATGAATCCCTTTGATTCACCGATGAGTGTAATTTCACATTTAACTATAATAAGGGCTCATACACTTTCTGGTTAAACTTTAGTGGCACTATTATCACTTTAATGAGGTGTCACTTACCTAGGTTCACTAGGTGTTCTTGTGGTTAGGGATATATGATATATAATGAGCCCATCACAAGATTTGTTTTAGAAAGGCACTTACATTATTTATATATGGCACTAATTCTCTCTACCCTATTCTCTATCCTGGTATAGACTCCTCTTGTTGTAAGAGGGGTCTTTGTATACACGGTTGCTAAGGAGACCGGTCTATGTGACCGGGAGTACGACGGCACGTAACGTAACATGATGAAGGGGCGGAGCACGCATTGACGTGCGCGCGCATACCCGGAAATTCACTGGGTGCCGGCGGGAAACGAGAATAGAACACCTGGGTGAGTTATTTCACTTAATGTAATGGTATATATTGTCATTTTGTACACTGTTTACTGTTGTCTCTGACCCTGAGGAAGGTCCCGATCGGGGACCGAAACGTTGGTCATCATTTTTAAATATTTTCAATAAAACCTTTGATTTTAAGTCCGGAGAGCAGCCTTTTCTTGTGGAAGTTATACCTATTGGAGCTTTGGTGGTGCGCCCGGCATTTGGAATACTTCAAGCGTGAGTGCAGGGGATGTTGATGAATATATATATATATATATATATATATATATCTATATATCTATATATATCTATATATATCTATATATATCTATATATATCTATATATATCTATATATCTCTATATATCTCTATATATCTATCTCCTTAGAACCATATACCAAATGGTCCATGAAGGGTATATAGGGGGGGGGACAAAGATCATTTAATTTTCAATACATATACTACGAAATAATGAATAAGCCAAAGAAAACGAGTGGTCAACACACAAAGGAGACCCTTATTGCCAATGGTTAAATGAACGGGGCAAAGGAAAAGCCCTCGTTCAAACCCAGAGGTTGGAGTGTTTTTAATTCATATATACACCTAGACTTCCTCTGTCTTAGAATCTTATCAAAATCTCCACATCTCGGGTTTCTCTTCACCAATTCTAGTCCACAAAATCTAAGATTATTCGGGTCACTGTGATGGTGTTCTTTGAGATGTCTTGAGATAGTTGTCTCAAGACGGTTCCTGGGGGACCTTACATGTTCCATGATTCTATCTTTAAAGGCCCTAAAGGTTTTACCCACGTATTTTGTCCACATGAGCATGACAGCAGGTATACAAAGCCCTAAGTTCTACAATTTAAAAAACACACCTCTTAATCTTGAAAGAGCCTTGTCCTGTACTGTCGCTAACCGTCTTAGAACCTTTAGAAATGTACTTACAAGCTACACACCTGCCACAGCCATACGTGCCACAAGGAGGAGTTCCCAACCAAGTGACACGTGGCTGTGGTTTAGTGGTGAAAAATGGCTCGGTACCAGCAAATCTCGGATATTACGTCCACGTCTGGCTGTAATATTAACCCGTGGGCCTAGGTAAGATTTTGCTATATTTATGGAGACATGAGGGGCCCAGCGGGCTAGATTGTGGTTTTAAACATTATAGGGTCAGGAATACATGTTTGTGTTCCTGACCCTATAGTAATCCTTTAATCGTTCACCATGATTCATACGAACATTCTCGTAATTTGTATTTTGAAATGTGCGAACAACTAGGTAAAGGCAGACACTGTTCGCACGATTCTACCCCAGGTGTTACCAATTCTTCTTACACAAATTAAGACTAATTGTATGTATATGTCACTTTGAGTCACAGTGTCCCCTACTGGTTACAAATGATATTACGGGTTTACAAATAATGGCATGTGATTATTTCTATTTTTAGATTTGTTATTTCTGGTATATCACCCTGCCATTGAGTTGACATTGTAAGTCATCGTGATGTTCTTCCCACAGGTCCGTTCGGGAAGATCAGTCAGGAATTGTTCCTGCTTTGACAAACTTGTCCTTTTTAGGCTGGTAATTTGGTTGAAGTTTGGCTTATTTAAATAATCCCTTCTGACTTAACATTTAACATCTCAAATTCCTTTAGGTGCCTTTGTCAGACCAGACTGTAGCATTTACAAAAGGTTCTTCCATTAGTGTCAGTTTTTGCCAATTTCACTCCTTGCGCCTAAATTTTAGGTTAGGTTCCTTTATTATTACTTGGGCCCACGATCTGGCCACACACATATATATATCAATATGCTCAGATACTTATTACATATTATCTATAGGTCACAGCTCGTATCTACTGCCACCCTCTTTACCCTAATTCTGCAAAGAATCATTTCTGATTCCAACTCTCTCAAGTACGACATTTACAATTCCTATACCCTACTCCTGTTAGCAGATAGTACTGGCTATCAGGGATTTAGGTGTCCAAATAGGTTATGTTTATGGTCTTAAGCCATAGGATAGTGGTCCCGCGAGGCCAACACCCATCCTCATACATCGAGGTATACGTCCATCGGCCTAAAGTAAAGTTATTCGCCTCGCATGGTTGCATAGAGAGGGCCTCACATGTCACTCCCATACCATCTTATGCTTTAGTTATCACTGAGAGGCCAACACCCCGCCACGCCGTTGGGTGCCCTCAAATCCCCTTGGGCCAACGCATAGTTAGAGCCTCTCATGCAGCTTGGCAACTAGCAGGGCCTTACCTTTCACCGTGTGTTAATATAAATTTTTTTATTCAGACTGCTCAATACTAAAACAACTCAGATGCAGGGGAAGGGACTAGTGGGACTCAGATGCCGGCTCTCCGTGCTATGATGACCTCGTTGAAGTCTTCTACTGGAACTTTAAGTGTTAGACTGGAGAAGTTATAAGCAGTCTGTTCCTCCAATGTGCCTGCTTTTCCTGATTCTGCGGGGTTCAGCTGTCACGCCCGGTAACTCTCTTGCCACATTTAAGGTCCCCGAGAGCATCAACCCATCGTATATGGTTCCTGGAGCGGAGGGCATTGGGCTGTCTGCAAAAGTGTGTGTTTATAATATGCTTTATTTAATTTTCTGCTTTGTGTATTTCTATTTGTAACAGCACCCACAGACATAAAAGGGTTAAACCACCGTTTAGCAGATCTTCCCTTCCAGAGACACAGGCACAGCTACTGCAGAACACCAAACTCTCGAACTGCATACAAGTGAATGCTCCAAACTCCCAAACTGCATACAAAGTAGAACTCCCGAACTGGAAACTCACGAATAGCTGCTAGCAGATGAACATGAAAAGCACAGCTTACACTCCTGGCAACCAGTCTAACAGCATGCAGTAAATCCCCCCAAAGACGAGACAGAGCTCTGTGTTGAAGGTCAAGCGGTGGTCTGGTTTATTGAGGGCTACCTGCCCAGTATTTATGCAGCTGGTGGACACTCCCGTAGGGGACCAAATGGGAGACTGTGATAAAGGACAGACATGAACCAATGACAGCCACACAGAGGTAAAACATCCCCACAATGCATCCTAATTCCCCTCCCTCTGTCCAGGAGATAATTGTGAAGTAATCCAATTATCTCCCAGGACAGAGGCAAAACTCCATTAACCACATGGCAGTAAAAAAAGACGTAAAAATGTATAAAGTTACAACTGTTGCACAAAACATACATTCTACCTATCCCCAGATAGCTTAGATCTGAGCGCACATTATTACCGGATGGCGCTCAGATCACACACATACACTTTAATCACCATGGAGCCAAAGTCTTTCGTTACACAAATAGGCTCCATGGCATGGCTATCTGGGGTAATGCTGTTCATACGGTTAAACCACCGAACGAACAGGCATCCGGTTAAATGACCGAATGCCGAAGCAAGGAGGCTGACAGCTCAGCAGTCTTCATGAAAATAAGTTTCCGTTTCCAGTTCCATAGTTTGATTCAATCTACCGAAAAATTGGGCAGAAAGGCACAAACAAGCCTTTTCTGCAGGGGAAAAGAAGGCGTTTTAACATGGGGCCATAGTCCAAGGGCAACAGGAGGCCAACCAGGCTCCTCCAATGCAATGTGGCGAGATTGGTCTCGTCACATCTCTCCACTTTTCCAGACAGACTAACAGGATATCTGACCTCCTGCCGGTCAGTGCCCTTGTTAGTCCAGCAGCCCACCCACGAAGCACAAACAGTAATACAGCCCACCCACAATAACTGGTTACTACACCTGGGTAGAGGAAAAACTTGTCCATGTCCAGGTGCCTCACCACGGCTGTGTGGGAGACTGGTAAGCTGACTTTGTGGGTTGCTGAGTGGACAGAGACCAGCGGTACTCTGCCCTGGTGCCAGCACTACCACGGGAGTAGTCTGGTTGGCGCCTGGTTGCTGGAGGGGGAGACCGACTGTCTCCCCTTTGGGCAAACCTCCATGCTGCTGTGGGGGGAGACAGACTGTCTCCCCTTTGGCTAAACAGCGCTGTTTTTGGGGGACAGGACCGACCGTCCCAACCCCCTGTACTGTAATTGCAGAGACCACGGTCCCATTTGCATGGTTGTGGGGCTTACTTTCTTCCCTGGGTATGTCAAGCTGCCGCTGGGGAGAGGGGGTAACAAGCTCCTCTCCCATACATACTTCCAGCCGCAGGGAGGGAGACTGACTCTCCGCTCCCAATACACAGTGTCCTGTTGCTGGGGAAAGGAGACTGGGCTCCCAATTCCCTGAATGGCACACTGCCGCTGGGGAGTGGAGACTGGGCTCCCAATTCCCTGAATGGCACAATGCCGCTGGGGAGTGGAGACTGGGCTCCCAATTCCCTGAATGGCACACTGCCGCTGGGGAGTGGAGACTGGGCTCCCAATTCCCTGCAGTACCTGCCGCTGGTGGATGGAGACTGGGCTCCCAATTCCCTGCAGTACCTGCCGCTGGTGGATGGAGACTGGGCTCCCAATTCCCTGCAGTACCCGCCGCTGGAGTTACTCCCAACGTGCCAGCTGACCTTCCCTTTCTGCCCGGTATTGAAGATTCTTGAACACTAGGTTCCTCATAAGCTGCACCGATTTCTCCGACGGCTGGGTCCATAGTACTTCAGCCGCAATCCCATCATATTGTCAAACTCTTTCATAGAGTAGCTGTACGCCACTGCTGGTTCCATCCTGGTGCTGTCAGGGTCACTGTATTGGGACATGTGGTGCCCTCAAAATGTAAAATCCATGGAATGGTGTCTCCTGTAGCTGTCTTTCTGGCTGTGGGAACGATCCCACCACTTGCCACCAATTGTAATGGCACCCCCAAACTGCATACAAGGGAATGCTCCAAACTCCTGAACTGGAACCTCACGAATAGCTGCTAGCAGACGAACAGGAAAAGCACCCAAGCGGCTTACACTTCTGGCAATCAGTCTCTAACAGAATGCAGTAAATCCCCCCCCAAAGACGAGACAGAGCTCCGTGTTGAGGGTCAAGCACCGGTCTGGTTTATGGAGGGCTACCTGTCCATTATTTATGCAGGTCTCCGAGCTGGTGGAAACTCTCTAGGGGACCAAATGGGAGACTGTGACAAAGGACAGACATGAACCAATGACAGACACACAGAGGTAAAACATCCCCACAATTATCCTGGAGATAATTGGGAAGTAATCCAGGACAGAGGCAAAACTCACATGGCAGTAAAAGACAGTAAGACATAAAAATTTATAAAGTTACAACTGTTGCACAAAAACCATATACATTCTACCTATCCCCAGATAGCTTAGATCTGGGCACACATTACCAGATGGCACTCAGATAACATACATACAGTTCAATCGCCATGGAGCCAAAGTCTTTCCCATAGTCTTTCGTTATACGAATAGGCTCTATGGCATGGCTATCTGGGGTAATGCTGTTCATACCGAACGAACTGGCATCCGGTTAAATGACCGAATGCAGAAGCAAGGAGGCTGACGGCTCAGCAGTGTTCGCACAAATAAGTGTCCGTTTCCAGTTCCATAGTTTGGGCGCTGAACACTGCTGGCCGCTCGGGACTTTAAAATGGCCGCCGCCACGTGTTCGGCAACCGAACAAAGGCCACCCAGCATTCGTCAATTAAGCTGCTGTTAACCGCAGCTTCTGGGAGGTAAATTGCCGACACCCTCCCAATACAGGTGGTCCAGTCATTCGGTTGTTTGTTCAGTAGATTCAATCTACCGAACGCCGGGCAGAAAAGCACGAACAAGCCTTTTCTGCAGGGGAAAACAAGGTTTTTTAACATGGGGTCATAGTCCAAGGGCAATAGGCGGGCAACCAGGCTCCTCCAATGCAATGTGGCGAGATTGGTCTCGTCACACTATTGCATGCAGTATTTATCTGATTGTTCGGTAAAAATCACTCTGTTCATCATACGAATGAAACTACCGAACAATCAGACCACCCCAGGGATAAGTGTGCCCTCTCGTTAACTCCTTAATTCCCTGTAACCACAAGCTAATTGGCAACTGACTAAACCCTCTGTGTGGGCTTGCTGTGTGGCCCCTGTTCGGCATACGAACACGTGGCAGCGGCCATTTTACATTCGAACGCTCAGCTGTGTTTGGTCATCGAGTGTCTAGAATCCAAATCAGACACTCGATTACCCGAACACCGCCAAGACCACCAGAACTACGAATCAGTCCATATGTTTAAATGAACAAGGGGATTCAGCCGAACCCCAGCTCAGCACTGGATGGCAGGGATATTCGTGCTTTTTATGTACCGAACAAAGAGCAACCGCAAGGTCCAAACCTATGGAACTGCTTTTGGCTACTGCCTCGTGTGTCTGTCAAATCTCTACTTCCACCTAACTCCTGAACTTCTGGTTCGATCTGGGTGATTTTTTTTATATGTTGCTCACCCACATCAGGGGATATAAATCACTGTATCTTGCATTTTTGGGGGACATCTGAAAACCGGGTAAAATCCTATACTGTATAAGTGGATTATGTGTCATACTAAGGGGAGGAGATATATGGGAGGTAACATATACACGATTGGTTACTGTACTAATTATTGTGGGTGTCTCCCTTGCATGAGAGAAATGCTTAAAGAAAGTTGTGTGGATTAAAAGTTTAGTTCTGCTCCTGATGCTGTGTGTCGTCCAGTCATTGGAAAACGTTATGGGAGCTTCTTGGATTATTTTATTTGCTGTGGATACTATTCTCCTGGGTTTTATTATTTGTTCCTGAGCCTCCCTTGGATTACTAGCAGATATAGGCTGTGAGAGACCAGCTCTCCGCTACATACCCGACTAATATGAAAAAAAAAAAAAAAAATTTAAAAAAAAAAACCCACACACACACCATCCTGGAGGGCAAGGATGTTAACCTAGTCTCGCTCCTCATTGCCTCCCAGGATGTCCTTGAGAACAGGTCCTTTGCATATGGGGACATTTCAGTGGTGCTGAGGGCAAGGGATCCTAGGCTGAACAACCAATTGTCTATACCTGAATTTGTGTTAGGTTTTGGGATTTGTATTGCTTTGTGTATCCTGAGAAGGGAAGAGTTGGACGTATACATGCACAAACTAATGGATCTGGGGCACAAATACGGTGGAACAGCCTTCTATGACTGCCACCATTCCTTTTCTGCAAAAGTGGCTGCAGCTCTGACTATTTAACTAAAGCATAAATTGGAGTAAGTTAAATACGGAGTTATTCTGCAGGCATTTTTCTGGCCTCAGGACTCTGGCTTGTGCATCCACAGCACCTATGTCCTAATACAGCGGAAGTTGAGCAGGGCCACTCAGGCCCTAACTCTGCAAGACTAACCGGTTTTGAATGATAAGCCGGGTTGGGACATAGTCTTTCTAGGCAATTCCCAAATAGCAACAATTTTAATGCGGCACTTGTGGTTTTAGTTCCTGTAGATTGTTACACGTTTGTGCTCACGGTTTCTGGGCTCACGCAAAAACCATGTGTCCTAATAAAATCTTTCCTAAACCATACCCAACGTCAGGTTATTTGCTGTTCTGTTACACCACCCCTCACAACACTTTGTTAAATTTCTCACCAAAGGGTTGTCTTAGCGGTTTCACACGGGTATCATGCACTTGCCATCTGGTACACTGGAATGCAATACTCTACAAACAGCAATGACAGATCCAGAGTTAATGAGTGATCTTATGAAAAGTGAATTAGAACAGGGTTTTGTGTTCGGGCCATTTGTTCCCCCACCTTTCACTTCATGGAGAACTACCATATATACTCTAGTATAAGCAGAGTTTTTCAGGACCCCCCACTCTGCTTATACTAGAGTCAATGTCTGTATTATGGCAACTTACATTGCCATAATACAGACCAGGACCGCTGGGCTCATTACAAGCCCGGCAGTCCTGTTGAGGGCTGGCACCTTTCCTGCACCTCCATGCAGCTCTCCTGTCAGCTCTGTTCTGCTTACAGTGTAAGTCTCGCGACACCCGCGGCCATCAGAGCAGGGCAACGCTCCGCGCGACACGCATACCGCAAGACTTACACTGTAAGCAGAACGGAGGAGCTGCACGGAGGTGAAGGGAGCTGACAGGAGCTGCAGGAAAGGTAAGTAACAGCTCGCTGCCAGCCCCCCACTGCACAGCCCATCCACTGGACCACCAGGGATTAACATAGCCCCCTCCCTGGCCAGGCAACAAGCAGGGAGGGGGGACAAAAACCAAAAAAAAATACAAATATTAGAATAAAAATATTAAAATATAATAAAAAAGTTGAAATAAAAGAGCCCTCCCCTCACCCAGTTTACACACACTACACAAACACACACACTGCATTCATTATATACACACACTGTAAATATTCAATTAATGTAATTTTATTGGGATCTAATTTTATTTAGAAATTTACCAGTAGCTTCTGCATTTCCCACCCTAGGCTTATACTCGAGTCATTAAGTTTTCACAGTTTTTTGTGGTAAAATTAGGGGCCTCGGCTTATATTCGGGTCGACATACTCTAGTATATAAGGTAATCCTATTGGGGCCCTCACGGGTTAAACTTCACATAAACCCAGGCTGAACATGGATTTATCAGCATCACATTCCTCCACTATCCCCAGTTTAATTTTCGTCATACCCTCTGACGAATTCTCTCTGCAATATGCCACTATTGACAATGCCATCTGGGCCATTTTGACTGCAGAGACAGGGACATGGCTGCGTAAAACGAACATTGTCAACGCTTTCAAGTTACTTCCCATTCACCCATCACTTTGGCATCTGAATGGCATTAAGTGGCAGGGTTTATATTATTTCTTCTCTCGGCTCCAAGAGTAGCCCCAAAATATTTGATATTTTCGCTGAAACCTTGTGTTGGTTGCTACTTAATGTGTGCAGATGTCTGACTGTAATTCACTATTTAGATTACTTTCTTACAATTTTAAACAACTCACTACCCCCTAGCAGCCTCAAACACATGTTGGCTCTTTTTGAGTCCCTAGGTATGCCTGGGTCTGCCTAAAAAAAAACAAACAAAAAAAAAAAAAAAAACACGGTTATGCATTTTGTGGGATTCAACTCGACTATTCACGTGCAGGCAAATCTTCCTCAGGATAAGATGAGTGCACCCTAGCGAGTATTGAGCTGTACTTACAGCTAGGTTCTTGTAACAGGAAAGAACTTCAATCTCTGCTTGGGTCGCTGAAGTTTGCCATGAAGATCATTCCCCAGGGTAGATCTTTCATTTGCCGCCTACTTTCTTTGTTCCCGGACCTCTCCTCAGAGGAATCACTTTGGACACTCACGCAACAGCAGTCTTATGTGGTGCATTTTTCTCACATCTAGGAATGGGCAAGCAATGTTCACGTTCACTCCCCCTCTTTCCTACAATTCACCTACACTCTGGACAAATGCTGCGGCCAACACGGGCTTTGCAGCCATCTGTGGGAATAAATGGCTCTGGGGTCCATTGCCCAGAGAAGTTAAGTCTCTACCTAGCTGGGGGCCAGAGTGGGCTGGTCACTCAGATGTTTTTCTGACAACCTACCCACTTGCCATATTGTCAATAAAGGCCAGTCATCATCTTTGGTAATTATGACCTTTTTAAGGAAACTCGCATGGGTAGCGGCCACCTGCCAGTTTTTCCATCACCTGCATTCATGTTCCGGGTGTTGCAAATATATCAGCTGATCACTTGTCTTGGTTTCGATTTCAGGCCTTCCTCCAGACTCTGCCCACCGCTTCCAGGCTGGCTACCCCTGCCCCTTCATTCCAAGACATGCTCCTGGATTAGATGTCTTATTGATTCTTGCACGTAATCTTTCCCACCTGGCGCTTTCGGTTAATTCTATGAAAATGTATGATAGGGCCTTTCACATTTTGACCAAGTTCACAGCGGAATTTCAAGTTCAGGACATGTTTGCTTTGGAAACTATATTGGGGTTTACTTCTTTTTGCCTCCTTAATTTAAAAAGTGATCTTTTAACACGATCAAACTTTATCTAACGGGCATCCAACACCACATGTTATTACAACATCCTAATAAAACAGGATTCCTTTCATCATACCAGATAAAGACTTTACTGAAGGGAATCCAAAAAAATAGATACTGTACACATCTACCCCCTCAAAGACTACCCATCCACAATAAAATATTCCTATCATTATCCGACTTGTTAGATACAGCACCATTCGAACATATAACCAATATGGTAATTAAAACAGCCATTTATCTAGACTTTTATAGATTTTTACATCCAAAAGGAATTCACCACCAGTAATGTAACGGCCACAGACTACATTCATTAAATAACCGATATCAACAAATCCTTAGACCATTACATTCTGTCACTTCATCACTCTAAAACTAGCCAGATAGGACGCAAGGTTGACATACCTCTTTTCCCTAGCTATAATATCGGTTACTTAATGTATATATATACACACACACACACACACACACACTCTCTCTCTCATCTCTCATCTCACCCCCCCTCCTATCTATCTCTATAGCTATATGCCATTTGATCTTGAGAAAGGTCCCAGAGAGGACCGAAACATTGATCTGCTCGTTTACTATATGGAATAAAGAACCTCATAGAAGAAAGACCATGAGTGCAGCCAGTGTGTGTAAAATATATATTATGTATACATATACACACACACACAGTATAGTTTACAGCCAATGTTACCCAAAATGAAGATTTGCACTGAGGGTAAAATCAGGATACACAGACCCGCAATTTTACCAGCTCTGTGCTATAGGAGAGTGCAAAAAAAAAAAAATCTTGAGTTTCTCTTAACAGCCATTTTTCCACAAAAAAAACAAAACACCTTACTTGGCGTGCATTATTATTTTTATTTTTTTAAACAATCCATATTTTTAGCTAACTAATCTAAATTGGAATGTGGCAAAACTCATACTGGAGACTAATAGTATTTAATCAATACTTTGACCGCCCTTCAAACTTCAAATTTAGTGGCACCAAGCAAACTTATCTATGTACCTAATCAGGAATTCAACTGATGATTCAAGGGTGGCCATTAACTCTGTGATGAACCATGATCTAGCCCTCAGAAAAATGTGAAAACTGGACTATGATAAAGAAGCAGAGAGTGATCCATCATCTTTTAATGCTATCACACAAGATGGAGAGCTGTACACCAGTGAAATTTGCTGACAGCAGAGGAGTTATCCTCTTTAAGGTGTGCACCCTCTAAACCACTCTTTAAAACACTCTGTAAGCTCCTGCTGTAGTGACCAAAACTGTTGTACCCTGTATCATAACAGCTGTTTAGATGTCCAAAAGGCAACACTAGTATAAACAGTCTAAGAAACACAGTTTATAAAGAAAAGGGGACAAGGTTTAAATAGGAGCATGAGAGATTCCTTAAAATGTATACTTTTGCAAATGGCAAGACTGAAGACATATGTCCAAACAGCGCTTAATATTTCAAGTCCTAAGCTACTAGACAGGCCTTAAAAGTTACTGTGCAACCGCAAGCCAGGATAATCAGTCTATAGAATACTCACTAGGTATGTATATGAATTCAATCACCTGGGATTTAAAAATAAATAAATAAATCAATCAATCACTGGTCAATGGCTAGTAGGAATTGAGCCCTGTGCCCAAAACATTTATAAAAAAAAAAAAAAAAAATTGATTCTGTTCCTTTTTCCACTTTGTTGATCACATACATACAAAAAGCAGTTCATACCTTGCAGTTTAGCTATGAAAGAGATTTAAGGTATAATCTCAGTAATGCCACAGAAAGTTAAAAGGTACTCCAAGCACCATGGCCATTTGACTGATTTGAATTGGTCATGGTGCTTGAAGTCCGTTTGAAAAGCCTTTCTATTTGATATAAATATGTTAGGAATACCAATGCTGCGCCAATCAAATGGTCTCCACGAGACATACATTTAAATAACAGAGCTTGGCTGTTATGGAGGTGAAAACACCTCTACTGGCCTTCAGGAAAATTGAGTAGAGATGTATTTAACCCCTTAAGGACGGAGCCAAATGTACACATTGTGAACAAAACAAAATGTAAACAAAACCTGGCATTTGCGCTACATGTCTGTCCAACCATAATTCACCTCTTTCATAGTAAATGCACTCACCCTTATTATATATCATTTTATTCAGGGGAAACAGGGCTTTCATTTAATATCAAATATTTAGCTATGAAACATAATTTAATATGAAAAAAATGGGAGAAAATACGATTATTTTGATTTTTTTAGTTCTAAATTGCATTTTAAAGGTCAGTGTCATAATACTGTTTGATTTTACTGCAATAAAATACACATATTTGTATTTAGTAAAGTCTCACGTGTAAGACAGTACCCCTATGTACAGGTTTTATGGCGTTTTGGGAAGTTACAGGGTCAAATATAGCACGTTACATTTGAAATTGAAATTGGCCAGATTGGTTACGTTGCCTTTGGGACTTTATAGTAGCCCAGGAATGAAATTTACACCCATAATGGCATACCATTTGCAATAGTAGACAACCCAAGGTATTGCAAATGGGGTATGTCCAGTCTTTTTTAGTAGCTATTTGGTCACAAACACTGGCCAAAGTTAGCGTTAGTATTTGTTTGTGTGTGAAAATGCAAAAAATGCCAATTTTGGCCAGTGTTTGTGACTAAGTGGCTACTAAAAAAGACTGGACATACCCCGTTTGCAATACCTTGGGTTGTCTACTATTGCAAATGGTATGCCATCATAGGGGTAATTTTCAATCTTGGGCTACCATAAGGTCTCAAAGGCAACGTAACCAATCTGGCGAATTTTAATGTGAAAAAAATGAAACACAAGCCTTATATTTGATGCTGTAACTTTTGAAAACACCATAAAACCTGAACATGAGGGGTACTGTTGTACTCGGGAGACTTTGCTGAACACAAATATTTGTGTTTCAAAACAGTAAAAAGTATCGCAGCAATAATATCGTCCGTGTAAGTGCTGTTTGTGCGTGAAAAATGCAAAAACTTCACTTTTACTGGCGATATCATCGTTGTAATACATTTTACTGTTTTGAAACACTAATATTTGTGTTCAGCGAAGTCTCCCGAGTAGAACAGTACCCCCATGTACAGGTTTTATGGTGTCTTGGAAAGTTATAGGGTTAAATATAGTGCTAGCAAATTAAATTCCCTTTACTTTCGCATGGGTTGTCAGGCAGGTCCCGCTAATTGTAATTAATTAAGATACCTAATTATGTAAAAATATTACATAAATATATATGTAGAATTAATATATGTATATATATACGTATGTGTATATATATGTATATATCTATATAATTTTTTTAAAATATTTTTATTTATATATATAGGTATATATATAGTGATATATACGTATATATTTATGTATATAGATATATATATTATTTCGTTCTACGTGTATTTTGATAATATATATATATATATATATATATATATATATATATTAATTTCACAAAACAGTTAGAACGAAATAACACACATCTATATATTTTTTAATTATTTATTTTTAATTATTTTTTAAATTTTATTTTTTAACGTATTTACATTTTAATTTTTTTTATATTATATATAAATATATATATAACAATAATTATATATATATTTAATCAGTATCGGTCTATGTGTAATTTGATATTAATATATATATATAATTATATATATATTAATAGTAAAATACACATAGACGGTGTATGTGTGTGTATGTATATGTGTATATATATATACTTAGATCATATATATATAATATATATATATGATCTAAGTATATATAATTATTTTTTTTTTACACCATTAACTTATTTTTATTTTATTTTCAGCCAGCAGGGGGACCACCTGTCATTACAGGCAGCCCCCCTGCCGGCAATACAGAAGCCAGCTATCCCGACCATGTGATTGTGGGGTCCTCGCTAGGACCCCACTCTCACATGGCCGGGGGGCTTCGACGGGGACGGACGTGCCGCGGGGGGCTCCCTGGGAGTCCCCCCAACCGCGATCGCCGGCGTGGGACCGCCGGCGACCGGGTAAGTTAACAAAAACCGGAGGGCGTACAATTACGCCCGGCGGCGTTTAGAGCCGCCTATTAGAGGGCGTAATTGTACGTCCTCCGGTTTTAAGGGGTTAACCTTTCCATGTAAGCATTGCGACACACACACACACACACACACACACACAAAAAGCGCAATGTTTTACATCAAAGTGTAAAAATGACAGGACCACTTCATTGCTGGCGACAGGTGACCAAAACGTGGGTTCCTATTACGGGCCGCACAAGTCCTCCCCCTAGCCTCCATGGTCACTTCTGCTTTTATAAGTGTTCATGGAGAAATCAACCTGTATGTACAGCAATTTTCTATTAAAATCATTGTCTATATAGAAATATCTCCACCTTTTTGTGACTATCTAGTTGTACCACCGGCGCACGTTACTTAGGCAACTCATAACTGTTCCAGTCTTCCTAATGTTAAAACGTGTGAAAAAATGATATCTGTCATCACATGGTGCGCTGGCGGCAGGTGGAAAGGGATTCTTCACTTGCACGAAGTGCTGTTTGCAAGCCTGCTAGTTGAAGTGGTTTGGACTATATGTGCGCTGCTTTTGTGCCTTCTTTCTGACCATTGTTCCTTGATTCCTCCTCCTTCCCTCCCTCATTTCACCCCTCTTTATGAAAAACAAAAAAGTCCTTTAATGCTCGCCTATGAGAAGCATTTGATTGGACTGCGACGAGGGAAATGGTGACGGGTGTTCCGAAAGTGGGGTGTTTGAGGATAACTTTACCCAGTGCTGGATTCCAAGTACCACTAAAGACACAGATCACTACATCAAAAGGATGTAGTCTGGGTGCAGTGGTCCTGTCATTGTAACCCTGCAATGTTCACATTGCAAAGTTACAGCCACTAGAGTAACTTCTGCTGCACTAAGCGAGTAAAAACAAAACCCTATCACGTGATGAGGATTAGATTCAATGCTTTCCTATGAGAACTACTGAATGCACATCAGGTCCCCATTGCTCCTCTAAGGGGGGGCATTGTATTACACAAATGATGAAGGGGGCAATGCCTTCATTTTGGGAGACACAACTTGGGACTCACAGCCCCGAGTGCTCCTATCACAACTAGGACTACTACTGCCTTTACTTTCCACATCCTTTCTAGTTCTTTTAGTCCTTGGTATAGTCACTGGGTATTGCCACATCCACCACGACTGCAGTCTTTCGTTCCTTGTCTACCACCACTATGTCTGGTTGGTTGGCCAGCACTTGCTTGCCTGTCTGGATCTTGAAGTCTCTCAGGATCTTAGACTTATTCTCAACTACCCTTGGTGGGATCTCTCATCTGGACTTGAGGATGTCCAATCCATATTCTGTTTATATGTTTCGGTACACAAACCTAGCAACTTGGTTGTATCTCTCCGTGTATGCTGTTCCTGCCAACATCTTGCATCCGGCTACTAGGTGCTGGACTGTCTCAGAGGCCTCTCTGCACAGTCTGCACCTTGGGTCTTGCCTGGTGTGGTAGACTCCAGCTTCTGTTGATCTGGTGCTGAGTGCCTGTTCCTTTGCTGCTAGGATTAGTGCCTCAGTGCTGTCTTTCAGTCCTGCCTTTTCAAACCACTGGTAGGATTTTGAGCCACATCCACCATCTGCAGGTGGTACAGATTGTCTTGCCAAGGAACCTCTTTTTCTGAATCCTCGATCTGTGGAAGTCTTTTTTTTTTATACTTAAGAAACAAAGCAAACAAATGACAATACATGATAAATGGCAATGTACAGAAAACACTTGACTCAAATGTCACATTTTCATGAACAATACAGAAAAAGGAGAAAGAAAAAAAAAAAAGAGGGGAAATGGGGGGATACCACCCGCTGTGAGGATTAGAACAGGGTTGCCATGATATAGACTTGTATTCTGACCGATGTACACAAAATCTAGAAGTCCCACATTTTTTTTAAATAAAAGGGCATTGCGGACCATTGCTTTCAGCCTGTACATTTGGCAATGGTCAATGACCTTAGGAATGACCTCCCCAAATGAAAGGGTCAAATACTGGATCAACAGTCATCCCCCTCCTCCCAGTTGAGTCTCATGAAAGAAATTACATTAATATGGCCGAAACTTTTGTACATTATTAAATAGTTACAGACACTATAGCAGGCATATTCAACCTTCGGCACTCCAGGTGTTTTGGACTATATCTCCCATAATGCTGGTAAAGCATCATGGGAGGTGTAGTCCAAAACATCTGGAGTGCCGAAGGTTGCCTATGCCTGCTACAGTGTATGTAACTCTTTAATAAACTACAAGAGTTTCAGCCATATTAATGTAATTTCTCTTTAATAAGACTCAACTGAGTCTTTCACTCGTAAAAGGATAACGAGATCTAAATGTTAATTACTTCTATTTGTCCCCCAAAGTGGCAGCACATGGAAGTAGCAGCCAAACGTTTGGTTTAACCTTCTTTGATTCTTAGCACTTAACTGTAGTAAAGACCCCAGAACAGCATGGTAAACGTTATTGGATGAAGAGGATTTATGCAAAGCCACTACAGAAGCTACGCTTGTAGTTTTTACCTTCACAGAGTAAATGCTATGAATTGAATACAGAAATGAAATGTGTGTTGGCATGCTAACAATTTAGAGGCACTAAAACAAGATTAAATGGTTTTCACATGTATTCTATAAACCTCTAAGAACATACACAACCAGAGAGTCAGACACACACAGTATGCATGCAAAATATGCATGTGGCATCTGAATACCACACGCTCAAACGGAAAGTATATCTCCTCCGCGGATAGAACTGATACACAGTAATCTGTAGCTTTGTTGACTGCTGCAAACAGACATTTCTACAAAACTGTGAACCAGACTGTGTACATGCGGTTAGCAGCAACTGTATGGCTGTTCTTTATTGAGTTGTTCCACTAATCCTACAGCCAGAAAGAAAGGCTCCTGATTGCTGGAGCCTTCGTCAGGTGAGGGAGGGATCTGTTGTTGGAAACTGCCTCTCAGTTATGCTAGTAGAGAAGTTTAAAGGAGGGATGTGGAGTCAGTAGTTTTTTTTTTTTTCAGTTTCTATACATGTGTTGGATACAGGGAGTTTTTTTTCCTGAGTTAATGCAGTTAAGTTCAAAATTTTAAACCAACTTAAGTCAAACTGACAAAATCTTCCAATTCAGCAATGTTCTCAGATCGGTTATTTTGTCCCCTAAAACTTGAAATGGATTTAAAATTCCAGACAAATCACATTTATTTTTTTATTACTCTTGTAAGATCTTTGTTACCAGTGGAACTGGCTGCAACATCCTTACTTTTATTTCCTACACTACATTAGATTTAATTATGACGTCGTAAAGGACCACTTCAGCTTAATGAAGTGGTCTGGGTGCCAGGTCCCTCTAGGAATAAAATATATATATATATATATATATATATATATATATATATATATATATATATATATATATATATATATATATATATATATATATATATATATATTATCAGTTTCAGAGAAACTGCTATGTTTTTAAATGGGTTAATCCAGCCTCCAAATCCTCTAGTGGCTGTCTCATTGACAGCCGCTAGAGGCGCTTGCGTGATTCTCACTGTGAAAGTCACAGTGAGAAGACACAAGCGTCCATAGGAAAGCATTGTAAATGCTTTCCTATGAGACCAGCTGAATGTGCGCGCAGCTCCTGTCGCGCGTGCGCATTCAGCCGAAGGGGAGGAGAGGAGGCGTAGAGGAGGAGGAGAGCTCCCCGTCCAGTTTTAACCCTTTCCTCTCCCCAGAGCCGGATGGGAGGGTGTCCCTGAGGGTGGGGGCACCCTCAGGGCACTATAGTGGTCCTTTAAGTTGTTAAAGCAACGAGCTCATAATGACACCATCAGGTCAAAATATAAATGTATAGGACTTTCTATACAACGTCTTCTCCCTCCAATCTGAATCTTCTGCACTCACCAACAAAACAAAAAGAATCAAAACCATGTAAACACACTATACCAATTCAAATTACACAATATATTATCCAATGGAGCTGCTTAAATTTTGTTTGTGCAGACTTGGGCAAATAAAGCAGTATATATGATGCTGCATGTTTTAATCTACATCATTCTGTTGATGCCCGCTCTGAGTACAGGAAGGGCATTGCAGCTTAAGATAAAAATCATGTTTCGGAACAATTGACCTGGTCTCAGATTGCAAGACACAAGAAAAAAAAAAAACATAAGAAAAGTTTATCGAGTACATCTACAAGTACATCTTTAGTTTTACTAAAAGAAGAAATAAAAGGGAGTTTCAAATTTAAAGGGAAACTATAGTGCAATGAAAACAACTAACTATAGCTCCCTATAGTGCACCCCTATATCAAGCCTCGGCATACGCTACTCCCTTGACATTTGAGACGAGACCTAATGTGTATGCTCGGACGAAGGTAAGTAAAACAAGGGTTCTTAACCCTTTATTCGCCGGTAAAAGGGCCAGAAAGGAGGGGGGTGGCAGAGGGAGCTATAGATCCAGGAATACAGCTTTGGCACTTATTGTATCCCTTTTACCCACAAAAAGGTAATTATTGCAGTTTATTTAAAAAAATAAATAAATAAGGCAATAGTTACATTTGCAGGTTTAAGAAACCAAGGAATATGCACCCATACCATTTCAATGAGCTAAAGTGGTCTGGGTGCATAGAGTGAAACACACACACACACACACACATTTTTTATTTAAGGTATGTCTAAAAAAACGACCTTGTGTCTGAAGCCTTTGCAAGTTCTTACCTTCTTCCCGAGGCCGGATTATCTGTGGCTGTTCAATTACAGACTTCCTAATACAGCTCAATAAGAAGTCATTGCACGGCAGGTGCAATGGCTACATCTTGGGTTAGCTCAACAAAGCTAATCAACCAGGAAGTAACAAGACATGTTAACTGACTGACAGCCAGGGCATGTAACAAGGTTTAAATGTGAAATGGTCACCATTTAGCTGTCCCCGTACAAGCTTATTAAAGAGGTGGGTGTTACACTTCTGTATCACTCACCTAAGGTACACTCACACTCCCCTTGTGCTCATTGTTGACATGCTCTATTTTGGGACACTTCCCAAAGCAGGGCAATACTTCTCCATGATGCTGACTTTGTTCCCAGTGTGCTAGCATCTGAACAGAGTGACATCACTCTGCCCTAGTCCCTCTATTGTCCTATTGCCCTAGTCCCTCTGCTATAGATGGAAAGCAGAGAAACCGCCTTTCTTCTGGTATCCCTGTATCTTAAAATTCCTCAGCATGAATTTATGTCAGGAAACAGAATCAGATAGAAAAAAAAACAAAACAAAAAAAAACTATAAGCACCAAAACAACTTTAGCTTAATGAAGCGGTTCTGGGTGTATAGATCATGCCCCTGCAGTTTCACTGCTAAATTCTCTGGCATTTAGGAGTTATCGCCATTTATATAGCGCCAACAGATTCCTAAGAGCTTTACAATATTATTAAAGGGGGGAATTTAACTATAAATAGGACAAGGACAAGAAAACTTTCAGAAACAATAGGTTGAAGATGGCCCTGCTCAAACGAGCTTACAGTCTATAGGAGGTGGGGTATAAAACATATTAGGACAGGAGTTAAGTAACTTGATTCAGTTTATACAATTGTAGTCATTGTCCCTTTAAACAAATATGCAGGGATAGCATACAAAAGTGTAGAAAAGGTTTATTTTTGAAAACCTTTGATAGAAGAAATCCTGTCACTAACCAACAGTCAAACTACACTAATGATACCCATTCCATTGGCTTGTTCATGCACATAGACAGTTTTTGCACATTTACAGCTGGGGAGCTACAATGGCAACCACAGACCAATATAGTGTACAGCTATGTCAACATTAAACTGGGGTTATCTGCTAACCTGTAAATATCTAAACAAAATTAGCCTGAAATGGCTGACATGGAAAGATTAATCCTTCCCCAACAACCAGTGCTTATATGAAACTGTTACCTAACTATAGGTTTCCAACTTTTGTACTCTTCTGAAAATTTGCAAATCACTTTTTTTTGTTTAAATGCTTGGTTCAGCAAACAAGTGAAATATAACATATCAAATGGTTATGTACAGTATACCTTTAGATTTTATGTTTACAACCAAGACATTTAAATTTTTACCAGAATGTGCTAGACAAGATGTCCTTAGTTGAAAACCAAGACAAACCATTTAAAAGACAGTATTTCTCCTTTATGAAAGAGTGAATGTTTATGTATCTTGATCAAACAGTTGCCAAGCTGATGGAATTGAAGGTTTAATCATAATATGTCTGCATGCAAACCATGGATGAATACCAATTGTATATGTACATACGCACAGGTGTCTTGCCCCTATAAAATGCACGGAAGACGTCATCATAAAAGTGGTCCAAACCCTTTCTGAATGTACAAGTTGGATATCTACAGAGTAATACAGGAAACATCTATTAAAGTATTTATCAGCACTAAAAAGGTGGCAAAAAGTTGATTTCTTGTTGCCAAATGGCACAGAGAACACTGTCTCCGCGTACACAAAACACACAAGTGAACACGGTCAGCGTGGGGTGTATATGACAAAGTCAGTTTGAAATGCACAATGGGTAACTTTAGAACTATTATACACGGGTGAGTGGGGGCCTCATGTTTCATGAGTTAGTATTTCTTCTACCATTCAACCTGTATCTCCAGTCAGCCATCTCTACAGGAAGAGGCACAAAGTGTAAAATAGGCATACAGCTGGTACAAACACCATTGCTCTGTGCCCTCCACACAGGTCACATCTCCGGCTCCCAAGAACCACAGATTAAATTTTATTTTATTTTATTTTTAAATCAGACTAGCTGCTCGCCTCCAGGGACAATCAGCCACGTCCAGCTTGCAGGAAGGCCTGATCCCCGGCCTCGCTTACACAGCCGGCCCCAGCAGCGGTGGGGGAGGGGCAGCTGGACGGGGTGGGCTGTGAGCGCACCACTTTTAGGCAGTTTGCGGCTGTAGCTCGGGCCCAGGGAGAGCTGCTAGTACTGGATACCAGGTCTTCATACCAACAGAGCAGCACACTACCTTGCCCCCCGCCTCCCAGAGCCAGCAACCTCCCCGGACAACTCTCCCAGAGGCCCCTACCTTCCCCCCGCCCCAGCCTGGTCCCAGAGGCCCCTACGCGCTGGGTCCCAGAGAGCCCCTGGGTCCCCGGCCTGGTCCCAGAGGCCCCTAAGTCCCCGGCCTGGGGTCCCAGAGGCCCTGTACCCGGTCCCAGAGGAGCCCCCTGCCTTGCCCCTGGTCCCAGAGCCCTACCTTGCCCCAGTCCCAGAGGCCCCCTTGCCCGGCTGGTCCCAGAGCCCCTGCGCGCTTTGGTCCCAGAGGCCCTACCTTGCCCCCCACCCCGGTCCCAGAGCCCCTACCTTGCCCCCGGTCCCAGAGCCCCTACCTTGCCCCCACCCCGGTCCCAGAGGGGCCCCCTACGCCCCCACCCCCAGCCTGGTCCCAGAGGCCCCACCTTGCCCCCGGCCTGGTCCCAGAGGAGCCCCTACCTTGCCCCGGCCTGGTCCCAGAGAGCCCCCTAGATCCCCAGCCTGGTCCCAGAGAGCCCCCTAGATCCCCGGCCTGGTCCCAGAGCCCTACCTTGCCCCAGCCTGGTCCCAGAGCCCCCCTACCTTGCCCCGGCCTGGTCCCAGAGGCCCTACCTTTGCCCCCTGGCCTGGTCCCAGAGGGAGGCCCCCACCTTGCGCCAGCCTGGTCCCAGAGAGCCCCCTTGCTTGCCCCGGCCTGGTCCCAGAGGAGCCCCCCTACCTTGCCCCAGCCTGGTCGGACAGACCCCGGCTCTGCCTCCCCTCCCGTCCCAGAGGCCCCTAGATCCCCGGCCTGGTCCCAGGACAGACCCCGGCTCTCTCACTCACACCTGTTCCTCTTCCTGTCCGGCAGCTCACACTCAGAGAGCCCCCCTCCCGGGTCCCCGGACACCCAGTGTGAGCCGCCGGTTTCAGTCCATGGCGGTTACCGAGGATCCGACATTACCCTGTGCCCGCCCCAGCCAGGCCCTCCCGGCATACCGAGCCCGGGGTAGCCGGCACAGCAGCACGCCGCCCGCAGCCCTCACTCCCTCTCGGTGCCGGGCTGGGCCCGCTAGCCGGCCTCCCTCCCCCCAGTCCCCGGTGACTCACGTTGCTTTGCGGATCGATGGCCTGTAGCAGCCTCTCCCTGATCTCCCGCGGGGTTACCGGAGCCGCTGTCATTGCCTCTCGTCCAGGAATCACTGCGGAGGGCGGCGCGGCATGTTCCCGGGTGGGGAGGGACGCGGTGGCCCGAGTACCGGGGGCAGGAGGACACCGGAGACTCCCAGGCGCGTCTCTCCTGCTGGAGTCGAGCGACCGGGAGCCCCGAGGCACGACGGGAAATCCGTCGCCGCACGCTTTGTGACGCCACTCTGCATGCGTCCTGCGTCACGATCCCTCTGGGCAGCACGCACGCAGCGTCCGCCAGCTCTGGCCCCGCCCCCTTTCCAGGAAATGTCAGGAACAGCGTGCACTTGTCAAAGCCGTGTCCTGTGTAGCATGGGCTGGGAAGCACGCTGCCTGTTACCTGCATGGCCGCCTGTGACACCTATATTGCTGGCTGGAGCTGGATTCAGGGCTAAAACACGGGGCCTAGTGAGAGTAGCTCCATTTACATTTCAATTGTTACAGTACTTTCTGTGGCACACAGCAATCCTATCCCTCATCCAAAGAGCTGCCAGATGTGCCCTTTGAGGTTGTGATGATGCCCATTTTGTTCGGAGATTACACAATTGCCACCAGACACTACATACAGACTGAGCACGATGTAGCAAAAATAAAAAATACTGTTCAAAAACTTGCACACTATTTCCTAAAACGACACTATAGTCACCTAATATATATTTAGGTTTGGTGTATAGATCATGCCCCTGAAGTGTCATTGCTCAATTCTCTACCATTTAGTAGTTAAATCACTTTGTTTATGAAACCATAGGCACACCGCTCTGCCTGTGACAGCCTGCATGAAAACAAAACATACAGACGCTAACTTGCTTTAGAAGTTTTTATCCCCATGCTCTGTAAATTTAACTTTAATCACACATAGGAGGCTCCTGCACAGTGTAGCAAGATAGTAACAGTACAAGAGATAAGATTCTAAATTATACAGAATTTGCAATAAAGTAAGTGTAAACATTAGATCTCACTTTACAGGAAGTGTAAGCCACATGCATGGAGGCTCAACTAAGGTTGTATTAAAGTGTTTTATCTCCTAAATGACATAGAATTGAGTCGTGACACTGCAAGACCATGATCTATGCACCAAAATTGCTTCATTAAGCTAAAGTTGTTTTGGAGGCTATAGTGTTCATTTGATAAATGTAAAAAACCAAGAAATAAGTCTGCACGGGACCTATTACAAAGCATAGCCTGGAGCTGCTGTTTCAATAGCACCTATGCCAATACTGATCTGCTAACACAGAATTGAATTAGTTTAATATCTGAATCAGTATCTTTAAGGGGGGGTGCATTTATAGAAATTTAGCTTAGCTTGTCTTATTTTAAGGAGTGGTGATTTATCATTAAGAGCATGCTGTCAGAAAATTGATGGTTTAGACAAAACATTTGTTAGTATATAGAAAAAATTATATGGTAACATTTCCCAGTAATGGTATTTACAAAATATCATATCTAGAACTTTTATACAGTAGTTTTTAAATTTTTACTCTCATTTTCATTGAAACAATTGTTCATCAGTAAGGATAACCTCATATTGTGTGGCCTGTTAGTAGATCCTATGGGCAGGTGTGAGGAGTACATAACTATTGGAAACATCTGAAGTGCAGTAGGAGTAAATGGCAAATTATGCCTACTACAAACATTTCAGATAAATATTAAGGAAAATCAATGTTTTGGGAAAATTGGCCTCTAATAACAATATGGAGGAGGCAGAACTGGAATTCCTCCTTGTGCAATATGAATTCATAGAAGGGCTAGGGGTAGGGATTAGCTGACTCTCAGCCAATTCCCCAGTATGGTACGAGTATAGATCTGCCTCTGTCATATGGTCATTGCGTGCCAGGGACTAAGAATCTCTAGTAGACTTTGAGGAAACAGTTTATTAGTAATGCCAGGAACTATGGATTCCATACAACATCACCACTTCAATCCATTAAAGTGGTTACAGTGCCTAAAGTGTTTCTTAATCAATATTGTTCAATTTGCTACTATGTCTAAAACAATATGTCTCTTAATTTTTCAATTTATAACAAATTGACACTCTCTAAAAAAAAATGAGATTATATTATTAAGAAATGTTAAATGCGCACCCTTCCACTTTTCACACCTAAGTATTCCAAAAAAATACCACAGTATGGATTAAAAACATATATACTTTACAGAATATTATTCTTACAGCATGGCTACTTTTGATAAATTAGCTCACAAATTACAAGCTATAGTTAAGAATATATAATTATGGCATTTAAGATGTTAGGCACTCCAGATGTTGTAAACTGCTGTAAGAGAATTACAGGAGATGTAGTATACATCTGGAGTTCCAAAGACTTCCTAACCCAATTTGGACAGATGTTGAGCACAGGCCTGGCACCCCCAAAAATAAAAAAATCTTGAAACGTGTACATTTTACACATTGTTACATTTATGCATAATGGAAAGTTGCTTTGGTAAAAGATGGACAAAAACAAAAAAGGCATACACAGGAAAAACTTATTTCCAGCATGCCTAAGGGTTAAAGGTCATAGCAACTTACACATTAGAGACAGATTTTACATCTTAAAAGCTTGTATTTTATTTATTCCACAGCAATGTGTACAGGGAATAATCATATAAATCTAAAATTGTTTAGAATATGCTTTGGTGAGCTAGTGGGCAGTTCATGTTGTACCTGCAAACACCTAAGCGGCTGTTTGCCTTTCAGAATTGGTGATTTAGCAATGAAAAGTCTGGTATCAATGTAACTAACTTCACTTCTAAAAGCAAAAGTGGTCATGGTGGTTGGAGTAACCCTTTAATTGGTCATAGTGGTTGGAATCTTTATGTGCAGCGTTTTTGCTTGAAATATGCACTTTTCTGCCAGGGGCTAGCTGCACCCCTAGTACATGTGACTTAGGCAGCCTGTCAATTCTGTGCACAAATTACATCTTTCGTCCGTGTGCAGTGCACGCTTACGGCACACGTGAGTTTTTTACCCTTACAGGACGCTTTAATGTATCCCTCCTAATTTATCTTAGCCCTCATTTGTAGTTTTTATATGCCCTCCATCTACTGTCCACCCCAATTACCTCCCTCCCCAAACTGGCTCAGAGGTTGCCCGTCACTTTGAGGCTGTATTTATGTTTTAAAGATATAAACATATTTCAACATAACTGACTGTACCATAACTACTGGAATGTAAAAGAGGTAAGTTAGCTTATTCAAGATATACAAACATGCGCAAGCATATTAATGCAGGTTTACAAGTAAAACAAACAGGTGACATCATTTTGTTGATTTGTTTTAGTGACTCACCTGTGTTCAAGCAGAGTGTAAATGGTATTTTATTTGTGAGGTCTGATAATTTTGGAAGAATAATACGAATGAATTAGAGAGCAAGAATTTGCACAATTTGTCAATGCAAGTCAGGCTGGTGGTGTAGGTTTATATGTGCATGTCCTAATATGGTAGACGCATTCGATCCAAAATGGGAAACGTAACTGTAAAACTGCCATGTCCTTAGGTGACAAAATATTGTGGAATATTTATTGCTATGCATAGCCAGAACTTTGAGAACTACATTATCCACCATGCAATAGCAAAAAAACAAACAAGAAGTCCTAACCATTTAACCCTTTAAGCAAGGAGGCAAATTTCCATCATCTGAACCAAAACAAAACCTAGAACTTGTTATATGTGTTTGTTCCACTATATTTTAAGAGTTTATATATTGTATTTTTTTAAAGACAGAATTAGCTTTCTTTTAATATCCTATTTATACTTAAAGGGCCACTATAGTGCCAGGAAAACAAACTAGTTTTCCTGGCACTATAGGGTCTTTGTGTGTCCCCCACCCTCAGGTTCCCACTCCTGCTGGGCTGAAGGGGGAGGAAGGGGTTAAAGGAACACTATAGTCACCTAAATTACTTTAGCTAAATAAAGCAGTTTTGGTGTATAGATCATTCCCCTGCAATTTCACTGCTCAATTCACTGTCATTTAGGAGTTAAATCACTTTGTTTCTGTTTATGCAGCCCTTGCCACACCTCCCCTGGCTATGACTGACAGAGCCTGCATGAAAAAAAAAAAACTGGTTTCACTTTCAAACAGATGTAATTTACCTTAAACAATTGTATCTCAATCTCTAAATTGTACTTTAATCACATACAGGAGGCTCTTGCAGGGTCTAGCAAGCTATTAACATAGCAGGGGATAAGAAAATCTTAATTAAACAGAACTTGCAATAAAGAAAACCTAAATAGGGCTCTCTTTACAGGAAGTGTTTATGGAAGGCTGTGCAAGTCACATGCAGGAGGTGTGACTAGGGTTCATAAACAAAGGGATTTAACTCCTAAATGGCAGAGGATTGAGCAGTGAGGTTGCAGGGGCATGTTCTATACACCAAAACTGATTGATTAAGCTAAAGTTGTTCAGGTGACTGTAGTGTCCCTTTAAATTCTTACCTTTCTCCAGCGCCGGGCTCCCTCATCGCTGGAGACTCTCCTCCCTCTTCCGATGTCATCCTCCGAATGCGCCTGCGGGGCAAGAGCCGCGCGCATAATCAGTCCATAGGAAAGCATTTCTCAATGCTTTCTTATGGACGGCAGCGTCTTCTCACTGTGAAAAACACAGTGGGAAGCGCCTCTAGTGGCTGTCAGAGAGACAGCCACTAGAGGCTGGATTAACCCTAATGTAAACATAGCAGTTTCTCTGAAACTGCTATGTTTACAGCTGGAGGGTTAACCCTAGATGTACCTGGCACCCAGACCACTTCTTTGAGCTGAAGTAGTCTGGGTGCCTATAGTGGTCCTTTAACACAACATTAGGTTTAAATAAAATGTTAAAAATGGGGGAGGAGGAGCAAAGAACAAAAAGTCATTCACAGGTTTGCTTCTAATAATCTTATCACAAAGTGCAACTCAAGTATAAAAACTCAAAGTAGATTCATGCATCGACCCTAATTATTAAATGCTTCATATGTCTAGGATCTAAATTCATTTTTGGTAGTCAACATTAACCCTATACCAACCCTACCTGAAAAATTATATTTTACACTAGCTCTAACTGTACACCTGTGCTAACTTTAACCTTACTCTAATACTCCCTTCACCCTACACCAAATTAAGAGGGATTTGCTCTGCTAATGTCAGCAGTGGGATTTCCCAGCTCACACAGTGTGCTTGCAGCATGTGAGTGACCTTTCAGACACTAGGGGTCTCCCGGAGACTGGGGGAAAGCTAATAACCACTACGACTGACAGAGATCACTTAGCCCCGGGGATTTAAATGCATTGAAATGGTTGTATTCAGTGCTCACTTTGCTTGTCTGTCAGTCTGGTGCCACTAAATGTGACCCAACTGTCAAAAGGGAGCCCTGGCTACATGGGTCTCCCCTGTCTGAGCAGGGTTTTAACCCTGCAAACACCAACATAAAAGGAGGGTTCATGCCATAGTAACAGTATTAAAGGCCACTATTTTTAGGGTGGCATTGAATATCCAAACATCCTTAAGGGATTAATCAAATGTGCATATCTATACTAAATCAACAATAACATGTATTTAAATCTTTTTAGCTCACATTTAATGCTGGTATATATCCAGCACTGTTGTAGTTTGTCCACCTTATTGGCAAACTAATAATGAATGAAACCTGTGTTGGTTCTCCCAGGTATTCATCAGGCGCTCGTGCTCTCCCGCTATATTATATTATAAAATATATTTTAAAAAAAATTCGGTTATGATGGGAGAAAAAAATTGGGATTGAAAACCCCTTCCACCTAAAGTCTGTGGACAGTTAATAAAATGTTAAACAAAAATCTGCACACCAGTCAAGCCATAAGACTTGCTTTTCCCACAGAAATCACAAATTTGCAGTGATGTTACTACCGCAAAGGAGTATGGGTGCACATATGCAAATTAGTTTAACAAAATCACATTTTTGCCTCATTCCATTTCAAACACGGATTCCTTTGAGTCTGTGTTTGTTGTATACAACAGCTTTGAAACAACTTAGGAAAAGATTAAAAAGCTAGTGAACCACTCATGGACTGCTGTTTCATTGTTAAAGGACCACTATAGTGCCAGGAAAACATACTCGTTTTCCTGGCACTATAGTGCCCTGAGGGTGCCCCCACCCTCAGGGACCCCCTCCCGCCCGGCTCTGGAAGGGGAAAGGGGTAAAAACTTACCTTTTTCCAGCGCTGGGCGGAGAGCTCTCCTCCTTCTCTCCTCCTCCATTCGCCCGCCCGACTGAATCGCGGCAAAGGAGCGGGCGCATTCAGCCGGTCATAGGAAAGCATTTACAATGCTTTCCTATGGGGCGCAGCTCTACCTGTGAAAATCACAGTGAGAAGCACGCAAGCGCCTCTAGTGGCTGTCAATGAGACAGCCACTAGAGGATTAGGGGAAGGCTTAACCCATTCATAATTATAGCAGTTTCTCTGAAACTGCTATAATTATGAAAAAATGGGTTAACCCTAGAAGGACCTGGCACCCAGACCACTTCATTAAGCTGAAGTGGTCTGGGTGCCTAGAGTGGTCCTTTAATGCAAATCATCAGCATGAGGTTGGTTACTGGTTTGCTTATTGAGGCTTGGTAGTGCTTGGGAAGAAAAAAAAAAACTGGGTAGAATCTGTTCAACCCTTGGTTCGCGGGTTCAGATCCCAGCATGTTTGACTCAGCTCTTCATCCTTCTGAGGTAGATAAAATGTGTACCATTAAATTGGGTAATAGTGACAAACCCTGGATGGTTGGAGTATTGTTCGCAGTACTGGAGACCATATCTTCAGAAGGATATTGATACTCTAGCAAGAGTTCAGAGAAGGGCTACTTAACATGGATTGCAGGATAAAACTTACCCGTCTCGTCTTGGAGGAAAGACGAGACGGGGGATATGATAGAAACATTTAAATACATAAAGGAAATCAACACAGTAAAGGAGGAGACTATATTTAAAAGAAGAAAAACTACCACAACAAGAGGACATAGTCTTAAATTATAGGGGCAAACGTTTAAAAACATCAGGAAGTATTACTTTACTGAGAGGGTAATGGATGCATGGAATAGCCTTCCACCTGACGTGGTAGAGGTTAACACAGTGAGTGAGTTTTACCCCTTAAGGACCAAACGTCTGGAATAAAAGGGACTCATGACATGTCACACATGTCATGTGTCCTTAAGGGGTTAAGCACACGTGGGATAGGCATAAGGCTATCCTAGACTTAAGATAAGGCCAGGGACTAATTAAAAGTATTTAGAAATATTGGGCAGACTAGATAGGCTGAATGGTTCTATTCTGCCGTCACATTCGGTTTCTAAGATTTTGAGGGGGGAGGGGGGACAGGGGAGGAGAGAATAAAAAATGAAAATGCGAAGAGCAGACGCACCTTCTAGGACTCCTCAATAAAACTGCACTTTTGGGCAATTATCCCTTAAATTGCCAACCATCAAAGAAAGAGACACGCTGCTAATATCCCTGGGGGGCCTCCCAGCCCGGACGGATGCCATTTATATCCGCTACGAAACCGCCTACGCTACGAAGCACGCCTAAGGAGATCCCCAGCAACAGACCTCCGCAGCACAACTAACCTAACGTACAGGGCGATACACTCACCATGGGGCGTCGTTCTCAAAGAACGCCTGCAAGCACAGTGACGGAAACAAGAGACATTGGAACCCTGCTGTTTCAGAGAAACTGCTATAATTATGAATGGGTTAAGCCTTCCCCCTAATCCTCTAGTGGCTGTCTCATTGACAGCCACTAGAGGCGCTTGCGTTCTTCTCACCGTGATTTTCACAGTGAGAGCACGCAAGCGCCCATAGGAAAGCATTTGCGCGGGGCGTAACGGAGGCGGAGAGGAGGAGGAGAGCTCTCCGCCCAGCGCTGGAAAAAGGTAAGTTATTACCCCTTTCCCCCTTCCAGAGCCGGGCGGGAGGGGGTCCCTGAGGGTGGGGGCACCCTCAGGGCACTATAGTGCCATGAAAACTAGTATGTTTTTCTGGCAGTATAGTGGTCCTTTAAGCAAATGCTAGCTGCTGATACAGCTGTGCTCAAGAAGGAAGTCAAAGCGGTAACAGACAGGGTCCACGCCTCCGAAGAGGACATCTTGGATCTGCGCGGCAACATGTCTCACCTGCAAGACGCTCTCCGGAACGTTGAATCCTCCCGACAAAACCTGCATGCACGCTTGGAGCTCATGGAGGAGAGAAGCAGGCGGCACCATATCACGGTGAGGGGCATACTCAACGGGATCCCCTCGGAGGAGTTGCCACACTACCTGAGGCGCCTGCTGGCCACTATTCTACCCCAACACACAGCCAGGAAACTGACCATAGATGGGACATATAGACTGCCACAGCCCCCAAACGCATAGTCCGGTGCGCCTCACTACTAGATAAGAGAAGCATCATGACCGCGGTGCGTGATAAAACACCATACCTGTTTGAGAATGCACATCTCACGTTTTATCAAGACCTTACAAGGTCCACACTGCAGTGGCGTAAATCACTCAGACCAATCACTGGCCGCTTGCGGGACTCTGGCCTGACCTACAGATGGGGACCCCCAAGGACTCTAACCCCCAAGGACTCTAACTGTGACTCACCAGGGTGCTACCTACCAGCTCACGTCCATTACGGACGCACCGCAATTCTTGCAGACTCTGTGACTACCTGCTATTGATGGAGAAGAAACACCACCGGCTGGCTGAATATGGGACCCTATTCGTCTGATGCCTTTCGTGCAAAGAGGCACCACGCTGACCCAAATAGAGACATGACTGCAACGACCCGCTGTGCCACAGAGCACCAGCCTCTCACCAGACATTAATTGTGTTATTGTTTACAATGTTTGCAATGTTAAGTTTTCGTAACATGTTTGACGTACAACCCGCTAAACAGACACCTCTCCCCCACAACTAAGTGCCTGAGTCGGCTGGACCATTAAGCTCCACCGAGCGTTTTCCCTGCCCACACTACTCAAAGCCTTAAACAGGATGCACTGCTATATTCTCCCCCCCGCCCCCCGCAACCCCCTTGGTTAGGGGCACCTCTAATGTGACACACTACATGTCACCTCTAGCATGGCGTACCTATAACAAGAATGAGACCGGGAACCACTGACTGATGGACCATAGCAACAGACACCAGTCCCACGGGTGCATGGACCATCACTCAACCCCCCCCTCCCAGGCCACGGCATCACACTGACACAAAGCGACACCCCCACAACATAATTCACTCACCCCTTATCACCCTTAGGTACCCCGTAAAGCAACACTGCTCACCTTAACCGATATCAGTACCTAATGGCAAGTTAAGCAGTTTTAAACCCTTCAGAGCTGTACAGAACAACCACAATCACTGCAACTCTTACAGACTTGCTACACCCTGCTGACGGAGACCCGGCCTAACGACCTGTGTAATCTGGCATATTAGGCAGGGATTTCACATTTTTTCTCCTTTCTCCTTCCTATCTCCGAGTTGTGGACAATACACCAGGGCATTACAGCTATTTTATAACTTGTTTAGTATGGCATGTTTAGTGAATTTTTCCCTTGCTCTAATATATACCCACATGTCAAGATTACGCTATGCCCTTAGCAATTCTGTATATTCCTATACCTAGACATGTTTACCTCGCTTGTTTATGTTATCTTACAAAAAGGCAGCTCAATCAGGAGTCTATCTAGTACTGCATACTACACTATTGTCATTTGTAAATGTGCTATAACTCCGTCCCTTCTTATCTGTTATGTGCTGCATACTGTCTCAATAAAGAAAGATTGACAAAAAAAAAATAAAAACACATGAAAATGCCATTCACTCTCCGTTATGTGTTATATACAAAACGAATGTATTATGAACAAAAACAAGATTTTGGTAGAAAAAGATAAAATTTTAAATTCATATAAATAATTCAATGAACAAAAAATACATTTATTAGAAGTTGCATTATTTCCTTAGACCTAAAAACCTACCTTTTATTAGCTGCAGAACTGTCCTCTGCATCTAATGAAGATTCACTGCCTTTTTGCCCAGCAGTTCCATGTTAGTGCTGGGCACTGTCCAATCAAATGCTTCTCAAAAAGAAGCATTGATGACAAATATCTAGTCCAAAGCTTCTCATAGAGATGGGTGGTTTATTGAGATGTGCACTCGTATCCCTACAAAAAAAATCATACTTTAGGACTGCATTACTTCAAATGCCATTTTTTTACTATTCATTTTTCTGTGTCCATTAAAATGGTGGCTTGCTATAAAAAGCTATTCTAGACTGAATTATTATCGGGCTCAGTAAAAATCTGGATGAAGTTGGAGTTATATCCACATATGTTGTTTAACAAGTGGTTGCCTCACTATCCTATTACAGCAGATGTATATTTTAACTCCCAACAGCCTTAGCCAGAATCACATGGAACATGATAGAGGTTGTAGTGTAGCATAGACAGGCAATTTCTTACACTCATTTTGACAGGACACAAATTCCCAACAACTGGCTTGTGTTTTCTTCTCTGCAGCTCGGAAGAGCAAAGATTTAAATTATAACAGATATAGAAGTTTTTCTTGATCAGTGAGTTGGAGAGTTAAAACTCAAAATTGACAGGAATTCAAATTGAATAAAAATTTAGGCCAAATTAAAAACATTTTCCAAGTCAATTCTGTTTTTTTTTTTTATAATTTTTTTATATATAGTTTGGCCTTTATTATAAGTTCACTTTGAACCCCTGGCAATTCACACTTTAGTAAATAACTGTGTGTTAAACTCAACCACGGGTAGCATGTCCAAGGAATCTGGGGCTAGCAGGCGTAGTGAGATGTAAAAGATACGCAAAATGGATATTGCCACCCAGGAAGAGACTATTCCAGTGGGCTGAGTGACAGCCCAGGCACACAGAGATAAAATAATAATGAAAAAAAATTGCTTTGCATCATAACCCTTGCAGTTGGATTAACTAGTGCTTATGGTGACCTTTTGCTATACTCCATCCTCAAGGGCCACCTGTAAGTTTTCAGAGGTTATCACCCAGACTTAACCCTTAGGTTTCAGTGCAATCTGCAATGCATCAGTATTTCTGATATGACGTGTTAACACATTAAACATAACTATATATATATATATATATATATTTTTTTTTTTTTTTAAATCAATTGCAAGGTAAGTGCTAGCATCCTTCATGACATATCAGACATCCCCATTAATATAGAAAAAGGAAATTATAAATACAGGTGGTTCTCGTTTTGCGACAGCTCGTACTTACGACCAGCTCTCTCGTGGGGTGGTAATTGCGAGCAGTTGTGGGAATTAGAGGGATTCCCTGCTCTGTTGCATTCGTCAATGTTCGGGGAAATTTCCCCGAACATAGACAAGCGCACCAGAGCAGGGAATCCCTTAACTCCTTACTTACTGACCAATTCGTCCTACAACCGGGTTTTAGGAACGGAACCCAGACGGTGAGGAGTACCTGTACATAGGTAGTAGGGGTTTTACATTTGGTTCAGCATTTACTAGTTTATTATGTAGTCTCCACAGTCAAATGTGTTTATTGATTTTCTTTCCAATCAACATTCACAATCTCCTAGCCAATTACCTTCCTAATATTGTATACTACTAAAGATCTAAGTTGGTATCTCAAATAAAATTTGGCAAAACATTTTATTTTTAACATTATTACACTGCATTGTTTTATGCACATATATCATTTCTTGTTTGATATCAATGCTACAAACTGCCACATTAGAATATTCTAATGCCAGACTGTTCCACACTTGGTTTGGACATATTGGAAAAGTTATAAAGTGTGTGCTCTGCCTGAAACACAACCCTAGTGCCATAGTATAGAACCAATGTGGTTTATTCGCTAAATAAATGAGCAAAAAGAGGACTTCGCAAAGTGTTAAGATTATCCAAAAAATATATTCTTGATTTGTATATTTCATCTTTAATTTTACTAGTTTTTCTTTTTGCCGATTAATCCAAATACAGCTCACTGTTCAGTTAATAATAAGCCAACTGATTTCCTGTTAAGGTTGAGGAGAAAAGTGTCTTGGGGAAAATTTTGATGGAACAATAAGGGAAATAAAGTAAAGAGAAGGCAAAGAAAGGGTGTATTGGTCTGTAGTGTTTAAAACGATCATCCAGAATTCACAGTTTGTACAATTGGATCTTATAGGAAACTAAGGTAATTGGCCCTTTGTAAACCTGTAAGTTTTACCTTTAGTAATGAGAAGCTCCTCTTTGCCCTGTAAGGAACAGGTCCCAGTAACTCTTGTTAGAGTTCAGAACAAATAACATTGCTTTCACACTGTTTGATGTAAAATACATTTTCAGTGAATGGACACAATCACCATTGTTAATAAAATACACTTTGCATTAACTATACACCGAGATTTGGATTTCAGGTAACAGACAAACATGTTGGGCTATCAACATGTCCTCAAATACAATGATGCAATGCAACATACATATTCTACTAGAATGGCAGTGGGAAAGGAAGAATAAAATGCAAAGATAAAAACAGGATGCTTCTTGTGAATATTACTATCTTTGTAACTGTTTAACTAATGTACAAACTTTACTCAATGACTAATGTGTTGGGATTGGAATGGACGGATTAAGTTGGTTTACCAATGCTCTAGTGTGGTGTCTGAAAGCTAAATTTGTGGTCCTGTTGAGCTATAATTTCAAATCAGTAAAAAAAATAATAATGATGGGAGTTGTAATCCAAAGAGAGCCAGACTTAAAAGGTCAACTTTGCACTAGCTGTACACTAAACTTTATTTGTATTGAGATGTTACTTTCTGTGTCCATTTATAATTGGAGAGGTAGTGGGCTAGGCCAGGTCTACTTAATCTCTTTGCCATTAATGAGATCAGAACAATCCCCTCCTACATAAAAGGTAACTTGAAAGCGGATATATACATATATTTTGGAACAGGATGTGCTCTTCAGAACTGGTTAGATCAAGCAGGAGGGAAGATTGAGACTTTGGGTATTACATGGTAGTCCAGTATGAAACCAACAACACTTTCATGATCCAAATAACCTGTAGACAAGAAAAAGTTCAGGTAAGTACTTTTTACAAGGTACATAATTTTACTGTTGCTTAGTGAAATAATCACAAATTAAAGGACCACTCTAGGCACCCAGACCACTTCAGCTTAATGAAGTGGTCTGGGTGCCAGGTCCTTCTAGGGTTAACCCATTTTTTCATAAACATAGCAGTTTCAGAGAAATTGCTATGTTTATCAATGGGTTAAGCCTTCCCCCATTCCCTCTAGTGGCTGTCTCATTGACAGCCACTAGAGGCGCTTGCGTGCTTCTCACTGTGATTTTCACAGTGAGAGCATGCCAGCGTCCATAGGAAAGCATTGTAAATGCTTTCCTATGCGACTGGCTGAATGCGCGCGCCGCTCTTGCCGCGCGTGCGCATTCAGCCGGCGGGGAGGATCGGAGGAGGAGAGCTCCCCGCCCAGCGCTGGGAAAAGGTAAGTTTAAACCCCTTTCCCCCTTCCAGAGCCGGGCGGGAGGGGGACCCTGAGGGTGGGGGCACCCTCAGGGCACTATAGTGCCAGGAAAACAAGTATGTTTTCCTGGCACTATAGTGGTCCCTTAATAAATAATTTAAATTGCCAAATGATGGTATGTTACTATTGATATGACTGAACTTGGAAGCACAACTGTGTTTTGTTTCTATAGTAGTACTCCATATATATAAAAAAAAATGTCTGCTGGACGCAAATAAACGTGTGAAAAAAGGTCAGGTTGGTGGTGGTTCACATTTTAATAGCAGTTCTTAGATATCCAGACCAGTGTCCAGAATGGAAGGACTTTTAGTAGTCAAAACCAAAAACACTGAGCCCAAAGAGGACATTTGCAGTTTTTCTGCAGATAATGCACAACAGGCCAATCTGAACAAAAATGACTAAATGAGGAGGGTGCCAGTTCAGATCTGGATATACACAAGGAATAATTTGACACAGCCCATTCTCCACCTCAGCCAGTTTTGAGCTCTGCAACATGACTTATGTCTGCAGGAGACATCCCCATCCACATTAAAAGGCAGCTATACTACACAGCTGCCAGAAATTGTCTCCTACAGGTCGTAGAAACACCTTTTGGAAATGGTGCCCCCCTCCCCTCCCCCCCTTTTTTTTTTTGAGTGGTTCTGAAGGTAACTTGACCATACCCATACTGCAACCTCTTTGCTCTAAGCTGCTCCAGCAATTCTGCAGTCCTTAAAAAAATTAAAAAAAATAAAAAATAATATGTACTAGGGATTGAACGATTATTGGTCTGCCCGTATTAACCGCCAATATTCAGTATTTCCGTCAATATCCGTATCGGCCTATAGAAATACCGATATTGCCGATAATGCAGACCAGGACCGCCCCTGTCTAAATTTCGCTGGCCGCGAGATTTAGACAGGGGAGCTGGAGGGAGCTGCTGGGAAGGTAAGTAAGAGCTTGCTGCGGGCCCCCACTGCACAGTTCATGCCATCGGACTACCGGGGAATGCCATATCCCCCCTACATGGCCAAGTAAGACACCCCCCCCCCCATTTTACACACACACTACACAAACACACACACACACTCTGCATTCACTACACAAACACTGCACTCATTATATACGAACACTACACAAACACACACTACACAAACACACCCTGCATTCATTATATATATATACACACACACTGCGTTCACTTTAAACACTACACAAAACACACACACACTGCATTCATTATGTACACACTACACAAACATACACTGCATTCACTGCATCCACTACATAAATAAATATTCTTGAAAACAAAAATTCTGACTGGCATGTACATTTTGTGCATTTACCTTAAAGGATCACTATAGTGTCAGGAAAACAAAGCGGCCCCCCACACTCAGGGTCCCCCTCCCGTGGTGCTGAAGGAGTTAAAACCACTTCAGCCACTTACCTTGTTCCAGCACTGGGCTCCCTCTGCGCTGGTGACCTCTGCTCCCCCGACGTCAGCGGACCTGAATGCGCATGCGCGGCAAGCGGCGCGCGCGCATTCAAAGTGTCCATAGGAAAGCATTTCTCAATTCTTTCCTATGGACACTCTGCACGATGGAGGCAAAATGTGCCTCTAGCGTCGCAGATGCGCCTCTATTGGCTGTCCGGAAGACAGCCACTAGAGGCTGGATCAACCCCAAATGTAAACATAGCAGTGTTTGCATCTGAAGGGTTAAAACCTGAGGGACCTGGCACCCAGACCACTTCATTGAGCTGAAGTGGTCTGGGTGACTATATTGTCCCTTTAATTAAAAAAAAAAAAAGAAGATTTGCAAAAAACTAAAACATGTTCAGTTAACAGTAGATTTGTGTAGAAATAGTTTATTTTTTTCAAAATGGTAAATGTACAGAATATCGGTGAGTTATGGGCTATCGACCTGAAAGTTCAATATCGGTCGATCCCTAAAATGTACTGCAGAATCTTTCATGGAACTTATGTTTGTTAACAATGGCTAGTTTGGGAGAGTTTTCCCAAAATAAAAAATAGTTAACACAAGTTATGGGTGATTTTCAATATTTTCTTCTGTTGTATCATTTCCAAAAATGTGTCAGTTTCCCTTTAGACATAGTACATGGACAGGACAAAGCCACGTGTTAGTATGTAAATGCAACCAACCAGTCTTCCTGCACAGCATTAGATGTAAGTATTTCTGTACGTGGAGATATAGAAATATAATTTGCTTATACTCACACGACCATGCAAAACATCATGAAAATATTCCATAAAGCAATGAAAATTCTGAAGTATCGAAGGCTGAGGAGAAACTCGCGGATATTGTCACCTGAAAAAACAAAAGGGCAAAGGAAAACTAAGTGCATTTTATTTCTGTAATCTAGCTCACCTGTAAGGAAATCTGGTAATTAAATATTACCCTGTCAGTCAATGTTAAACGCTCTGTCCTTTGCAGCTAGTAAGGTAGGTAAAGCATACGGAGAAGAAAGTTTGCTCATGTTTTGCCTGATTTGAACTTGTTTATGATGTAGTTGACTACCTCTGTAATTTATTTCAAAGCATGTGGACATCCAGCGTTAAACTCCGGTAGTGCCTCTAGTTGCTGTCTGGGAGACAGCCATCAATGGTTAACCCTGCAATGTAATTAATGCAGTTTCTCAGAGGCACTAAACCCAGACCACTTCAATGAGATGGTGCCTATAGAGTCCCTTAACACAAGTAATAGGTGAGTTGTTCTATTCAATGATGTAAGTTTGAAGTGACAGTTCCCCTATAAAAGCATAATATCCAATAATGGACAAGGCAAAGCATACGATAAAGCAACTACAACTCCAATGCTGAATTGCCAGTTAGAGCTTTTTACACCTCTGATATAAGTATATATTTTTCTATAAATAGCTATGACAATGTATAGTTGCAAATAAAGAAGACACTATGCCTTTTTTCCACAAGAGGTGCAATTGAATACTCTAGTCTACATTGTTATTAGCATTTATATAGCGCTTATAGAATGGGGAGATTTGACAAGTAATTGACATACAGAATATAACAGACAATGGGTGAAGAAAGTCCTGCTTAACCCCTTAAGGTCCAAACTTCTGGAATAAAAGGGAATCGTGACATGTCACACATGTCATGTGTCCTTAAAGCTTACAATGAGGAAGAGGTAAAAAAACAAACAAAAAAAACAAGAGATGTAAAAGCATGTTAGAGGGGAGCAAAGATATATAGATATGATGCCTGTGTTAAAATAAGCTAGTAAAAGTGGTGCGCTGAAAAGACAAGCAGTAGGTAGAGAAGCAGGACAGATATGTAGTTTGAAGTAGCTAATGAGAAGAAAATTGAGACTGGAGAGAGGAAGAGAAACAATGCAGATCTAAGGAGCTTAGATTTCTAATAGTCCAAGATGAGCTAGATTTAAGACGTTTAGCAAGGGGCATATTGACAGTACAGGTTAGAAGATGGCTGCTGGCTAATGTTGGGTAGAAAAGTTAGCCCATGGGGTAAGGCCAAAAGGAGAAGGTGAGAGAAATCTAGAGGCTACTGAATTGTTGTGTTGGTTAATAGGGATTCTGAAATCATCAAAAATGAGGGAAGGAAATGTCAGAGAAAACAAAGTAAGGAAAAGTAGAGGAGCGCTTGGGGGACAGTAGATAACAGCAACGTAGACTGAGAGGATTGCAGAGACAGATGGAGTGGACTTCAAAAGAGTAAAAGAAGAGAGAAGAACAAGGGGGCAAAGGTGGAAAGAAACAATGAGGGGAGAGAAAAAACCATACACCAACACACACAGCATTAAAAGGCCTAGGAGAATGAGAGAAGTGCAATTCACCATAGGATAGAGTTGCAAGGATAGCAGTGTCAGAAGGTGAGAGCTAGGTTTCAGTCTGTGCCAAAAGGAGATAGTGAATGGCAATAACTCTGACATGTTAATTTAATTCTAAATTATTGATGTGGCAACATTAGTTTTAAAGGTCAAACAGCATAGAAGTTGTATTCATCTTCAAAGATACTTTCTGCCTGTACTGTGTATTATAAGGCAATCTGACAAACTCTGCTTAAAAGTTTGTCTTTATTTCTAGTCCGAAATAACTTTAGAAAAAGCTGTTACTACCAGTAGATTACCATGCATAACAAAGTAAGCAAGTGACCATGTCTAAATTCATCCTGACAGCTGAGTAGAGATGGGATATTTCAACAATAGGATTACTCTAAGCATGCTAACGACTTATCTGTGGAACATCGCCTTAATGCACTATCAACAGGCTATTTGCAAAGATATATAGCAGAGAAGGATCACTAAAAAGAGCCCATTCTGTAAGTGAACCTGTCAAATATGAACTATAATATATTATATTTAGAAGAAAACTGCAGTACATTCAGAAAATATTCAAACCCTTCATTTTGTTTTATGTTGCAGCCTCATGCTATCATTAAAGGGATGCTATAGTGCCAGGAATACAAATCCGTATTCCTGGCACTATAGCTCTCTCTGCCAACTCCGTTCCCCACTGCGTCGGCGAATAAAGGTTTAAAAGCCCTTTATTTACTTAACTGATTCCAGCTCCGGTGTCCCTCGGCACTGGGTTATGGCTCCACCTCCTCCAGCGTTGCTTGTTGAGAGGGTGCTAATGCGCATGTACGGCAAGTGCTGCGCACGTATTAGGCGATCTTCATAGGAAAATAGCTGATGCTGGATGTCCTCGTGCACAGCGCGATGATGTCCAGCATCAGTTACTGGACCAAAAGTCTGTTAACATTCAGGAAGCGACTCTAGTGGCTGTCACTGCAGGACTAAATGCAGTAGGGACATTGTACACAGACCACTTGAATGAGCTGAAGTGGTCTGGGAGCCTATAGAATCCCCTTAAAATGTTTTTTTCCTTTTCACATCAATCTCCACTCAGGAAAAGGCAAAGAAAAGATTTTTGAATTCTCCTGACAAGTTCTTGTATGGAGTGTGCAGCCACAGACATCTTTAGTAACGTTTATAGACTCACTGTGATAAAGCCAGTTCAGCAGCTTTATAAATGCACAGGCTCTAATCCTTCACTCACAAATTATACTAAGTAAGCAATGTAGTAAGCGAACACCATTAGATTAAACTGCAGAGCACTTATGAATAAACTAAAATTCCTTATGGAATATCCAGAATGTGAAATATCACCAAACTTTAACTAAAGTATAACTCTATAGTGGTTTTGAGTTGAACTGTACATGAAGTATAATAGTATTTCACTTTAGGGACAATCCATGAAGATTCTAGTTCAATAATTAAGTGATCAACATTTTATGCTTAGGCAATTCACAAGTTATTTTTCACTATGTTAAAAAAGGAGAAATTACACAAAAGTGGTGTAACAGCTGTGGTTTTATTGTTTTAACACAATAAAAGGAAACGCAGAGCACCACAACCACTACACACCTTCCCGTCAGATCAGGTACCTGCCTCAGGCCCTTTACGCGATGGGGTGACGAACGGCATGTGCCTGCACGGAGACGGTTTGAAGTGACTGCGGTGTGAGGCGCAGAGGAAGTTTGCTTGGATCACTCTGCATGGATTTCCCAGCTCCCTTGCATCTGTTACTGTTGCTGAAGCCGGGTGTTATTATATGTCAGATAACGTACTGTGTACTGAACTGGTGTGCGTATGGGCAACATCAGAGTTTCAGATTAGTGGGGAAGTATTCTTAATTCCATTCTACTCCCTACCCCATTCTACCAACTTTTTGTTCTCTTCTCCTCTGATGCTCCCTTAAACCAATAGGCAATAGTGGCCCTAGATGCTGCATTACCCTTTGTTTGTCCTTTGAAATTGATAAAAAGGTAAGTTTGAACAGCCCTTTTAACATTCAAGGAGTGAAGTTTGAATTTCTTTGGTGAAGATGGATTTAAATAAAATGAATGTAGGATAATTGTCTGGTTAATGTTCTCCTTGCTTAGGACTTGGGGGAGAAAAACAGGTTCAAAATGCAGGATCACTTTGTCTTGATGGAAAAATGGCGTATTGCTCATCGTTTCAATAAAGCTTGAATCTCCCCCACTCTCTTGGCTGAACTGACTGCAAATAAGAAGGCGACTTTAACTGATAAGAACTTTAGTGGTAACTTGATAATGCCAACTAAAGTTGGAAAAACACTTTTTTGTGGAGGGCACAAATGTCAAACGGCATTAACTAATTTCCTTATGAGGATGTGAGAAGCGAGATCTTGAAGCAGAATATGAGACCTGATATGTGCACTTGGAGTGGAGACGCTTCAACCTTTTTTGAAACCAGATTTTAAAATATACAGAGAGGTAGGAATCAAACCATTATAAACCTCTGTACTGCACCACAGGAGGTATTTATTCTATATCTGCAAATAAATCTTAAATGTGGATTTTCTTGTTTAATTAAGAATTACTATAATTCTTCCTTAGAAAGGTTTTTTCTTTCTAGAATCACCAATGCAGAAACCATGCCATGATCTTGAACATTAGCAGCGTTTCTAGTGGAATCTCCTTGTTGTCCAATAGCCGAGGACCTATGGGAAGCTGCCAGACCCTGTCTCCTCCCATTTGTAGGAGTTACGAGAACCAGCATCTGTTTGTCCAATAGGGGATTATGGCCACTATCCAAGCTCTTGTGGCAGATCTTTCTGAGGATAATCGGGATGACTGCAATCGGTGGAAACACATATCCCAGTCTGAAATTCCATGTTACGGAGAAAGAATCCAGGGAGTCTGAAAATTTTTATTTGTGTAGGGACGCAAATCTTTAGTTTCCAGTTTCATCTGCTGACCATCCAATCTTTTTCTGGCACGCCAAATCTCTATGATCATGTCGATTACTTCGCTGCTAAGGGACAACTGTCTCCATTTTCCTCTGCTCAAATCAACTTCCAGAAAGTTGTCTATTTCTCTGAAATGAATGTCTGTAATGTCCAAGATATTTCTTCCTGCCCAGAGAAAGATTTGTTTTTCTTCTTGGACCTCCTTACTGTTGTGATGTTAGTGAATCTCAGCAATTACTACAGATTTGTGATGTATTTCATATCAGAAGTTCTCTGAAGTTTGATGCTTTTCAGCATATTCTGGAATTCCATTTTCATTTTCTCATGTGAGAGTCCATATGGGCACCCCATCCCAGGTTTAAGGCATCTGTTGTGATTGAGATCCAGTGTTTCAGTGTGATGGGTAGACATGCTGTAATGAAACTGGACTCCTTCCACAAGTTTAGAAGTAACAGCATCTGGTGATATTGTCATGCTTGTGTCCAGGTTCTTGATCTTTTGACCAAGCTTGTAAAATTTCTGCTTGCAGTGGTCTTATTCTTGCTATTGCCCATTGTAAAATATTCTATATTTTGGAAATGTTTCTTACATACATTTAACACTGATGTGTGGTTGATCTTGAGTGACATGAACAGATGACAATAAGTGTTGCAAGCTCTTCTCTATTTCTGAGTGTCCATGGAACATAGGATGACCTAATGCCAACAAGCATATTGTATCAAAAGCATTGACTTGTAATGCCTACACAGCCATTTTGGTGGTATATTTGTAGAATGTATTATCTGTGTAAGGGAGTGTCTAGGAGAATATCAAGGGCAGAGTGTCTTCCCACTCTGAATGTCCAGCATGTACCATCTGCTGTTGACCTATTTAACATGACATTGTAAGTACTGACTTTGTATTTGCAAAGCAAGATGAATAAATCTCTTTTAATAAAAAAAACCAGGAAAGTCTGATTGCGTTATATTTTTAAGTGACACAGAAGAAATATAATATGCATGATACAAGGCGAGCCACCCAACCATAAGAAAGACTAATTTAAATACATATGAATAAGTATTAAGCAGAATAATTATTTTAAGAGTCCACCTTTTTCTACATATTGGATTTTACAGGTGGTATAGTCGAGGTTAGTAGGCCCAGAATGCTCATAGCGCTTCTTATAGAGCAGATAGGCTGCTTTATAAACTCTGGAATGTTTTTTTTTACTTTGTTTCTGACATTGTAGATCTATCTTTATTTCTCGAGTATTTCCATTACCAGAAATGTAATTCTGGATGCAGGGGAGAGCTCAGATTTTTTTCCCAGTTATGACCCAGCCATGAGCCTTGAGAGTATGGATTGTTAGTCGAATGTTCCTGTATGAGTTTGCTGTTAAGAGCCAATCGCCTAGATATAGGATTAGGGTCGACCACCTGTTGCCTGTGTTAGGCGACTAATGGTAGTAGGATTTTCGTAAATATTATTGGCAGACAAAATGGTAGTGCCTTGAATTGGTAGTGTAGTATCCTGCGACCTGACATAACAAATCTCAGGAATTTTCTTTATATACTGTTCATGATAAGACGTCTTTTAGGTCTAAAGAGGCCATAATGTTTCCTTGTTGTAGAATATTTCCGAATTCCTCTCTGACTGGTACATTTTCTATAACTCCCTTTCTTAGGAGCTTGAACAGAACCTACGAGTAAGAGTCCTACAAGAAGGTGAAGACTCACCCGCCCAGCTTAAAGTCACACTCACCGCCATCTTCAACGAGCTCCTGAGCCGCCCCAGAGAGACCCCCATAGAGTTCATCAGAGCCCATAGAGCACTGAGACCCAGGGGCCCACCAGAGGCTCCACCTAGGGACGTGATCTGCTGCCTAGCACTATACGCCTTGAAGGAGGAAATTCTGTATGCAGCACGCAACAAGGGAGAAATCACCCATGAAGGCTCACATCTCCAACTGTACCCGGACCTATGCCCAGCTACCTTGGGATATCGCAGGGCACTAAAACCGCTCACCAGAATGCTAGTGGCCCAGAAAATTAGATACCGCTGGACATTCCCCACAGGCCTGATCGCCACCACCCAAAACGGCCCTAGACCGATCCACACCCCACAGGACCTACAGGAATTGTCAGAAGATCTCCACTTGCCACCCCTTAATATGACCTGGCCAGATCCATTGGATTTCTACAACAGCCCACCTACACCCCAGGGGGAACCTGCACCGACACAGCGCAGACACCGAACAAGACTGGAGACCGTGAGGCCAGCAGGGGCAACACGTTAACGGACAAACAAGACAGGAGCCACGCATGGAACTCGTAACTATGCAATGGGACACTCTGCACGCAGGCCTACACCACACATGGGCCACACACTTAGCCGTTAAAACACTCAGGCACCCACGTGCCATGGGAGGGTGGGGGGATCATCAGAAGTGGGCAGACGAGACATTATTGCAAGTACAATCGAGGAACCCACGAAAGAAACACTGGGGACTCTGGGTATACTGGGGGGGAAGACGTATGGGGTTGTTTTGCCCTTCCTCTCTGCTTTCCCCTTCCTCCAGGGGGGTCTTTTCTTTTCTCGGTTTCCCTCTTTCCTGTTTGGGTGGGGGGATTTGGGAAAGGGGAGGCTGAGGCTGAACAAAGGCTCACTCCAGACCAACAGAGAGAGAGACCAACAGAGAGAGGGAGCGGAGGTCACCAGGGAGGGCTAGTACTAGGAGAAGGGACAGGCCCCCAATGCCAACTGGACCCCCAGAACACCACGGCAAGGGGAGGGACACGAAATGGGAGGTGCAAGGCCAGCTAGTTATAGACCTTAAGCCACAAACCTACAAGCTACAACACGGCAACATAACTCACCACCCGGCAAAGGAGACCTAGGGGCACAGGGGAGAGACTAGCAGGGTAAAGCCAACCAAACGAGCACGCACTCGAACACACACCTGGGAGATAGGGAAAGGGCCGGGATGGGCTGGGCCCAGGGGCTGCCAGCTCCACCTGTACTGATTATATAGCTTCCGAGCAGAGGGGGTCGGGGGACAATGGAGACCCAGAAAGGAGAAGGATCCACCACTATTGGCCCTACGGGGTGAGGGAGTTAGAGGGCCACGTCCCCGGTAGACAGGGGCACCAAGATACCGGCGGGAGGACTCAGCGGTGCCGACAGGTGCTGCACAGCTGACTCCTACCTAGCCCACACCCTAGTCTTTTTTTTTGGAAAACCGACACAGTTTATTATTGTTGTTTATTACTGTTACATTTGTTACTATTTGTTGAAAGCCGCGCCTGCCCGCGGGACCCAGGGGGACCCACCCCCGACTTCAGACCCACACTTGAGGAGTAAACCAAACCCTCTAGTGCCCACCCACACTCCCCAACCCTCCCCACCATACCCTGATTCTCCTGAAACATAGCAAACATGCCACGCCACAACACACACAAACAAGCGGAGATTAAATTCCTCTCCATCAACGCTAAAGGCATGAACATACCCGAAAAACGCTCGCATGCCCTACGTCACTTCCACAGTCAAAAGTCACAGGTAGTCTTCATTCAGGAGACACACTTTAAAGAGGGCCACGTGCCCAGACTGACGGACAAACATTACGCACAATGTTTCCTGAGTAATAACCCAGAGGGAAAGTCCAAAGGCACAGCAATCCTGATCCATAGATCGCTACATTTTGCCCCTACTGACACACTGCGAGACAGCCACGGACGGTATATATGTGTCAAAGGCACAATTGCAGGCCGCACATACACGTTCGCAAACCTATATACCCCCAATAAACGCCAACACCAATTTTTACGCACAGCACTTAGAACAATAGAGGGCTTCGCGGAGGGCTGTCTGGTCGTTGGAGGGGACCTCAATGTGGCCCTGACGCCGACCATAGACACATCCATAGGCCTCTCTACGACACCCCAGCATATCTTAACAAACATATCAAAAACGCTGCGAGAGAAGCGTCTGGTAGACTGCTGGAGAGCTTTACACCCTGAAGACCGAGACTACACTTTTTACTCTATCCCCCACAAAACGTACTCTAGAATAGACTATTTCCTAATTCCACATTACCACCTGATTGAGGTTCGACGAACGGACATTGGAACAGCGACATGGTCAGACCATGCTCCAATTACGATGACACTAACCTCCCCACTCTATAGGCCCACCTGCAGTAACTGGAGACTGAACGAATCGATCTTAAACGACATTACAGTGACGACAGAAGCCAGGGAAAGACTTACGCAATACTTTACAGAAAACGATACGTCTGAGGTCACGCCCCTATGCCTATGGGAGGCTCATAAAAGCGTAATGAGAGGCCACTTCATAGCGAAAAGCGCCGCGCTTAAAAAAGCTAAATCTGCCAGACTTAAAACAATAATTCAGGACATACAGACTTTGGAATGTAGACACAAACAAACCCACCTGATAGCAGACTGGACACAGCTAACAGTACTCAGGAGGGAACTCTCCTCTATCCTGAATGCCAATCACCATAGAGCATACTTACACTCCAAAGCGTTCTTTTACACCAATGCTAACAAATGTGGTGCCCTCCTTGCCCGCATGATCACCAAAAAGAGAGCAGCGGCCTACATCCCGGGGATCAGAGACAGAGAGGGGAAGCTACACAGTATGCCGACCGAGATGGCCAACACCATTAGGGCGTACTATGCGGACCTCTATTCCCTCGACCCGCCCAGGGGACAGGGAGCGGACACAGAAAGGAAGAAGCGGATAACAGACTACCTAGAACCGCGCATCGGCAACTGCATCTCACAGGAGGCAAGTACAGAGCTAGACGAACCGATCGAGACGCACGAGGTAGCATGGGCTCTCAAAACGGCCAAGACGGGCAAGAGCCCCGGACCGGACGGCTTACCAGCACGCTACTACAAAACCTTTGCGGAACTTCTCGTTCCACGCCTCACGACGGCACTCAATGCGATCCGAGACGGGCAGATATTCCCAACACAGACCCTGGCGGCCAACATCATCCTAATTCCTAAAGACGGGAAAGATCCTGAACATTGTGCGAACTATCGCCCCATCTCACTGTTAAATAACGACTTGAAGCTATTTACGAAGATACTCGCACAGAGACTGCAGGCCCACCTCCCGAACTTGATTCATAAGGACCAGGTGGGATTTACCCCGCACCGAGAAGCGCGCGATAACACGATCAGAGCGCTTTCCCTGATCCACCTCGCAAAAACTAGACAGGAGGGCCTTCTCCTGCTCTCCACGGACGCGGAGAAGGCCTTCGACAGGATTGCATGGGACTTCATGTTCCAGGTCCTCGACAAACTGGGGATGGGGCCTCACATGATGTCCTGGATCAGGGCCCTGTACTCACATCCAACAGCACGGATCTGCATAAATGGAGCCTTCACAGACCCCTTCGTGATCAGGAATGGAACCAGACAGGGCTGCCCCCTCTCCCCCCTGCTCTTTGTGCTAGCCCTGGAACCATTCCTGAACTCGATCCGAAACAACCCGGATATCCCGGGATTGAAGACAGGAGCTGGGAAACACGCAGTGGCAGCATATGCGGACGACCTACTGTTCTTCGTAACTAAGCCGGAAACATCCATGCCCACGATAATGAAGGAATTCGAACAATACGGGGAGCTCTCGAACTTTAAAATCAATTTTTCCAAATCCACGATCCTCAACGTCTCCGTCTCGAAGTCCAGAGCGACGGCCCTCAAACGAGCGCTGCCATTCCAATGGTCGGCCACCTCCCTAAAATACCTCGGTGCGGTGCTAACAAACGACCTCGCCCAATTGTACGCAGCGAATTTCCAACCACTCCTGACCACTATACAGAAGGACTTGCAGGAATGGGACCAGGTGCGCCTCTCATGGTTTGGAAGAGTGGGAGTGCTCAAGATGAACATCCTACCGAGGATCCTCTACCTGTTTCAAGCTATCCCCGCGACCATACCGGAGGCATTTTTTACCTCCCTTAGATCGATGGCCCTCCGGTTCACATGGCAGAGACAGAAGGCCAGGATACAACACGACGTGCTCACACTACCGAAGGTCAAGGGAGGCCTAGCTCTGCCAGATTTTAAGAGATACCATAGAGCCACACACATCCAAAGGATAGTGGAGTGGTCTAAACAGGGAGTGGAGAAACTCTGGAAAGATGTGGAGTCTTCCCTGGTGGAGAGACCGATGGCAGTCCTCCCTTGGCTGGACCCCCAACAAAGTAGGCAGCTAGCTGCTCCACACCCCCTAATCAAAGCGACCGTACGGGTTTGGCAAGCTCTGGCGGTGCCACTCTCGCTCACCTCCACGCCATCCCCAATGATGCCTCTAATCCATAATGAGGTCTTCCCGCCAGGAAGAGAACCAAGAACGTTGGTCCAGCTGCTGGGACAAGACATGCCGAGGCTTTTCCATGCCATAGACAACGGCCGCATCAAATCACTAGAGACCATGACGGGGAACTCCAATCACCCATTCATGCTCCAATTCAGACACCGACAACTAAAAGGGCTCATACAAGAAACCACCCGAAACAATCACACTCTCAGACCCTTAACAACGTTTGAAGAGATATGCATGGACCCGGACCCGTTGCCGAGGGGCCTGTCAACGCTCTATGGAATGATCATGCGGTTGAGGAGGCTGCCACCCCCAAGCTTCATGGGGAAATGGGAAACATTTTTAGGCACTACATTCACACCCAACCAATGGGACAAAATTTGCACCCTCTCACTACACTGCGCACCATCTAGCGGAACACAAGAAACAGCATATAAAATACTGGCCCTTTGGTACCGCACCCCACTCCACACACACCTATACGACCCCACGAAGGACGACGTATGCTGGAGGTGCAACACGCACAAGGGAACATACCTCCACATATGGTGGGAATGTCCAATCATCCAACCATACTGGGCAACCATCCACACGATCATCAAAAGATTCACAGACTCCCCACCACCCATGAACCCCGCAACATTCCTCATCCACCACACCAAGATGAAAGCATCAACATATAAAAAATCCTTAACAATACGGATACTTAATGTAGCCAAAAGCCTAATCCCCCTCTACTGGAAAAAACAATGCGCGCCCCCGCTGGGGACGTGGTACCAAAAAATGGAGGAGCTGAGAGCTCTGGAAGAGCTCTCCCTGCTGGCAGAGGGGAGGACCCAGACGTACATGACGATCTGGACACACTGGATACTGACCTCGACTAACGCTGACTTCCAGGACCTGCTGACATGACTGCAGACACCTGAAGAGACAAACGACCACCTTGACGGAGGGAGTGACTACACAAACAAACAGGGAAATCACCAGAATCAACATCATAATAAATAAAACACCCCCTCCCCTCTCCCCTCACCAATCCCCCCCCTCCCACTGGCCCCCCCTGGGGGAACCCGCGGACGGGAAGGCGACAAAGTAGAGAAGTTCATAAGACATAGAGGCTCCAGACGGAGGGGCACCCCCTAAGCAAAGAAGGGAACAGAGGGGGAAGATAAGGGTAGCAAAGGGGGAAGGAAAAGAACAAGAAGGGGAAAGCCAAGAGTAAAAAGAGAGAAAAAGAAGGAAGGGAAAGGAAAGGGAAAGGTGTAAGGAAGTCCAGAATGAAGGAGACAAAGAGAAGCAGACAAGAAAAACAGGAAAAGGGACAGGGGTTCACAGTTAAGGATAAGACAAGGAGAAACAAGCCTAACTTTGCACTCAAGCCAAAGGCGGGAGTTAATGACGGTACAAACCACCGCCACCCCAGCCAGATCAACAGGGGTATACCCCACTGTCACCAAAGATCTGAGAACTGAACGCGCAAGGCACACACAACACCCGATTTCTCCCCCATACGGTTGGTCAAAACACACCACCTGCCTAGACACAAGACATCAACCACCTTTGTCACACTGGGTGATATACTATAGCCACAACAACCGTACGAGAGAGGGAAAACCCCATCCACACAAAGGTTTATAGGACCCATGAGCCCAACTAGTATACGTCTTTAAACTGGTTGATGACTTGCATGTCACTATGTCGTTCACAATAACTATCTCATGTCTGAGACATGAACTGGGAAAGCCTTTATTGGACCTGCGTGTCCGCGACAATGTGTTTTTTTTTTCTTCTCTCTCTTTCTGCATAAAATGAAAATTCCTTGAATAAAAGAAATTTAAAAAAAAAAAAAAAAACATTTGTAATCTGCCCCCCACTTTTCCAGTGGCATTATTATTTCCTCCTCTTGTCGTTTCTGCCTGATATGCTCTTGTCGGAGTTCTAGATTTGGTCTGTTTACAAAAGGGGCAAAATCTTCCTTCCTTATAGAAGTATAGGAGTAGTTTCTTGTTCCATCTCATTTCTTTCCCCTGAGGTAAAGTCTTATTTGTGTCTGACATTTGTTTAATTCAGTCATTCTAAGCAGATCCGAAAGCCATGTCTCTCTCAAAGCAGATCCGAAAAGCCTTGTCTCTCTGGTTCATGGATTGCAGGATAAAACTTACCAGGAAAGGTTAAAGGATCTTAACATGTATAGCTTGGAGGAAAGAAGAAAAGACTAAATCTGCCTGCCAGGATTCTAGTCAGTTTGTTCACTGGCTACTTACGTGAAGCCCATGGTTCTTGCTCCTAGTTTAACCCCTTAAGGACACATGACATGAAACTTCCAGAAATTTGGTCCTTAAGGGGTTAATGGAGTCTTCCATCATTTCGGTTAAGAACGTAAGCCAGTTTGATATTTCATAGCAGATATACTGGGCCTTCCTTAGACTCCCCTGTTAAAGGAGCTATAGGGTCAGGAACAAAAACATATTTCTGACCCTATAGTGTTAAAACCACCATCTAGCTCCCCTGACCCCCTCTTGCCTCCCTAAATATAGTAAAATCTTACTTGTATTCAAGTCTGCAGCTGATATCTCTGCCCTGTTTGCCTGTGAAACGGTCTGCTGCCTGCTGACCTCATCAGAAGTGGTAGTGTGAGACAATCACAATGCTTCCCCAAAGGATTGGCTGAGACTGTCAAGGAGGCAGATTAGGGGATGAGCCAGCACAAGTCAAACACAGCCCTGACGAATCAGTATCTTCTCATAGATATTAATTGAATCAATGCATCTCTATGTGGAAAGTTCAGTGTCTGCATGCAGAGGGTGGAGACACTGAATGTTGTGATGCTTACTCTGCAGGACTGCTTAAGGAAGCACCACTAGCAGCCATCTAAGGAGTGGCTAGTTGAGTTATCACTAGGCTGTAATGGAAAAACTGCATTTTCTCTGAAAAGAGTGTTTACTGCAAGAAGCCTGAAGGTAATGATTCTGCTCACCAGAACAAATGCAATAAACTGTAATTGTTCTGGAGACTATAGTGTCCCTTTAAGGAGTCCTTAGGGCTTGAAGCCATGCATTTATTTCCCCATTAACTGTTAGTAGAGGTTTGCTCTAGAAATCTGCTGTCTGGAAGAGTCTTCTACAGGAGTTTTTTGGGTTTTTTTTTACACGTTTTTTCCGTTTTATATTTTTTAGGGCTGCTACTTCCCCAATACGAATAGTAGTTTTCCTAGTCAATTGTGCTATAGGTACCTTTAGAAGACTTTTCCAAGTGTCAGCCTTCTGCAATTTCAAGAGAGTCTTAATTTGCATAGTAATAAATGAATGTTTCTCTGGAAGTTTCCATTCTCTTATCTCCAAGTATTTTCCCTTCATTGGAAAACCCTTATACCTTATCACCTGAATATTCTGCAATTTAAATGTTTTAGAGACCTCCTTAAACCCGTTTCTTCATCTGAATCTTTGCTTACAGAGTCTGAGACGACTGAGCTCCTTGAACACTCCCCAGAGAACAATTCAGAGGAAAAAGGAGATCTGTTGGCCTTTTAATCTCTAACATTACTTCTAAATTCAGTAGAACTTTGTGTTGCTCTCTCTTTAAATTCAGCAAAGATCTGATGTAAATTATCTTGGAACCAAGCTATGAATGAGTACATTTCTTTTTGCTTAGATTTTTCAAGCAATTCCTCTGAGCATGGATTACAATATTTATTTTTGCAACCGTAGACGTATAGCAAAGACTGCACATACTAAATGTTTAGACTTCTGTGTGGCTTTTGTTAGGATGTGGTGGACCTGCACCAATCTTTTCTCGTATCTCTGGGGACACTGTGCTGAAATTCAAATTTGGCTTTGTTTGTGCATGTGCAGTAGGGCAACATATCCACAGTAGAACATATGCCTGCCCGGTCAGAGGACTTCACCCTGGAGCTGAGGCTATTGCCTGGATAGCTCAGTTAACTCCTTCAGCAACCCGTGCTATGCTGCTTGCTCCTGGAAGACAAAAAGGCTACTTGTCCGTCCCACCTCCGGGAGGCTTGAGTAAGACAGGCTTTCTCAGACTAAAGTATTTAAGTGGTTTGAGAGGGGATGGGACCTATTTTTAAACATTTAATTCTGCAGGTTACCTGTCCCCATGAATGAAGAATATCACTTTTGGTACGGTCGTTAAATGTAGGGGGAAAAAAGAAGAGAATTTGAGGACAGGAAGAAGAGCCGCACTTAAATCATTTGCTTGGAAAAAGGAGGTATTTAATTTTAAGATGATATATAAAATAATGACTGCATATATATTTTGTAAATTCTTAATTTTTTTAGTGCATTGCTTAACAAACAAGTATACTCAGACATTGACCAAAAGATGGAGATGACATGAGCCTTGAGTACTGCACTTTTTCTAGTAAATAGGAGAAAATATCAGGAACACAGTGCTATGTTGAAGAATCAGGGAGGGAAATAAACATGCTATGGCATAGTACTGTGGAGAGATGCCGGTTATAGAAGAACCACTGGCTCTTAAGCATGCAGAGAATGGAGGTGGTTCTCCACAGGATGGCATGTCGGCTCTCAGCCACCCGTCATTTCCAACAGTCGGGATTCCCACGCAGCTGGTAACATGAGTAATAGGCCACTGACCTGCAGGTTGTTGCAGTGTTGTGTGTGGTCACGTGGCTGGGATCAGTGCGAGTTGCAGCAAAGGTGAGGGCCTGAGCAATGGGGTGCCTCCTCCGCGGCACCAAGCTCTTTCTCCTCTTAAACTGGTGTAGAAGAAGCAGAGGTGAAGGCTGCCTGGGATCGCCACCCGGTAGAGACTGTTCCTTTCTCTGTTTTCCATCCAGAGGCGACTTCTGGGAAGCCTCACCTCGCTGCTGTAATGTCGCCCAGACGCACCGGTGTAACCGCAGCTTGTTCCCTTATTTACCACTATAACGTCTTAAAGCATAGAACTTAACAGGGCTAACCATACAAATATCTTAGCCATAATTGTATATAGTTAGTAAGAGATCCTCTATTTAAAATATTTCAATAATTGAGAATACAATATAAAATAAGGATTGTCTTGGAAGCAATAAAGTTTTGTCTTTTTAGATATTTATTATATACCGTAAATACTCGAGTATAAGCTGAGTTTTTCAGCACATTTTTTGTGCTGAAAAAGCCCCCCTCGGCTTATACTCTATTCACGGTCTGGATTATGGCAATTTACATTGCCATAATACAGACCAGGACCGCCGGGCTCATTACAAGCCCGACAGTTCTGTTGGGAGCCAGCAGCAAGCGCTTACTTACCTTTGCAGCAGCTCCGTTCCGTTCAGCTTCCATGTAAATCTCGCGAGACCCGTGGCCGTCAGAGCGTTGCCACGGGTTACCGTGGTAACGCTCTGCGCGGCACGCACACTGCGAGATTTACTTGGAAGCTGAACGGAATGGAGGTGAACAGAGTTGCTGCAAAGGTAAGTAAACGCTTGCTGCCGGCTCCCCCACTGCACAGCCCATGCCACTGGACCACCAGGGATTGAGATAGCCCCCCTCCCTGGTCAGGTATCACGCAGGGAGGGGGGACAAAAAATAAATATTAAAATAAGAAGAAATAATATAATAAATATTTTAAAAAATTAAATATTAAAAAAATATATATATTAAAAAAGCCCTCCCCCACCCAGTTTACACCCACTACACAAACACACCCTGCATTATATACACACACTGCATTCATACACACACAAACTGTATTATATACACAAACACTGCATTTATTATATTCACACAAACACACACATTCTGCATTAGTTATATACACACAAACACACACACACATACACTGCATTCATTATATACACACACAAACTGCATTAATTATATACACACACTGTAAATAAAATATTCAATTAATGTAATTTTATTGGGATCTAATTTTATTTAGACATTTACCAGTAGCTGCTGCATTTCCCACCCTAGGCTTATGCTCGCGTCAATAAGTATTCCCAGTTTTTTGTGGTAAAATTAGGGGCCTCGGCTTATACGGGTATATAAAAATATAGACATATAAAATCCATTACAATAAGTTATAGCAGAGTTTATAAGATTAAACTAAATGCTTACAAATATCAATAATAGATTAACATACCCTACTGAACATGTAACCCTCTCTGTCATTTTAAGATGGAGCAGCGCCTGTCCCATAACATTTAAAAGTACACCTATTTATACCTTAGGGTCACCGTAGTTCATATATGAAAAAGTAACTTCTTTTACTTTTATTCATTTTAGGACCTCCCTTAACTTGGGCAAAATACAAGGCCATAACTAAAGGGTGTACACGTCATGGAAATTTTCCTGACTTAGATCAAGATGACATCTTAAAGTCTGAACATCTTTATCTGCTTTGGGTTACCACAGTATCTTATGTACTGAAAGAGTCGTAGCATAGCCTTGAAGCTTGTTTATGCATTATTGTTATTGTATTTCGTCTGGGACAAAATGGCATAAACATATTGTGCACTGACGGCAGCTAAAAGGTTATTGTTCAAAGAAACATGTATGAAAAACAATACGTTCCATTTCTAACACCATGTCAGTTTGCAATATCTCTTAACGACAAAGTACACAGTTTGAGAAATACAATATTTGCATTTGCCCATAACACAGGAATATCTCCTCCAGTCACTGAAGGCAAAGGTCTGTGGAGCTGTGATGTACCGATTGGGGTAAGCACCCCTCTGGAGTGGTCAGAGTGACCATCTTTGGTCGTGCAGCTTTGTCTGGTAACGGCTGATATCAGTCAGTAGAAGCAGCTGAGCAAATCGGCAGCTTGCCAGAAGGGACCGGATGACCCTCGCCGGTCCAGAGAGGGGGAAGGTAGGAGTGCTACAGGGCGAGTATTGGAGTAAGAAGCGGCCGCCTCCTCCCAACTCCAGTTCAAGTAGGCCGCGATGCAGCACGTCAGGCTCCCAGCAGTGACAGACTCAGTTGGAGTCTCAAGTGGATTGTCGGTGCACTCCCGACGTGGGTAGTTCCCCAGGGTGAGTTCTTGGCTTGAAGGCCAGTGTTATCACACCGATTTTAGGGATACAGATGGGAGTTCACGCTGTATCCATCCGACCAGCTCAAAAGTCAGGCTCCGCCCCAGACTGCATATATTTAATAGAGACTCCAAGAGGTGACTGACCCCTATTTTTCAGCTATGGATACCATTATTTACTTATAAGTAGAATTACAACCAACACAATTATCTATTGAAGTTATCTCAACCAGAACAACATGCAGGGTTATACACCAATGTAAAAATAGGGTTATTTACAAATGTGAGAATACAAAATGAATTTCGAATTTGACATTAAAATAAGTAGAAAAAAAAATTATCTGCAAAAAAAAGTCAGCTAAGCTTTCAGATCAGCTAATCTGGCCTAAAATGTTAAATTTACTATAAATTCTAACATTAGTGTATTCTATCTACAAGGAGATTTAAAATGAACATTTGAGATTATTAATATATGTTTATAATTTTCAAAATGTTACTTTTGTAACCAATGTAGTAGAATTCCTAATATAGATAAAGAAAAATTAGTTAGTGTTAGGAATACAAAACTGACATACCATGTAACAGTCATAGAAAGATTACTTTAAAGTGGTACTGTCATGCCGAACTTACCTTTCATCGATTCCTCTTCTCTCCCTCTCTCAGGATCTGTTCTTCATTTCTTCCTGTCTGCTCTAGTTTTTTTTTAAAAAACCATAAGAATGGGGGGGGGGCGGAGCTTGACCGCTGAGCCATGCAGTCGCATCTACCACGAGCTCCGATCCGGCGGGCAGAAACCCGGGTACAAGCGACAGCTAACAAGCCCACAAGCATCGGAGGGTGCACTACCCACGTTGGGGGTTGAAGCAGGGGGGAGGCGGCCGCCCCCCTCGGCGCAAGAACCCACAAGCTACTACACCTCAGCATACCCTCCCCCCCCATGGACCGGTGGGGGACATCCCGGTCTCCGAAGCACATACGGACCAGCATGGAACAAGACCACACCAACCACAACAAATGGTGGGGCAACAGACCGAAGAGGTACAGCCAAAATGGCCGACCAACCTGAGCCGAGCAGGCGGAGCACCTGCACAAGGGCACATATATCCCCTATGACAATATTTGACTGGACCTACGCTGGTCTCAGGGCAGCACTGCAAAACCGGGGAGCAACTCACCGCCAAGGTGACCGGAAGGTGGCCTCATGGTTGCGACCAACAGCGCGACGCAAGCACTACATACAGGTACCCCAAGCATCCAAGATGGCCATCAGGCAAAATCGATACCGAAGGTCATCGAGACAGGACCCAGCGCCAGGCCTCTCGGACACACGCTCTCACCCACCCACAAGCAAAGCCGAGATCTCCAATCCAACAACGACGCACACTACTAAAATAGCTGACCTAAATTCCGGCTACAAGCACAGCACCAAGCGCCACTCCTCAACCAATACTGCAACACAAGTGAAGGGGAACCTGCACACCACGAAGAGATGTCCTGGAGCTCAAACCCGAAAGGGAGACACCGGACCCTGCGACCGCTAAGAAGAATAGCAACAGCCTGCTGATCCTACCAGCGCTGGGCATAGGATGAAGTGCCTACCACACTGCTTCACACGGGTGAATGGACTGTTTAGAGCACACAATCCAGCTGAGTACCCAGACCCTGAAGCATAACTCAAGCCACGAATGGACTATGCTCATTCTTCCTCATGTAAACTTGCTAATCTATATACTCAGACAACCTAGCCTGTAACACTAGCGACACTGCCATGTTTAGACTAAGCTTGTTCAAAAGCTTTATAATGCTCAACCTGCATGGCTAATGTTACAAGGTTATCTTGTTTATTCCTCTCTGACACCAGCTGAAGTTTACATATTCTTGCTAGCCTAAGTTTTCTCTGTCCTTTTTCATTATGTAATTTCACATTATTTTAGCTGGCATTAAGTTTCCCATGCCTGCATCATTATAACTAAGCTGTATCCTTTATATTGCCCAGCTGGCAGCCATAGCATACATGTAAAAAGGCCTCATATGTTACTAAGCCTACCTACGCTGCAGCAAGCATGTGTACTTATATAGAATATTAGACAATGACTACGCTAGGCTTAACCAACATGTTTAACGCTCTTTATTTCCACTTGCAATTAGGGCACAGCAGATTGGCATGTTACTACATACTCAGCAGTGAAATAGTCTAACCGCACTAGCTTGATCTACGAATTAGCATTTTGATACAACATTTATTGTACTGTTACAAGCGTTGCCTCAGTATTGTTTATTGTTACATAAGTGAGAATCTTAATAACTTAAAAATGTGCCTGACTAACGTATGTCACGACTTGTATTGCAAACGTTTTCCAACTTACCCTGATATCGCTGTTGTGGCGCACCAGGGCTACCTGTTACTTTTGTGCACAACAAAAATAAAAAATTAATAAAAAAAAAAAAAACAGAAGAATGTTGGGACTATTTGTCTTATGGAGGTTTCCTACACCTGACCATCTCTGACCAGCAGAGGAGCAAAGTGTGCTTCATTTCCGGTGGTCAGAGAAATTTTCCCACAATTCTTAGCTTTCCTCCTTCTTCCCGCGATGCTTCCTTTCAGTTTTCCCGAACGTCCTGTCACTTAGACAGGACTCCGGCAAAACTACCAAAATTGAGTCCTAACAGAATGAGAACAGTTTGTTCATTCATGTTTGGACGCAATTCGGGACTTTGTTCGTATTGGAATTTCATTTGAATTAATGAAACTCCGATCCTATTTGAGCCGTGGCTGCATCTTGCAGCCGCTTAGTAGATAACTCCCTAATTCCCACGGTATTAGGGAGCTATCTACCAAAAGGCTAAATTTCAGCCAAATTTACGAATACTAAGTAAAGATTACTTAGTATTAGTAAATAATCTGCCCCTACTTGCTATACCGCAAGTAGAGGCATGTCTAGTAAACAGTGAGTAGCCTGTGGCTGCTCACTGTTAAAAAAACACAAAAACAAAACCCTAGTACTCCACTCCCGTGCCGCACCAGTGGGGGCTATTAAACTGAAGGGGGGACCTAGAGCCCCTCCCCGACCCACACCTCTGAGCGGCAGGTGGGGGCCATAAATAATAATAAGGGGGACGACGACCTATTGTGCTCCTCCGCGTCCCCCACCCCTGAGCGGCGGGTGGGGGCCATAAATAACAATGGGGGGAGCCTGTTGTCCTCCACCCGGCCCCCACCCCTGAGTGGTGGGTGGGGGCCATTAATAACAATGAGGGGGTGACGCAATCTATTGTCCTCCCCTCCCCCCCGTTTCCCCCTGTCACCTACCCCTAAATAATGTCTCCCCCCCAAAAGTAACTAGGGATCCCCAAGCCCCTAGTTTCCCCCACCTAAATAGGAAATTAATAAATCCCTACCTACCCCCCTCACTCTAAAAATAGTGAGATGTAAAAAAGTGCCTGTAAAAAAAATAAAAAATAAAACTTACCATTTGATGTCTTATTTTTTCTAAAATCTTCATTTTTAAGCCCCCCAAAAAACCAAATAAAAATCATAATACCCGTCGAACTTGTAAAAAATAAAATAAACCCCAACACAAAAAAAAAAAAAAAAAATCAGACGAAGAAGAAAAAACAAGCCATCTTCACCCATGGCGCAAACTGAGCTCGGCAGGGCGGGGAAAGGCTTATAAAGCCTTCCCACGCCCTGCAATAAGGCTCAGAGTGCTATGATTGGCTGGTTTAAGCCATCCAATCAAAGTGCTCTGACAGTTAAATGAAGAGACTGACAGGTAAATCCAACCAATCAGAATACTCTGTCATTTTACACAGCGTGGAAAAATTCCAAAGAACTTTCCCACACTGTGTAAAATGACTAGCACTCTGATTGGTTGCATTCCAAGCCAACCAATCAGAGTGGTCTGAGTCAAATTGCAGGGCATGGGAAGGCTTTATAATTCGGCCATGACAGTGCCGATTTAAGATATACGTACGTATTATAATGGCTATGGAGATAATGCATGTAAATTTATTATGCAAAGAAACAAAAAAACACAACAAAAAACAGGGACCAGCCAGTGTGTAAGGATTTTCTGTCAACGTAAATAACGTAATTTGTTTTGTTTTAATAAATTAAACAACTTGGTACAGGTGCTCTCATTGAAAGTTCTGATACCCATGTACAAAGTTATTTAGAACTTATATACTGTGTGTGCACATTCCATTTCAAACATTTGTTCAAATCTCTAAAATTAAAATTTAAAGAGTGAAGTAAAACAGCAACCACATTGCATTAAAACCTATACAAATAACTTAAGTGGTTATGGAACTTTAACTAAATTAGCCAATGATTTCGCCACAGTCACTATAAAAATAAATTTAGACATTATATCCTGTTAATCCAGTTGAATGTAATTTTCACACCAAATATCTGTGTTGGAACATACCTGTAGTGGCCTCTGCAGGATCATCTCCAAATCCCTGTGATTCCTTCCTCTTGCTGTAGAATAGAAAGTAAAAAAAAACATGTTTGGTAGTGTGAACATAAATACAATCTGCTGCAAGCAGTTCAGGATCAAAGAACCACTACTATAGGCACCAGACCACTTCATCTGAATGAAGTGGTTTGGGTGCAGTGGTCCTGCACTTTTAGCCATGCAATGTAGAACATTATTGTTTAGTAGATAGGGAGATGTTTTAATTGCAGGGGTAACACACCTCTAATAGCCGTCTTCCAGGCAGTCACTAGAGATGGTTCCGCTAAATAACAGACTCTGTTATTCAATCAAGTGTTGCTCATGAAGTGTATTTGATTGGTGCTTTCAGCACATGCACACTACCCTCCCAATGGGGAAGTATTGTATTACTAAGATCACCAATATTGATTATCTCAGTCAAGGAAGCAGTGCAGCAGAAGTAAGATCAGCACACTGTGCGATAAATAGTGAGTGGATCTTTGAATCTGAGAGTGAATATCTAAATAGTGAAGAAAACACTATAGCATTAGGAATACATGTTGGTATTCACAACGCGATATTGTACCTTTAATGGTATTGCTGCTAGAACAATCATTTGTAGGAACTTGCCAAAGGTTCAGGAATTTTGATGGTTACAAACTGGTCAGTTACATACAGCTTAAGTTACACCAGAATTATTTTAGTTAGTTAAAACTTCTGTACAATGGATTATTGTATTGATCAATTCAGGTACAAAGCTCTAAATGTGGAGCAAGTATCAGGAACATTTAATTGATTCCAATAACGATTGCTTAACATATGGCAGATGGCTCCAGAAATAATATTTAAAATGACACTCCAATCATCGTAAATAATATTACAGCTTAGTAAAGTAGTTATGGTGCAAATAATATATGCATCGCTCTAAACACCATAGTCACTTGGTTATGGTGCAATGAGTTCCTGTCCCTGCCTCTCTTCATAATGTTAATTAGAACTAGTTACAAAAAGACATCAGCGCCTGTCTGGAATGATCCATTCTCCACTGGCAAGGAATTTAGCTAAAGTGGCACTGTCACCTACCCTAAGGAGACAACTGTTTAGAGCACCTGCCTTTTAAAAACTTCTCATTGAGCTGCATTGGGAAGTCGGTTATTGGACAGCCAAAGAAAAGGAGGGAGGCAAAGACTTTATACAAAATCTGCAGCTTTTGCAGTCTGTTTTTAGATATAAACACAATGAAAAAACTGCATACAGTGGGACCTCGGTTTACGAATTTAATGCGTTCTCCGTGACGTTTCTTATTGCGAAAAATTTGTATACCGAAACGCGGTTTCCATAGGAATGCATTGAAAACCAATTAATCCGTTCTGGAGGTCAGAAAAAAGTCAAAATGAGCTGGCATGGAAACCAACCCACAAGAAAAGGCATGCAAACGATGAAGCTCAGCTCCCTACCTTTCCACATCTTGAGAAATGCACCAAAAAGTCCCAAAACAACTGAAAACAATTTCCTGAATGGCTCCAAAACTCGATGCAAAAGCCGCTCCAGCACCTCTACACTCGACGCCACGTGCTACCCACAGGCTCCAGCATGCAGAGGTCGGTGCTATAAACCTCCCAGGTGCAATGCATCCTGGGGAAACTTGCTTTGTATTGCGAAAAAAAATTGTAAACCGAGGCATTATTTTTAATGGATTTTCATTTTTAAACCGAAAATTATGTTAACCGAGTCGTTTATAAACAGAGGTCCGACTGTAATTAAATATTACAGGTTAAATATATGTATGTTTTCATTGGGATGGACAGACAGACTTATTTAAACAGTGAAGTGTCCCTTTAACATGGCTGTTTACAATAGCAGTCGAAAACTAATTTGGTCAGTGACTTTATGCACTATTTAAAGGAATACTCCAAGCACCATAAGCACTACAGCATACTATAGCGGTTATGGTGCCAGGAATGCCCTGGCACTTCCCCAGTGTAAGAAGTAAAGCTGTCTTAGAACTGTGGAAACGCTGGCACCACTTCCTAGGTGACAGTAAAGTGGGGTTGGTGACAGTGGAGTGGGGAAAGCTTTCGATCTGAGCTAAGCCTACCAGTGCAGGTTATGGCTAATTGGCCAAAACTGAACAGCTGGTATGCTCAGCCAATGAGATGGCCCTACAATGCAGGAGAGCTAACAGAAGCTTCTGGTTTTCCCTAGGAAATAGTGGAGGTGGAGAGTGGCACGTGGCAGATCCAAACCGGTGTAAAATGAGCATGGCACTCCTGACAACAAAAACCATTAGTGTGCTTGAAGCGTTCTTTTAAGTCAGCAGAGACTGTAGATATTAATCAACTCAAATGGGTTTTGTGTTTTTGTACCTTTACAATTACCACTACACCAATTATCTCTATTATGATTATTCACTAAAGTGAGAATTTAAAGGGAATTCAATGTAAATGCTTTCAGCTTTCCTACTCTGGCCTGAAATTTACTTTAAATTCTCACTCTAGTGAATAACCCTGTATAAAAATATCCAGTGCAAGCGGCATTTCCCCACTTTTTTGTATTTATATCAAACATAACTTATGTGAATATGAATACTTACAGTTTAAAATTTAGAACTGCCCCTGCATTCACCAGCAGTGTCCTGTTATGGGTGCAGAAAGAAATAAGCAGAATTAATATATTTTTCTAAAGAAATTACATTTACTTTACACTTGACTATTTTAACGCTAGTTCTCTTTTAGAATAGAAGGAAGACACATAATATATATATATACACACACACACACACACACACAGAGGGTTTGAGGAGTCAATAACTTTCTTTTACATTTTCTTTTTTAAATAAACAAATTTCAATGATTTTATTGTGCTCCATTTCCCAGCTCGCAATGTTGGGCTTTTTTCACTTGCATTGTTCATAACATTAATGTTCAAGACACTAAGCCAGGCTTCCCCAAACTCCAGCCCTCCAGATGTTGCTGAACTACAACTCTCATGATTCTATGAGTGAAATAGGCTGAGAATCATGAAAGTTGGACTTCAGCAACATCTGGAGGACCGGGGTTTGGGGAAGCCTGCTCTATGGCTCAGATCTCTGCCCAATAACTTCCTAGGAGGTTATCACACACCAGACAGTGCATTTGGTAGGGTGCAATTGGCACTGATGAATTATAGTTAGATTTTCTGTTAAGTATGGAAAAAGAATTGACAGCCAGGGCTACCATATTGTGGAAATGTTTTAATTTGTTTCGGACAAGAGCTGTAAGCGTATCTATTTACAAAGTGTCCCCAATTCTCCAAAGGATCACTGAGATAATGGGCACCCGTGCCACTCACCACTAGGATTTAAAAAAAAAAAATCAAGTTAGCCATGACATGGGTATCCAGCAATCACCCATCTATACTGCCAACTATATTCAACTTCAGAGTTAAGGTGGAACCATTAAAGAAATATATGTTTACTGATGAAATTTTAAAGAAAGTCCCACCAGGGATCTGGTGGAGGTCACGTAAGTACTAGGATTCAAAAATTGTTGAAGTAATAATTTCACTTTTGACAGCAATGTCGGCTTCTGCTGGCATTGAAAGAATATTCACTTCCTTTGGACTTGATCGTTCTAAATTGAGAAAATTGGTTGGGAAACAATATAGCAGGGAAGCTTGTTTTGCTTTTCTAGATGATCAAGCAACAAGAGAACTTAGATAAGTGAGCAGCAGAAGACTGTTTTTATGTAGACCCAGCTCATGTATTCAGTTATTTTATGAAAATATATTTTGTTTAAACACTTCAGTTAATAAACATCGATGTTTAAGCAAATACAAGAATATGTACTATATAATGTTATTGTTTTAGTTAAATAAAACTATTTAAAAGGGACACTATAGACACCAGAATGACAGCTTATTGTATTTGTTCTGGTGAGTACATTCATTCCCTTCAGGCTTCAGGGCTGTGTTTGGCTTGTGCTGGTTCTGCTCCTTATCTGCCTCCTTGACAGTCTGAGCCAATTCAATGCTTTCCTATGGGAAATTATTGTGATTGGCTCAGATCAACATTTCTGATGATGTCAGCCAAACACGCAGATCAGGAGCACCAGCAGCAGACTGGAATACATGTAATATTTTGCTATATTTAGGGGGCAAAGGGAGGACAAGGGGGGCTAGATGGTGTTTTAACACTATAGGGTCAGGAACACATATTTTTGTTCCTGACCCTATAGTGTTCCTTTAAGTAGTTCTCCAAATATGAATGATTAACTAAAATCTATAACAGTTTTATTTATCTAAATATGAAAAAAATTCATCTGGTTTTTAAAGATTAAAACTACTGGTGGGGCGTTTCCTGGACTCGGAACGGATCAGATGCATGTGCTAGCAGCTCCGTATCTCGAGGGCTATGAGCAATTACAGCCCGATCTGAGAGAAATCGCCTCGCAATGTCACAGCCTAAGGGGAAAAGAACCACATAGAGGGTGTAAAAAGCAAATTTCTTTGCCTCCAGAGCCTTTGCAACAGCCAAAACAGGCCCAAGATGGTGTGGATAATGAGCACAATCTTACCTCACAGTCTGCAGAACAAGACATCACCCTGACTCACAGCTCACTGAAAAGCCTCCTAGACGGGATGTCCAACAAAATCAAAATTGGATACAGCTATGAAAGCTTTCCGCAAAGATCTACATAATCTGGGCAGCCGCACGTCACATGTGGAGGATCACTTAGCGGAACTGGCCTCAACTCCAGACTGGATGAACAAGATGTAAAGCTGGCGGACATGGAGGATCGTGCCCCCGCAATAACCTGCACATTCAGGGCATTACCAAAAGTGTGGGCACAGCTGATCTGACAGCCCATGTCATGGGTCTACTAAGATAGCTAGTACCGGACTTACCCCACGACCTGTTCCTCCTTGATAGAATCCACCATACCTCCAAACCGAAATTCCTACCACCGGACACACTGCGCGATGTGCTGATCAGGACACACTACTTACACGCCAAAGAGGCTGTTATTACCGCAAACAGAAAGCGCAAAGATCTGCCTGCTGCTTACAGAGGGACGACCATCTTTGCGGATGTCTTGGCATATACCCTGAAGCGCGGGCTGGAATTCAAAGCAATCACAACGCAGCTGAGAGAGCACCATTTTCCCTACAGATGGGGGTAGCCCACCAAACTCCTGGTATCCAGAGAAGTAAAAACATCATCATTGGATCACCGGTGGACGGAAACTGCATACTTAGATCTTGGGATGTTGCACCACTTGATCAACCCAGCTCAGAGAGAGACAAGATCAGGGTGTCACCGGAGTGGAAGAAGGCGAGGAAAAGAGAAGACATTCAGGATAAGAATGCATACACCCTAGTACTCCTCGTTTCCACACTCCTGGATGTCCAACACTCACCGGGTCAGGGTAACAACCATATGAGAGGGTCAAGGTGGGATAGAGACCAAATATCAGCTGATCACAGGTCCAAGTGGGGCCTAAGCCTATAGTTCAACACCACAGACAAAAAAAAATAATATATATATATATATATATATATATATATATACACACACACACACACACACACACACACACACACACCCTGTTGGTATGGGGAACATGGTCACTGGTTAATAACCCTACCCCAAGCTGTCAAAAGTTAATTTTCCCAAAGTGTGCTTCAATTAAGAATGCTACCACCAGAGGCATTCAAATTGAGATAAGGTGTGTGGGGGGGTTGGGGAGGATGTAGCGGCACTATTTCCTGTGGTGCCATAAGTACTAGGAGGTTGCATAATGTGCGGGTACTTTATTCCGAACAATAAAGAATCCCTTTAAATTAGATTGCCATTTTGGAATCAAAAAGGATTTTACCCCTGTCTGTGGCACAACTAGAAATAGCTCAATTTTGTGGAAGGTTGAGACTGTTAAACTGGAGTACCTAGCTTACCTAATAGAGGGGTATTCAAGCTTCGGCACTCAAGATGTTGTGAACTGTATCTCCCATAATGCCCTTACAGCTTGAATGCTGAATGCTGACAAAGCATCCAAGATGTAGACCACAACATCTGAGTGCCAAAGGTTGCCTGCCTCTGACCTAGTTACCACATACAGAACAATGCTTCTGTCCTGCAACGTCCAAACCCTGCTTGTACTGGAGTTGCCAGGCTTGGGGTGTGTGCCCTGTTTCTCCCAGGGGGGGGGGGGCAGATATGTTTACTCTAGACATATCTGCCATCACAGCTGCTCCCACTCCAGAGACACTCAGCCAGCCCTCTGAATGTCTTTAGTTACAAGGACCGTGACAGTATGACGTCAGCTCCCTTCTAAATCTGACCACACGTTTTCTTTTTCCTCACCCAAACAGTAACAGGTCCCCGATCATGGTACTGACAGAACCGCCACCTCACCGGCTGCGCTGACACTTCCTACTTCCGGGTGGCAGCGCTCGGAGCCAGCCAATCAGCGAGGCGGGGAGGGGGGGCACGTGACAAAACATTGCGGCGGTGGGTGTGTGAAGCGAGCTGGTGGGTCACGTGATGCGTGCGGACAATGTGTGCGCCTCGCACAAGACATTGCAGGAATCGCGTACGGATGTAAACATCAAGGCGCCGTTGTTCTAGAACACCGTTACCAAGCTTACCACTAGAGGGCAGTGTAGCGCCAAACTCTATATATTTCATGGCCCTATAATAGCCAGCTAATATAGTATAAAGAGGGGTCCAGCAAACCTGTGTCTGGCTGCTAAGGTTTACCAGAATTATATGGATTAGCCTGTGAACTACTGTATAGTTAAAGGGACACTATAGTCACCTGAACAACTACAGCTTAATGTTTCAGGTGAGATCTATAGCTCCCTGCAGGGAATCTAATGTAAACACTGTATTTTCAGAGAAAATACAGTGTTTACATTGATTGATAGGAATACCTCCAGTGGCCGTCACTCAGACGGCCACCAGAGGCACTTCCTATCATGCAGGGCCCTAAAAAGACCTTGTACACATCAGACGTATTAAAATATGTCTGACGTGTGCAGGAGAGAGAAGGCACTGTGTGCGCGCCTTCTCTCTTCTGCCTGTCAGCAGAGGAGAGGGGGCGGGCAAAAACCGCAAGCTGAGCTGTCAGTCAGCGCCGTAGTGCGCTCAGGACTTCAGAGGGCTGCATGAATGCCGCCCTCTGAAGTATGTGCGGCAAAGCCGCGCATGCACACAAGGGAGCAATGACGCTTTCAAATGGAAGCGTCTGATTGCTCGCGCCCGCCTATTTCGTCATTTTGACAAAATAGGGGGAGCGGCTTCACGAGGCTCCTGGCGCTGGAACCAGGTGAGTAAAATTCTCTGCCTGGAGAGTCCCTTTAAAACTGCCAGTCATATAGTATACAACATAGTATAGTAACTAACTATGGGATGTAAAATGAAGAGGAAAGGGGGCAAACATGCCCATTTTAATGCTATTCAGCAGAGACCTCCTACCACCTGAGAGAAAACAAATTAATATAAACAAGGGGGAAAAAAACGACCTCATTATATTGGTGGTCCTGTATGTTTACTGTATAAAGTACACTTAAATTGTGTGAACAGTGCTCTCATTATTTTTATTATTATTTATAAAGTGCCAAGACGTTCCGCTACACTGTACAATGGATCATGACCTCCTGTGTGTATTAAAGGTTTACTCCAAGCAAGCACAGTGAGAAAATTCTTTTCAGTGGTGAAGACCCTCGTATACGATAAACCAGAATGCCATGGACTTCAATTTTGAAATCTCTGTTTTAACCTAAACTCTTATTGCAAAGCTGGAGGAGCTCTCGATGAATGACAAACACACAGGTTATAGATCAGGGGTGGGGAACCTACGGCCCTCCAGATGTTTTGGACTAAATCTCCCATAATGCTCTTACAGCCATAATGCTGGCAAAGCATCAAGGGAGATGTAGTCCAAAATATCTGGAGGGCCGAAGGTTCCCCACCCTGCCAAGATTTTAACCCCTTAAGGACTGGACTGTTTTTGCGATGTTGTACATTTGCGACCAGGAATATTTTTACACTTTTGTGGTGTTTGTGTTTGGCTGTAATTTTCCGCTTTCTCATTTACTGTTCCCATACAAATTATATATTGTTTTTTTCAGGACAAAATGGGCTTTCTTTACATACCATTATTTATATAATCTCATGTATTTTAATTTTAAAAAAATACAAAAATCTGATGAAAAATTGAAAAAAATACATGTTTTTTGACTTTTACTTGAAAAATCTTTTACTCATCTACAAAAGCGAATGAAAAAAACTGCTAAATAGATTCAAAATTTTGTCCTGAGTTTAAAAATACCTAGTGTTTACGTGCTTTTTTGCTTTTTTTTGCATGTTATAGGGCTATAGGTACAAGTAGGATATTGCGGTTTAAAAACATACATTTTAAAATTTATCAATAGTGACATTGTAACACTATTATCTGTCATAAATCTCTGAATAACACCCCACATGTACATATTTTTTTTAAAGTAGACAACCCAGGGTATTCAATATGGGGTATGTCCAGTCTTTTTTAGTAGCCACTTAGTCGAAAACACTGGCCAAAGTAAGCATTCATATTTGTTTGTGTGTGAAAAAGTAAAAAAACTAAATTGAACGCTAATTTTGGCCAGTGTTTGTGACCAAGTGGTTACTAAAAAAGACTGGACATACCCCATTTGCAATACCTTGGGTTGTCTTCTTTTGCAAATGGTATGCCATCATGGGGGTATTTCTCATTCCTGGGCTACCATACGCTCTCAAAGGCAACGTAACCAACCTGGCCATTTTCAATGTAAAATATTTGACCCATATATTTGACCTTGTAACTTTCAAAAATGCTATAAAACCTGTACATGGGGGTTACTGTTTTACTCGGGAGACATCGCTGAACACAAATATTAGTGTTTAAAAACTGGAAAACGTATCACAACAATTATATCATCAGTAAAAGTGCTGTTTGTGTGTGAAAAATGCAAAAAAAGTAACTTTCACTGACAATATCATCGCTGTGATATGTTTTAATGTTGTGAATCACTAATATTTGTGTTCAGCGCAGTCTCCCGAGTAAAACAGTACCCCCCATGTACAGGTTTTAGGGTGTCGTAGAACGTTACAGGGTAAAATACAGTGCTAGCAAATTAAATTCTCTGGAATTTTGGCCTGGGTTGGCAGGCAGGTCCCTCAAATTGCAATCAATAAAATTACTAAATTATGTAAAAATATTACATAAATACACACGTAGAATTTAAATATATATGCATATTTATATATTTGAAGTCTACGTGTATATTTATATAATTATTTATGTAATTTTGTATATGGACGTATGTATATTTCTTATTATTTTTATTTATTTTTATATACATAGATATATACAAATTCATTCTAAGTGTATTTTGATATAAATATATATATATTAATTTTAAAATACAGTTAGAATAAAATTTCATATAGCTATATAATTTTTTAAATTTTTTTTATTATTATTTAAAAAAATTTTTATTTAATTTAAATTACTTATTATTTATATTTTATAATAATATATATACAATATATAGTTATTATATATATTATATATATACGTGTGTAATTTAATTATAAGTGTATTTTATATTAATATAAGTACATATTAATATAAAAATACACTTAGTATGGCATTATATATATGATATATAGACATATATTATATAGATATAATATATGTCTATATATCATATTTATACATATATAATTATTATTATTTTTTTTATTACCATTAACTTTATTTTTTTTTTGGATTTTACACTAGCAGGGAGACTGCCTGTCAGCACAGACAGTCCCCCTGCAGGCAGCACTATGGACACCTATTGTGACCATGTGATCGCTGTGTTAAGCGATCACATGGCCACAGGGGTCCTAATCTGCCGTGGGGAGACTGTCTGGGCTGCAGGCAGTCTCCCCACAACTGGAGGAACACTGATCGCCGCCGGGGGAACGACGGCGATCAGGTAAGTACCCCCAGACCGTTTGGACGGTTCAGGACCGTCATCGGTCGGCAAGGCAAAAATGCCGATGACGGTCCTGAACCGTCCTCGGTCCTTAAGGGGTTAATGTGTGGCAGCATAATAAAGTGTATTCATGTCAAGGTGCATAATGTAACTTTGTACCAATCAAGAGCTAACACATTTTCAAAGCACTACATTTTCCGGCCATAAATCCAGTCCATCATTCTCCAACTGGCATTATTTTATCTCTGTTAGAAGATCATGATTTCTCAGTTATTTACTGTGTAGCCAAGAATTCATATGCTGGGGGAAAAAAATACAAATGCTTTACAGATAGTTAAGCATTAAACAAAGAAGGGGACTATCACTTAAAGGGACACTATAGTCACCAGAACAACTACAGCTTATAGTAGAATCATTCCCATCAGACGCACATAAGCGCCGACTTACTGACAGACACACACATTCAATGGACACACACTCCCAGACACTTACTGACAGACATACACACATATTCACTGACAGACACAAACACTCTGACACACACATTCACTGACACACACTCACTTATTGATAGACACACACTCACTGACAGAGACACACACATTCATTGACACACCCTCACTCACATTCACTGACACACACACATTCACTGACAAACACACTCACTCACATTCACTGACAAACACACACACACATTTTCCCTCAACACTCACAATTATTATTAATTTTTTTTTTTTTTTTTTAAATCCACCCAGCCTCCCTATTTTTGGGAGAGCTGAGTGGATTTTTCACCTGGTGTCCAGAGCGGCTGCTGTAAAAGAAGGCAGGCAGACGTGTAGGCTGTGCTTAGCTGTCAACAACGGAGCTGTGATCTTCCTGCTCAGCTTCCTCACGCAGAGTGATGCCGAGAGCTGGAGTGATGTCATATTCCGGCTCCCTGCATTACTGCGGGTCGTATGAGGGAGCTGAGCAGGGAGAACCCTGGGGAAAGTGCTCCCACGCCGCACCGCCTGGGAAACAAATGGCTGTCTATCCCAGGCAGGCCCAAAGGGGTCCAGCCGGCCAGCTCTTGGACCCCCATAAAAAAAGGCATTAGCCTGGGCATTTGGAGGCAGCGTTTTTTTGCCGCCCCTGGAAAGTGCCGCCAAAGGCAAATGCCTTGTTTGCCTCACATAAGATACAGCCCTGCATCTCTATGAGGAGATGCTGATTGGCCAGGGTTGTGTTTGGCTTGTGCTAGTTCTGCCCATGATCTGCCTCCTTGACAGTCTCAGCCAATCATATGGGAAAGTATTGTGATTGGCTCAGACAATCACTTTTGATGATGTCCGCCAAGCAGGCAAACCAGGGGCAGAGACAGCAACTGCAGACTTGAATGCAAGTAA